GCCTCAGAGGGCGCCGTTGGGGTGTACCCTGGCCCGTCTGTTTCTGCAAGTAGCGACCTGGACCCTGATGGCTGCTCCTCCAGACAGCCGCTGCGAGAGTTGGACGTGAATGTCGCACCAGGTAGACCCTCGGTATAATTGAGCCTGGCGTGAAGCTTCTCATGATGATTATGGTGATTCTGATTTGGAATTCGGATGACTGTGAGTGGCCGAACCCAAGAGTGACGGAAGTAGACTGTAATTGTAAAAGAGCGTAAGCCTCCACCCCTCCAGTAGACCAACCCGCGTTCACAAGGGACAGCCTCCAACATCACCTCCGGAGGACCCAAGCAGGACTACGGATATTTACCCCGAAGGGGTGCGGTCAGGCCGAAGGACTGGCTGCGAGAAGCCACCCTGCAAGCACACCAGACAGTGTCCACACCGTAGACTGGGAGGTCCAAGTCACATACTACTTATATGGCAGTCCATACTGTGCCAACGCACACGGTCGGAACCACCACCAAAAAACTGGACGAAACCGATGAAAACACAGAACCACGGGGATAGCAAATCCCACAAAAATCACCCGGCTACCAAAGTAGTCCCAGCCCCAGGAGCGAGCCAGAGGCGAGCGGACCCCTTCCCCCTTATCCCGCAGCCGGAGGCGAGGACACGGAAACAAGCGAGGGTCACCGAGCGAGTGGACGAGAGTATGTTTGGTATAAGGGGGAACCACGGAACCACGCACCAGTGTGGTGACTAATCCCCAGCCATTACGTGAGCAATCACGTGTCGTTCAGTCTGCTGACAAGGGGGAAGGAGACTCGTCATAACACGCAGACGGACGGAGGGAGGAACGTGAGTGGTGGGATAAGTGAGAGGGACCCACCCCAGCTTGTCGCAGCTTCCGCCAGGTTGCATGCACGATGACATCAGTCCGGACTGAGAGGACGGATGCACAGATAACGGAGTGTATAAAGGCATGAGATGCCGCCCACTCTCCTTTCCTTTCTTCTATTTCTGACCTGTGGTCACCTTTGGGTTTCCTACTCCACGCTCTTGTAGCACCTGCTTTCAGCAAGCAACAGAGTCATCTGTCGAACAGAGAGTCTCAACCAGACACAAGATTGTCCCGCGCACACGGCGCATAGTTGAGTTTCTACCCCGGGCATCCGGACATCACGGAAAGTGATTGCGTATTCCGTTCATTTTTGGAATGGTTTGTATTTCGAGAGAAATGATATGAAAAGGCGAGACAAGTGTTGACGGTCGTCTGTGCAGGGCAGCGTGTCTGCATTCAATGCATTGTTGCTCGGAGGAGTTTCTGGAGCAGCCAGTGCGGTACAGCACGCAATTTCTCTCTCTCACTGGGTGGGCCAAGCCTTAGCTGGAGAGCGCTCGGCTACTACTTCCACGGAGTAGGCAGGATGAGTCTGGCACTTCATTCCCGGACAGTTTCTGGTGACTGTCCCTGTTCCTCGCCAGCTGCAGTGGCCACGGATTGCAACAATTGCAATCACCTTGTCTGTTCTCCTTTCTGGTCCCATCGTTGGTGTAAGCGATGGTTCATCATTCATTTGGTGACGACTCATGGCTTGTCGACTTCCTCCCTTTCCGAGGGAATACACAAGTGTCTACGTCCACGGGATTTGGATTACCGAGTGGCGCAGCGTGCGCAAGATGGCCTCTTTTATCATGCAGTGTTGTTGCGTCTTGGCCCAGACACCTCGGGACTGAGTCGGGAAGAGTGCGTCAGATTGGAGAGCATGCTGGAGTCAGCCTTTGATACAACCGGTATGACAGACGAGTGTGTTCGGATGTCTACTGTGGCGTCGATGCCGTGCTGCCTGTACCGCATGAAGCCGGAGATGCACTTTTGGGCTAAGGAGATGTCGAGGGATGGTTCCGTCGTCGCTGGAGACGAGTGGCTTCTGTATGACCTTTTGACGGAAATGGAGGGTGCGGGTGTGTTTAGCACAACTATCTAGATGGGTTGTCCAAGAAGTGGGACATGTTCATGAACGACCTTTTCTTTTTCCTTGAACATGCCGTGAAAAATAGATGAGAAGTCGTAAGTGGTTGCTATCAGGCGTTTACAAGAGAGCCACCCAAGATCGTAGATTCCACTCTCCAAGGGATACCACTCTGAAGAGCACCGCCGGAGGCCCATATCTAGACTACGGACATAACACCCGAAGGGTGTGCGGACGGGCCGAAGGACCGGCTGCGAAGAGCCACCCTGCAAGAGACCCAGACGGAACCACACCTCAAACACGACCCGAGTGAAACGAGGTAAACACAACACAGTGAAGCGCTACAGATGATAATCTCCCTTCCAGGAGCGAGCCAGCGGCGAGCGGACCCCTTCCCCCTTATCCCGCAACGAGGCCAGCAGCCGAGTGAGGACACGGGAGCAAGCGATCGAAGAGAGCGCGCGGACGCCAGTATGTTTGGTATAAGGGGGAACCACGGAACCACGCACCAGTGTGGCTCCTCCCCAGTCGTAGACACCGAGTGCAACGAAGAGTGTGGCTGTACAGTCTCTGGAGTGGGTGGAAGAGGCTGGTGTGTAACGCCCAGTCAGAGCGGAGGGAAGACGGCGGAGGCTTGCAGAGGAACCCTCATGCATGCAGACTGACAAGTAGGTGTGGAGCCCAAGGAGGGTGACACCCATCGCCGAGAGGTATAAAGGTCCTAGACCGCCCACTTCAACAGAACCCAGAAAGGCTGGGCTTCTTCCTCATCCAGCAGTGGACATTGCGAAGCACAAGGTGAGGCTCTTTCACAACGGAGTGAGGCGACGACGCATTCTCTATCAAGCACAAGAGTGCAACTCATCTCACTCATATCACGGGCAGTGACAGTACTCATTGCTCAGTAGTTGCGCAGAGCAGTGCATTCCACCACCACAGCCAGCAGCGTTGCTATTCTAACCCCATCCGGGGCCCACGGGAGACACTATCGTGACTGCGTCACTCGTCTTGCAGACAGCTCTTTTCTTACTCCTCGCCTGGCGGCTCGCTTAAAGATGCCGAGTGTGACTCTCTTCTTCCACTTGGAAGATGCCCTGTTGTCCATCGTTGTTGATGAATGAATCACTTGTATTCCCTCCCCGCGCACGGAGTGCTGGCTTGAGAAGCACAAGAGTCAGGTTCTAGAACTGGGACGGGGGGAAACGGCCGAGTGCCTTAGCACATTCCTCCCACAGACAGTGGGAACAGTTAATATGCGTAGGGGAATCCAGTCGCGGTAGCCCGAATCCTTGAGGTTACGAGGAGAGCTTGGCTCCTTGCCTGAGGCCTCCCCCCTTCTTCCTGTCACACGCTGTGCGAGATTTGCGGTCTAGCCCATCCCTCTGACAGAGTCGGTGAGGCGGTAGCCCGGGGAACGGAATGACCACGCAAGTGTAGACCCAGTGCATCTCGTAAGAGTCCATTGGTAACCAGGCGATTGTACTGTAGACCAGTCGCCCGCTCCTCGTAACCTCGTCACATAGACGGGAAGGATGACTGGAAGTGAATATGAATGTGAATATGATTATGTGAATGCACACTTGGGACTACCGGTATAAAGGCGAAGGTATTAGGACTTGACTCGAAGTCATCATGGATTGCACCCGCAGACGTGGCCTTGAACGTGGAGGGACACTCCACACATCCCTCATCGACAGCTGGGAATAGCTATCGGAGCGGATCGACGAATGAATACACTCAGCTGGATTTGGGAGTCCTTCCATCGATGTGGTTGTAGATTGAATCTGCCATCATCTTGTGCACCATGCTGCTACGCTCTGTCCAGAACCAATCAGGCTACATACAGACAAGAGCACGGAAGAGAGTGATCCTTTGAGACCAACTCCTCCAAGAGATACCACCTCGAGGATAACCGCCGGAGGCCCAGAGCATGACTACGGATATTTACCCCGAAGGGGTGCGGACGGGCCGAAGGACCGGCTGCGAAGAGCCACCCTGCAAGAGACCCAGACGGAACCACACCTCAAACACGACCCGAGTGAAACGAGGTAAACACCACAGAGTAAAACGCTACAGATAATAATCACGACCCCAAGAGCGAGTAGAACGAGCGGACCCCTTCCCCCTTATCCCGCAACGAGGCCAAGAGGCCGAGTGAGGACACGGGAGCTAGCGAGTGTTAACGAGCGCGCGGACGCCAGTATGTTTGGTATAAGGGGGAACCACGGAACCACGCACCAGTGTGGCTCCTCCCCAGTCGTAGACACCGAGTGCAACGAAGAGTGTGGCTGTACAGTCTCTGGAGTGGGTGGAAGAGGCTGGTGTGTAACGCCCAGTCAGAGCGGAGGGAAGACGGCGGAGGCTTGCAGAGGAACCCTCATGCATGCAGACTGACAAGTAGGTGTGGAGCCCAAGGAGGGTGACACCCATCGCCGAGAGGTATAAAGGTCCTAGACCGCCCACTTCAACAGAACCCAGAAAGGCTGGGCTTCTTCCTCATCCAGCAGTGGACATTGCGAAGCACAAGGTGAGGCTCTTTCACAACGGGTGAGGCGACGACGCATTCTCTATCAAGCACAAGAGTGCAACTCATCTCACTCATATCACGGGCAGTGACAGTACTCATTGCTCAGTAGTTGCGCAGAGCAGTGCATTCCACCACCACAGCCAGCAGCGTTGCTATTCTAACCCCATCCGGGGCCCACGGAGACACTATCGTGACTGCGTCCTCGTCTTGCAGACAGCTCTTTTCTTACTCCTCGCCTGGCGGCTCGCTTAAAGATGCCGAGTGTGACTCTCTTCTTCCACTTGGAAGATGCCCTGTTGTCCATCGTTGTTGATGAATGAATCACTTGTATTCCCTCCCCGCGCACGGAGTGCTGGCTTGAGAAGCACAAGAGTCAGGTTCTAGAACTGGGACGGGGGGAAACGGCCGAGTGCCTTAGCACATTCCTCCCACAGACAGTGGGAACAGTTAATATGCGTAGGGGAATCCATAAGAACAGTGAGTTCGTGGCAGGCAATAACGTCTCCTCCCGCTCGGCCATGGACTTACACCTCGACGAGAGCGGCCTGATCCTCTGCGCCAGGCTTCTCAACTATGACAAGGAATGGGTGGATGCGACCTTCGATCTGTCCACCATATACGCAGGCAAGAAGGGCGAGCTCAAATATGAGACCCCGTAGGCCAACCTCTTCTTTAAATGTACTTATTTTACATCCAGTGATTGGGGGCGAGTTGCCCAGATACGATCCCGGTCCGGAAGACTTCGAAGACGAAGACGCTCGATCCCATGATGGACATCTTCTGGCCGCCATTGTCAAAGAAAACCCACAAGTGACGCCCAAAGCCGAACATTCATCTTCGGTATGGGACTTCGACTCGTCTCCATTCCATTGCCAGTACCGCCGTCCTTGTATGCAAAATACGAGTCCGTGTCGTGCGGATGATTGGGATTGTATTAATTATAGTTACCCCATGTACAAAACGGGGTCCCACAATGGCACTGCCGCCTCCATCTATCTCCCTCTGCAAGCTGACACAAAACTATTGAGAAAATGGCCTGTCCCATGAGAGAATTAGTCACGCGTGACCGCGTTTGTCGGAATGGAATGAGACCCCATTGTAATCTCGTATATCCGTAGATGCATGAATGTCCCCTTTGTGGGGAAGGATACGAGAGCCGAACTAGTTCGTATTTGTATCTGCTCTGTAGTCATCGATGTGCCATGTATAAAGCCTAATGGAACTCGAGGCAATGGAATCATGGCTCTGAAGTCTGAGCCTCTTTCAGACCTTGACCGGAGTCGCATTGGCGCAGCTAACTTCCGCTTAACACTCGTTACTCATTATGCACTTGTTCAGGACTGTCGCCGTGGCTGCGGCCTTGGTCCCTGCTGTCTTCGCAGAACCAGAGATTTTCTACTCGCTTTCGAATCCTTCAACGGTCACGACCGATACCTTTCGCTCGTCCAAACACGCATGGACTGCTACGACCCAGACCAGCACTCATGATACCCGTTCATCCCAGGCACCCACCAAGACTGGCAGCCGCTCCCGGACTCCCGGCTGGCCTCCTTCAAGCAAACACAATAGTCCTGGGCGCCCAATCGCCGGCAGCAGCACCAGGGGCTCCATCAGCGCTACCTCTAGCACTATTACGTCTTGCCCTTCTAATGCTACAAACTGCGACTCTGGAACTGTGACCGCGGACGACGTTGCCAAAGCTACTGCAAAGGTTCTCGACGTCGGCACGTCGATCAATGTGGAGATTAGGTGCTATGGTAACTTCTGCGCCCCCGTCCTCCCCTGTGACAATTGCGGCTACTTCCGTGTTTTCTGTAAGAACAAGGACTGCTACGTTGAGCGCTGCTCAATCGAGGAGCGCAACACCCTCATCCTATGGTCACACGCCGAGGGCAAGTTCTGCTACGCTCCCGACACGCAGGCCGAGAGCAACGAGTGGATCAGCTGCGTGGAGGGCAAGTGCACTTTCAGACTGTGCGGCGGTGACGAGTGCAACAAGAACCTGCTCTATCACGGCGAGACGTGTATTTGGCAAGAATCCCGTGACGAGAGTTACAATCAGAAGATGCACAATGGCAAGCTTTGCAAACCCCGGCCTGATCGCAAGGAGCTTCCTCCGCAACCACACTGGGGTGGCCATTACAAGAACGACAGCATCGTTGATCCCCAGCCGCTTTTGCAACACTGGCTCTACAGCAGTGACGTTGACGACGCTGCCCTCGCAATCCTGGACCGACCAGACCTCGAGGGCGTTCAAGCGCTCTACAGGTGGAGGGATCTCGAGTCTGAGAAGGCAAAGTATGACTTTTCCAAAATCATTGAAGACTTGAAACGTGTTCAGGCCAAAGGCAAGAAGCTTTGGGTCCAGCTGCAAGACAGGACCTTCTTTATCAAGAACATCCCAACGCCAAAGTACATGCAGACACCACTCTACAGCAACGGCAGTGTGCCGACTTGCGACGGCGAGAATTGCGAAAGGAACTTTGAGCATGGTGGTTGGATGGCGGCGCAATGGAATCCTCACGTGCGCGAGCGCTTCCAAGCACTAATGAAGGCCATGGCAGACGAACTGGACGGCCAGATCTACGGTCTCAATCTTCCAGAAACTTCAATCGAGGTGGAGCAGGGCAAGAACAACTACACCAGTGAGGGCTACTTTCAAGGCGAGTTGGAAAATGCCGCGTATGCCGCAAGTGTGTTCGAAAAATCCTACGTGGTTCAGTACGTTAACTTCTGGCCCGACGGATGGGAGAATAACAACAACTACTTCACAAAGTCCTTCAGCTTTTACGCCAAGCATGGCGTCGGGGTGGGCGGGCCGGATCTGATTCCATACGACAAAGGACAAGAGAAGAACTCATACCCATTCCTGAGAGAGTATCGCGACAAGGTTCCCATCAGCGTTGTGGCTGTCCAAGAGCCTGATTTGAAAAAGATATACAACGAAACTGGCAAGCCCTTTACAAAGGAGGAGTTTGTAGACTATGCTACAAAACGGCTTGGCGTCAGGATTATCTTCTGGGCAACAGCCTCTCCGTGGCTCAACGGGACAAGAAAGGCATGAGTTGAATCTGGCCGGTTGCTGCTGAAGCCAGATCAATGCTTGCAACAGCTCACTCGTTGCGCAGCGACACCCGGGTCCTCCAATTGAAAGCTTGGCGAGTCAAAACCCCTTCAGCATTAAAATATCCCAGATCTCGGAACGAATGGTATTGAGGTTGTGGGCGGAAATGAGAGGTACGAAACACTGGTACACACAAGTTCCAGAACTGCAAGTCCTGCATCATCCTACTCGAGCTTTCATCTGGAAGCAGCGAAGGTCATGTCCCTGATAGGGAGTGTGGATATACGACGCGATCATGAACGAGAGGACCTGAACTTGCTCCCAGGCAACGCGCGCTTCAAAGGCTCCATGCTGGGGGGGGGCATCTTTACCCAGTTGGTGGTTACTGGATTGATAACTATGCTGTCTTGCGTTCCTCCATGAGGACAGACTAAGCGTGCCTCAAGACACGATTTAAGCGAAAGGCTTCACTTTGCAACGGCCGCTTCATCCTCTACTATGCTTTCTCCGCCTTAGCAGCATGTGTGTGAGCCTTCATGTCACTCAGGCCTTGAGTCCTTGATGAACATCAGATCTACGGCTTACCCTAGCATGGATTATTATGTAGCCATCTACAGTAGACAACCTTGAATAGAGACGGTATATACCTTCCATGGTGCTATTAAAGTGATGCTAAATGACCCCATTAATACTGCACATGGTTTACTAACAAGCCTACCAAAAATAGGACTTGCCAATTTGTCTCTCACGACAACCTCTACCAAGAGGAGTTTGCCGAGATGATGGCCCAAGGCCAGGCTCTCGGCAGCAAGCTTGAGGTGTTGACTGCCTTTTCTCGACCACGTAGCCGCCGCGGAGAAGCGGAGGTGGTCCAGATGCATTTTCAGGATCGAATCAACAGCCGCCGCTGCGACGGGTCTCGACTCCTCCCGGGTCGATCAAGGGCATTCTACGTTTGCGGTGCAGCCAGAACGGTAAAGGCTGCGGGAAACGTCATGAGAGAGACGCTAAAAGACGCAAGTGACCGGGAAGACGGTCGGGCTAAGAGGTAGAGGGTCGATCGAAAGCCATCGAAGAAATGTCGAAGAAATGGTCTAAGGATGTTTAGGGTTGACACTTTCTACTTTTCGAAGAATACGTGTCATCTTTACTGGCTTATGTCTTTCGATTAGAAAGATGGGCTGTAGTGTGCATGAGACATTTGCACGAGAATAGCAGAGTCAAGGCAACGAACCAAGCAAATAGCAATCGCTCTCCACCGCATATAAAGACAAGACTAAGGCTATCATGCCTCCTCCACCAATCCTCGGCCCCATATTAATAGTCTTAGATTATCACTAGTTATTGGGTAGGTGCATTGACAGAGAGAGAGTGTTGTAGATATCTATCTATATATATATATAAAGCTGGTGGGGTCTCTCCGCCCGGATCCTTCCTGCCGCCGGTCAAGGTTCGTCTCTCCCTGGACATGACTGTGTGAGGAAACCACTAGGTTGTGCAGGCAAAAGTAAAGTGACACGCCAACAGATGACCTGGTAGTGGACCCTATATGCCATGGAGGTGCTGGTGGCAGCTGACAGACTGCACGCAACACCAGCACTCGGCTTGACGCATTTGCAGGTCATCCATAACCTCTGTACAAAGGCGACTGATACGGTGGAAGCCCGTTCTTATGCTCATCGCAGGTAAAAGGCGATCAACATGGACACAACTGATCATGACGGTGAACACATTCGATACAAATTTCAACCGCAAACAAGCATGCTTCAACGACCAGAAGAAGCTCGCCCCCTGCGTCGCCCGAGTCAAGACACCGCATCACCACTACAGAAACGCCGTCATTACTCCCTCTTGCTGAAGCTACCGTACAGGACATCCAGCGCCCAGTGGTCCGACATGAGCATGCAGCCTGCGTTGACGCCTTGCTTCGAAACGACAATACAAGACCATGCTCAGGCAAACTCCCTAGGCCGCTGCGCACCCCCCAGAGCGGGGTGATCCTCGTAGTCCTTTGCGTCCGAGCTCTTCCACGGCGAAGGTGCCGCGGGCGAGTGGGAGACTGGCTGGAGGCCAATCTGCTGCGACGGGGGCTCGTAGCCTGGTGGGGGTTCTGACGGGTAGCCTGCTCCCGGGGGGGGATGCTGATCCGCTCGCCAGGGCTGCGCTTGGTAGCCGGTGGGGACGCCGCCGAGCGGGTCGCCCGCGCCCCGGGTCCGTTTCTTCTTGAACAGAAATTGCCGGCCGACGGAGAGGAAGAGGATGGCAAAGGCGCCGAGGATGATGAGCCCGGCGAGCACCATGCCGAACTTGCGGTTGAGGGCAAAGGTGAAGCCACTGCGAGTCTCGGTCAGCAAGCTGTTCCATCATGGACCGACAAAGGTGGACGTACAAAAACGCGTTGAGCGTGCCGAGGAAGAGGATGATTCTTCCCAGCCAAAGGTGAGCCATGCCAAACTTGGTGGGCGCCTTGGTCTTGCGGAACTTTTGGTGGTGAAGGACGCCGAGTGTGAACTGGCCGAGGATGAAGCCGACAATGACGAAGCCGAAGATTTGGTGATAGGACCGGAAGCCTCGCGACTAGGCAAGGGCTCGTGTCAGCAGTAGAAGACATTGGAGGGGAGCAAACGCACCCTCTGGTAGTTGAAGCTGGTCAGGATGCCGAGGGCGAGACCGGCAAGGACACCAGCCACGCCAACGGCCTGGTTGACGCCATGCCACCTTGCCTAGCGGCCGAGGCGGAGGAGGACGACGCCGAGAGGAAACAAGACGACGATGAAGAAGACCATGAAGGCGCCGTGCAGGCCGGCCTTGTAGTCTGACTTGTGCGTCTTGCGGTAGTCGAGCGAGGTGCCGACAGCCTTTGACTTTGCGTCGAGAATGGGGGCGTCGGGGCTACCCTGGGTGCGCTTCATGTCGATGGTGAAGACGCCAAACTCGCGGTGGAACTTGAGGTCGGCGGCGGGACTGTTGCTGCGGAAGCCCTCGCTGGGGCCGAGGGCATAGATGGCCTTTTGGTTGGGCGACGAGACGTCAATGTAGCCGCTGTTGGAGTCGGCGGCGGGCCAGCTGCGGCAGTGCTCGATACATTTGGCGACAAGGACCATGTGGTCGTCGATGACGCCGGTGCCGGGGAGCAGCTCGTAGCGCAGCTCCGGGTAGTGCTGGGGCTCGTAGTTGCCGTAGGCGAGGCGGGGGGAGAAGGTGACGTTGTCGCCGCGGTCGTTGCGGTAGACCATGAGGAAGAGGGCGCCCTTCATGTCGTCGCTGCCGAGGCCGACGGCGGCCCACGAGTTGTCGACGTGGGCGCGCATGGTGAAGAAGACATCGGTGTTGCCATTGTCGGGGACGGTGAAGGCAAACGAGACGTCGCCGCCGGGGGAGACGAAGGTGGACTGGCCGTTGGGGGATTCGTCGTCTTGCGCGGCAACGAGAGCCAAGGCTGTGTGCGTGGTTAGCTAGCTACCCTCTTCCTCTCTGGACTGGTCTCGAGGAGGGAGATGCAATCGACAAGAGCTGGGGGCCGGGGAGGACGAGGGCGGCTTACCTGCAGCAGCCACAGCCGCGCGCCAAAACCTCGTGAGCAGCATGCTGGCGAGATTTGGGGGCGCACTCGTGCGAGAGAGAGCGTGTCGAGAGGAAGAGAAGACGGGGAAGGCAAGCAAGCCCGGGGAAAACAACCCCCCCGTCGCGGCTGAATGTTGTCACATACTGTAGGTACTAGCACTAGTAGATTATCCGCAGGCGCAACATCAACCGTGACGCAGCGACCGTAGGCCATCCATCATAATAATTAAGCTCTGGCCAGCAAGGGCAGGGCAATTCTGCCCCTCCCCTTTTTTCATAAACCCCCCGTAGTTCGTACGGTCACCCACTGAGAGAGCTGGGGGGATTGATTACTGCTAATTTCGAGAACTGCCTTCTTGTTGGGTAGGCCAATCAGCGCGTGCCCAATCAAATTCGGCTGACAGAGGGGAGGGGCCTGTCAGTGTTGCTGCAGGGTCTTTGGGTGGGTGTCTGTCTGCCAGCGAGCACAACACCTGGCGGTGCCTGCAGGGTGCCCGTGTTTATTATTAGGGCTGCCTCCGGGGCCCGGGGGACGTGCACTACCCGGCCCGTTTCCGTTCTCCATTCCTCATGACTGGGAGCCGACCTTGCGCTGTCCGACAAGTAACTTTGTCCTCTTGACCAAGATTCACATGCAACCGTCGTCATCCTACGTTACCCCGTCGATACATGCTTCTACACCGCGTGCAGACCATCCACGGAGAGTGGAGTACGATACTCTTATTCCAACAGTACCTCGACACCGCCAACCCCCCCCCCAACAACAACAACAACATGCAGCAATGTCCGCCTCCGCTTGCGCTCGTCTTGTGAGCCCATCTGGACTCTGACTCGGCCCGTCTCCAAAAGGCAGCGGCGTGTCACTTGTGGAAGACGGCGAGCGGCATGAACCATGGAATGCGCTCAAAATTTGATGATTGATTGGGCGCTGCACGTCCGGGTCAACCGTCATCTTCCATCGCTCATAGGCGTTCCAGCTAGGCTTCCACACGCGATTCCAGATACAGGTGCATTACATGCCCATGGCAATATACAAGGCCGATCCTACACATGCGTCTCATCTCTCATCATCGTCAACACCGCTACAGCCCGTTGAGGACCTGATGTGCCTTTTTCGCCTCGCCAATGTTGACCCAGTCAAGCTGCACCGAACGTCAGCCTCCCTTGTTCCATTCCCTCTCAAGCAAGACGGCCAGACTCACCAAGACAACATTGGGCTGCGGCTTCCCGTCGCTCTTGCACAGGGCAACCTGCTTCTGGATCGACGCCAGCGAGTTGGTCGTGACCGCGTCAATCATGTTGGGGAAGACAATGTCGCCAACCTGGAAGTTGAGCATGTGGTTCATGATGCCCATGAGCTTCTTGGTGTCTCCGTTGGACGGCCGGTCGACGCGGCACGTCGGGAATTCCTTGTCGGTGATGCCGTAGGGCGTCTCCCAGAAGTAGTCAAACTCGCTGATGATGTAGTCGACCTTGGTCTGGTCGGCGTGATAGTCTGCAAGGCGTGTGAGTGAAAGTAGAGGTCAATGGAAAGGGGGACTCGTTACCCATAAAGACAATCAGACGGGTCCCCGCCTTGATGAGCTCCTGAAGCGTTGGCCACCGGTCCTTGGCCATCGTGGCCTTGGGACGAAAGACGTGTTTCTTGAGCCCGGTCTCGTCAAAGGCGGCATCGAATTTTTCCATGGGGATGGCGTCAATGTTGGTTAGCAGCAGCGTCACCACGTCGTCCGGGTGTTTGTCGAGCCAATCGGCAACCTCGCGCAGGTAGCGGCTCAGAGGGCCGACGTCGAGATACCAGCACGACGTGTGGCACATCTCAATCTCGCCAAACTTGTCCTGCGTCTGCGCCTGCAGGAACCGCACGCCGCTGTCCAGCTGCTCCGTCACCGTCACGAACTGGTTGTCGAAGGGCGAGTCGCCGACAAAGGCGCTGTTGTGCGTGCCGATCATGGTCACCTCCGAGTACCGCCGGCCGCACAGCTTGTCGTGGCCATTGCAGGCGGCCGCGGCGGTGCCGGCCCACGAGAGCACGAGGCCGGAGAGACGAAGCAGGCTGGAGAGGTGCATCGTATGGGGCCGAGGAAGCGACGTCGATTATCAGCAGCCGAGAGGGTCCTCGCTCGCCGTCGTCCCCCCGCGGCCCTCCCGGCGAGGACTCGGGCCTTGTTATATACGCCGATTCCCCCGCCGGATGATAAACGACGGAAAAGCACGACGAGGCGCCTCACGTTGGGCACATGGACGGCGGCCCCGGGGTTGAGGGCCCGTGGTGGCAGGTGGTGGAGGTGGTGATGAGAAGTAGGCAGCAGGCCAAGTCATCGGATGCCGTCCATGGCCAATGTCCGTGCCGGGTTTCAGTCTCCAAGCCCAAGGCGTATTTGTACAACAGCCAGTCGCCCCTGTCGCAAAACGCCGTGCCAAGCGGGGGAGGCTTGGGGAGACGAGACGGAGAGAGGGAAGAAAAAGAGATCGCGGGCCAGCCTCGCCGCAGCTCCGGTTGATTGCTGGCTCGTATTATTACTAACTGCCCGAGGACGGAAGCGTTGGTTTCCAGCCCCTCTCAATGCGAGCTCACCCAAAGTACCATGGAGGAGCGGCTCTTGACTATTTCTGCATGCGATTGTCCCCAAGAAAAGCTTCTTCAGGCACGCGGCATGACTTGCTGCGACGGCGCTGATGCCTGGTCACACGGAGGAGCGGCGGCTGATGGGGGGCGGGTTGATCTCTCTCGGGTCCCGTGTGCCCTTTTCCGTCTGGGTTAGATACATAATTACCTCTATGTAAAGTCAAATCATGAAGGGCATAGGGTAGGACCAGGGGAAGAAACCCTTGATTTTACTGCTCCTTTATTTTCCCGTGACTTCATTTTGGTCTGAATCAACAACGATTCATCAAGACTATAATGAAATGCTGGGGCCCCTACCTTAAGTTAACTTGATAACAATTTGATACTTTCACGGGGAGGGACAAAGGCACATACCCCAAACCACCCCGCTGCCTACGGCAGACGGGTTCAAACATGTTCTCAAATCAGATCATCTGATCATTAGGTACGCAAGCGAATGCAAGCGTAGACGAGGCTAAATCCAAAGTCATCGGGGCGCCAATGCCGAGTTGCAAAGGCCATGGTTCCTTTTGTCCATCAGATTGCACCCCTTCTTCGAGGTATGTGCCCTTGTGGCGCAATCATGCTGCAAGCACCGACGCATCGCTCAACATCCCTGCAGGCCACTGGTGCCAAGGAGGCGACTTGTTTGGCTGAAAGCCCAGCAGCCCGCAACCCAGCAGGCCAGGAGACTCGGCTTCAACGGCTTTGTTGCCGGTGCACGGACATTTCTCCGTCTCTCGTCTTTCGCTCTGTTGGCGCGTTCATCGAAAAGCCTTCTCCCCAGAGTCCCAGGAAAAGGAGAAAGAGAGGCCGGTTTTGGGAGACTGAGAGAGCGCACTGACCAGCCCCTTATCTTATCGCGCGAACCCTGTCACGACACCCTATCCTCTCCCACCACCATCGCGGCCTTTTGCCAGGCATCCAAGCATGCTTCGCCGCCTACCATGTCGAACTTTCTCTCCCTCGTAGGCTGGTACATCCTCCCGAGAGTATGTCTCCCCCACGGACTCTCCTCCATCGCCTGCGGACCACAAGCAGCTAACATGACGTCTGGCAGCTCGCAACATCATGGATCCAATCCATCTACTACGCCATCACCATCCGCGCCGGCGACCCCAAGCCAGCCCCCGGCTCCGCGCGCTTCCTCTCCCACCGCCGCACCATCAACATCCTTGTCGTCGCCACCTACTTGCTCTACACCATCTACGAGGCCGGCTATGAGCTGCGCGCCGAGCCCTCCTTCTACCAGGACCTCGGCGTGCCCCTCGGAGCCGCCGACCGTGAAATCAAGTCGCGCTTCCGCAGGCTCGCCGCCATGCACCACCCAGACAAGGCCGGCGCCGCTGCTGACCTCCGCGACAAGGCCTCCTTCTTTATGCACCTTAAGCTTGCCAGTGACACGCTGCAGGACGCGGCAAGGCGGTTTGCCTACGAGCGCTTCGGCCCGGACATTGTGGAATGGCAAAAGTGCGTCACCATCAGAGACTTTGTCAGTCGGGGCGTCCTGGGCGGTATTCTCCCCCACTATGCCGTTGCTGCCGCCACAATCTACGTCCTCGGCCTCTTTGGCTACATGGAGTTTGGCAAGTTTCACCGCTGGCTGATCCTAATCACCCTCTGCGTCTTTGAGGTCCATGTTGTCACGCGGCCGGCGTTCCCCCTCGTCGTTGACGTGGTCAACGCCCTCATCACGCGCGTTTCTTCCCGTGCGCCGTACCTGCCGTTCCAGGCCATCCAGCTCGCCCGGAAGCTCACCATTACCGTCTACATCGGACTCGCACAGATTGGACCCCTGCTGGTGCAGCAGACGCGGCCCGGCAGCCGGGCCGCCCAGGGCGAGGATAAGGCCCTCGAGCAAGGGCTTCAACGCTTGGACGCCGTCGTCAACCAGCTCAACACGGAAACCAGCCGGCTGGTGGCCATGGAGATGGCGCCCTTCAAAGGCGATGCCGGCGCCGTCAGCAATCTCCAAGGCAAGATGCAAGAGTGGCTGGTCCAGAACACGCTGCGCTCCGATCCCATGGTGCGGGATGCGCTGGGTACTTCCTTCAGGAAGAGGCGGATAGACGCGCCGAGCGGGGCCAAGGGCAACCGATAGGTGGGCATTGAGAGTGTTTAGAGAGCCAGTCATGTTGATAGAGAATCCATGAGAACATTCAGTTGATATAGAGTCAGTCACTTGACGACGTGGCACTCGTAGATGATGTGGTCATGTGGCACGGCGCCTGCATTACCGCCGTGCCATGTTATCTATTACGCAACCGGTCTAGCCATATCGACACTTCTATGGGCTATATACATCTCCGAATTATTTGCGTTTCCACATGCGGTCAAAGCCTCTGCGCCCCTCTCGTCTCAATGGGAATCAGGCACATGCCGACAAAGGCAGACAGAATCAGCGTGGCCGACATGTAGATGGGCGTCGTCGCTCCGTCGCCCGGCATGTTGGCGGCCAAGACCGGGGCCATTAAGCCCGTCAGGCGATTGAGGAAGCTCGCGACGCCGGTGCCGGCGCCGCGGACGGGCGTGGGGAAGAGCTCGGGGGTGAAGGCGTAGAGGACGCCGTACATGATGTTCTGGGCAAAGGCCTCGACGCACGAAAAGGCAAGCTGGGCGGCGGGCGTGGTGCCGAGGGTGACGAAGAGGAAGAGGAAGACGGCCGACAGCAGGGTCGAGCCGGCGAGGGTGCCGCGGCGGCCGAGCAGCGGCGACGGGTGGTCGACGAGGTAGGCGGCCAGCAGGCTGCCGGGGACGCCGACGACCGAGGTGATGGCGTAGTTGCGGTACGCCTCGCGCGAGATGGGGGCCGTTTCCGACTGCACCGCGGCGCCGGGGCCGTGGGCGTGGGAAAAGTACTGGGGCAGAAAGGCGTTGAAGAGCGGGTAGCCCATGCCGATGCTGGCCCAGCAGAACCAGACGAGGGCCGTGGCCAGGCCGAGCGTTCGCGTGCGGAACAGGGGGCGGAGGCGCTGGCCCGATAGGTCTTTTAGCTTTTCCCGCAGGACCTGTGCGCCGGAGACGGCCGGGGCTCGGGGGATGGCGAGCGCGGCGTGGACGGGGTCTTGGTCGTCGTCGTCGTCGTCATCGTCTGCGGCAACCCGGTCGAGAATGGCCGAGGTGAGCCACGTCTTGGTGCCGTTGCGGTGGGCGATGCCGTGGACGACGGCGACGGCCTCGGCCTGGCGGCCGCGGTTGAGGAGGAACTTGGGCGACTCGAAGAGGTGGAAGCAGAAGCAGCGGACGACAAACATGGCAAAGGTGAGGACGCCGATGACGACGATGAAGTAGCGCCAGCCCTGCTCGACGGGCCACCTGGTCATGCAGTACCAGGCAGCCAGCGACGACGCAAGCTGGCCAACGGGCCACCAGACAGAGAGCAGGGTGAGCAAGGCGCTCGAGGCGTCCGGCAGGAACTCGAGGAACAGGGCGCCGTCGACGGGCAGGTTGCCGCCGACGCCGAAGCCGGCGCCGGCGAGGCAGAGGCAGACGGCGGCCCAGGAGCGGGCGTAGGCGGCGGCGATGCCGAGCAGGCTGGTGATGAGCAGCGTCAGGTTGAAGGCCGGGCGGCGGCCGAGGAAGTCGGAGCCGATGCCCCACAGGAAGCTGCCGGCGGAGAGGCCGACGAAGAGGGCGCTCGTGGTGTAGCGCACCGTCTTTTCCGAGAGGTCGAACTCGGCCGAGAGCGAGGGCAGGCAGAGGGAGACGCCCTGTAGGTGACGAGCGTGTTAGCCGATGCTGCTGCATGTTGATGGCGCCGTCGCCGGGGCATGCTTGGCGCAGGGGGCACTTCGTACCTGCAGCCATAGACTGGAGGCGCAACAGCGAGTCAGCGAGGAAGAGTCGACGAGGAAGAGTCGACGAGGAAGAGTCGACGAGGAAGAGTCGACGAGGAAGAGTCGACGAGGAAGAGTCGACGAGGAAGAGTCGACGAGGAAGAGTGCAGCACACTTACTTATCCGCAAACCAGCCGAAGCCGCACAGGACAAACAGGTGCCAGTTGTACGGGCCCATGCCAATGTCCTGGATGGCCTTGTTGATGAGCTTCGACTTGACTGCCGGCAGGTGAGCCCACGACCCCTTGTCCAGCGAGAACAAGGCAGAGACACATGACGCCGCGACTCACTCTCGTATTCCGTCCACCGCTGTCCGCCGCTGCACGCGCCGGCCCTCGTTTCCTTGCGCAGGCCCCGTATGGAGTACTCGCCCTCGTCGTCGAGCATGCCCTGGCCCTCGCCGCCATCGGCCTCCTCCTTGTCGAGGACAATGTCAGTGCCGGCAGCAGGGCGAGCATGCCGCCGCGGCGCGGAATGGCTGTACAGGTGCGCCTCCTCGAGGGGGACGAGGACGCCGGCGTAGTGGTGCGCCGACTCGACGCGGCCGAGGCTCAGGCGCCACGAGACGACCCTCATGATGGATTGATGGGGGCTCGCGTAGGAGAGGTTGCCGCCGAAACTTCGATAATGGAATATTTGTTTAGATTATATGGCCGGCGTCGCGTTGGTTCGTGATGCGAGTGAAATGGGGATCTGTATTAAAGCAAACTGTCACCTCTACTCTGCCCGGGCGAGCACAAAGTTGAGAGACGCAACGAAAAGAACGAGTGAAGCGCAATGCAACATGAAAACGAATGAAGATGGGTTCCCTTGAAAGGATAGGAAAAGCACGAGTCAGCAGCAAGCTCATCGGGCTAAGAGGTCATTGTATGGGGCCCAGCCTTGGCTGGTTATTCACGGGCCGTGGCTAATTAATGCCTGTTTGGGTAACGTCTTCAGCACCGTCATGAACATGAATCGTGCGCCGAGCATCGTGACTTTTTATTCCTGCGTGGACGGCGGCGGATTAACGGGGCCTGGTGGAGTCGTGACATGTGCACACCAAAGAGGCGATTGTCTCGCACCGGCTCCCTTTTCGGATAGACCCTTATGTAAGTTCCAGCACCACAGACGAACCGCTCGGACGATGGAGATTCATTCTGTTACATTTTTGGTGCCAGCAAAGCAGATGCTACCAGACAGACGCCATCCCCGTGCTTGTACTCGAGTCGTCAGATTCGGTCACAGCACAGGCCAACGCCCCAACTCCTTGTTCCCGCTAGCCATTGACCCTGTTGGACTTGACGTGACGTCGCTGGAGCTTCTAGCCCTCGTCCTCGTCGCTCGTCGCCTCGATGTTGGCCTTGGCCGGCTTGGTCTTTTCCTTCTTGACCCTGTTTTTGGCGGGGGCAGCAGCGCCTGTATCCTCGACGTCGCCGACCGTCTGGCCCATGTCGCGGAGGGTCGCGCTGATAGCGGGAGCGGCTCTGAGCAGGGCCGAGTACTGCTCCACGGACAGAGAGATTCCCTGTGGAAAAAAAAAAGAGAAACACGTTAGCCCGCGTACCATAGCCCAAGAGAGAGCTCGGAGCACACTGACCTTTTTGCCCGGGAGCAGCTTGCCGTCCTTTTCGTAGTACTCGCGGATGTTGACCAAGCTCATGTTCTTGAACTGCGACACGCCGACGCGTCGCTTGCTAGACAACTGCGTCCCTCCCCGTCAGCGCGCGCAAAGCCAGGGGGCAATGAGGCGCACGTACCTCCCAGAACGGGTTGCCTTCGTCGTCCTTGCCGTCGGGCGCACCGGGCGCGTGCTTGGTCTTCTTTGCCGGTTTCTGGGCCATCTGCGGCTCGTTTTCGTCCAGCTCGTCGGCGGCGCTGGCTCTGCGCTTCTTGGAGTGGGAAGACATGGTTCGCGGTCCGGGGTGTTTGTCTTTTTGGCCGAGGGCTGCTGGAGAGGACCGTGTGCTGCGCTCTTGCCGGGGGGAAATGGCGCGTTGGAGGCACTGCGCCCCACTGAAGGACGGGAGCTTGGGGCGGGCCGTCGACGCGAACTCACGTGACGGATTAAGGGCTGGATACGTACCTAGCATCTGTATTCGAGTCCTCTTTTATGAAAACGCAGACGTGCATGTACATATGCACTCCTTTTCCTTGCCCCGAAACATGGCACCAGCTCGGGGCTACTTGGCGAATCATGCGCCGTAACGGCTCCGATATCTCGGCCTCGGACCAGAAGCGGGATGCGAGCCCGTCCAAGGTCGTGGGGAATCCCTTGGCTCTGTCCCATGCCTTCAACCGAATGGCCCTGATTCGGGGACAGCATCACCCGCCCGCCCTTGCATGCTCTCTCTACTGTGCCGGAAAACGTTTCTGAAGTGTCATGCTCACTCGCCACTTGCACGGCCACCATTTCGGTGCTGCTTGGCCAAGCTTGGCAATCCTAGGAAGGAATTGCACAACTCAAGAGCAAATATGAATGACCGAATGATTAATGCCATTTATAAACATAGCTTTGCCACCAATCACCTCCTAGGTCTGCGTCCTGGTGCTTTTTAGAGGTCAACGCATGTCTCTTTATTAATAGCTACTGCCAGGTACTGCCTGCCGGTGTAACTTTGGTGGGGGCCCGCCCGGCTCCCCTGACGGATGCAGGCAGTGTTGTGGCAAGTCAAAGCCGCTTTTCTCGAAACAACACGAGCGCAACATTGCTACACATCCACCTCGCGTCGTCTATCCCATCCCTCCTACGCTTGCTTGCCAAACTCGTCGCTGGCTATGGTTTGAGCACCATCGGGCCCGATCCACACGCTCTGGTCGAGAGGCCCCGCCCATCTGGCTGAATAGCCCCCAATGGCTTCAACACCGGGCGGCGACACGCAGCTGCCGAGCATCGCCTTCAGCCGAGAGCCCGTCGCCGGCAAGGCCATCGCACCGAATGGCTCAACCATCGGGCTCGACGCCAAGACACCCGGCCATGTCCCCGCGAGCGATGCCAAAACTCCACCGCCCGCCCCGCCGCAAGCTTCCGACTCCCTCGGCACCAGGGCCCTCCAGTTCATCTCGACCGCGACCCCGGCCACGCTGGCGGGGATCGCCGTCGCCTTCTCCGCCATAATCTACGCCATACTGGGGAGGCTGGGTCTGCTGCTCATCGGCGCGCTGGGAGGCGTGACCGCCTTCGCAACCCTCGAGGCGAGGAACCCAGAGATTGCGAGGGCGGTGCGAGGCGAAAAGGGCCCCGACGTCTTGGACAGGGTCTGGCTCGACCTGCGGACGGCTCAGACCCGGGACGGAGACGGCGCAAACCAAGACCAAGATACCGTCAAGGCCTTCGATGACTTTGGTCCCGAGACGCGCGAGGCCCTCGGAGGCCTGGTCGATGCCGTGATCCGAGACTACGTCAAGTGGTGGTACAGCCCAATCGTGCCGACGGATCGTTCCTTTCCCCTTGCCTGCCGCAAGACGCTCAACGCCTATCTCCTCGCCATCTCGAACCGCATGTCCCGCAAGCGTCCCGCCGATGCCTTCTTGGACCTGCTGACCAACTGCTCGTCCATCATCATCGTCTTCATGTCGGAGCTCGCCGCCGCCTACGCAGACCTGCCGCCCGAAACAAACATGACGGCCGCCGACGCCGTTTATAACTACCTAGCCTCGCATCCCGATTCGCGCCTGGCCAATCTCCTCAACCAGAGGCAGCAGGCCGCCAAGTTCAAGACCGTCGCAGAGGATCTGCTCAGCTTCCTCGACCGGAGCGCGCAAAACTGCGACCCTGCCCGCGTCTTCCTGCGCGAGATCCTGGCAAACTCGGTCCTCGAGACCACGCTGCAGACCTGCAGCAAGGCCGAGTGGATCAACGGATGGATCGTGTACCTGCTCGAGGCCGGAGAGCCGGACCTGAATCAGGCCATCGACGTCGGAATGCAGACTGGCCGTGACACCAGCGATCACAACGTGTTCGCCGACTTGGATGGAAACGTCGGTAACATTGGCATTGCCAAACCAGGTCGCTCCAGCACGGAGCCCGAGCGCAGCCGACGCAAGGAGTCCATGGGCCACAAGAAGAAGCTGAGCAAGGCCGACGAGAAGCTAGAGGAGGCGGCGGCAGAGTTGGGGCTGGACCGGTTACCTACGCCGGACGAGGCACACCGGACGGGACAGTCCGCCATCTTCGGCTCTTCGCCGCCAGGGCAGAGCAAAGAGAGCCTGCCCGAGCTCGATGTGTCGAGTAAACTCGGTTCGAGCGTCGCTGAAAAGTCGCCCGCTACAATGGCCTCTGTCGGCAAGACTCCACGAGGCCCAAGGCCGGACGAGTTCTCGACCAGAAGTGAAGCCGATAACCCGCCGCTGACGCCGCGATCGATCAAGGCTTCCTCTAGCGAAGGGTCGTCCTCGCCGAGAATCAGCGAACAACAATTCACCAGCTTTGATCAGATCGTGTCCCCGGCCCAGGATGACGCCGGAGAGAACGAAGCGCCCAAGAAGGCCCCCCTGACCCTCCATAACGCCTCCTTTACCCTGCACGACGACTCGACCGGGGACAGCAGCAAAATCCGCAGCAAGCCGACCTGGGATTATCTGATTCAGGTGGAACCGTCGTCGGCGGCGTATCCCGGATGGATGATTGTGCGGAGGTACTCCGACTTTGAGACGCTGCACGAGATTCTGCGGCGCATCGCGACCATCTCGGGCGCTACGGCGTTTACGGAGCTGCACAAGGAGCTGCCAGGCTGGAAGATCCACACGAGGGAATCTCTGCGCGGCGAGCTGGAGCGGTACCTGAGGGACGCGTGCTGGTACCAGACCCTGGCCGAGAGCGAGGGCATGAAGCGGTTCTTGGAAAAGTCCCAGGGGCACACGCATGGCAGCTCCAAGTCATTCGGGTGGGATTCCGTCGGCAAAAACATGCTCGACGTGCTCAACATGGGGCCAAAGGGAGCCGTGGAGGGCGGCAAGAACCTGGTCGGCGGCGTGAGCGGCGTCTTCAACAACTTTCCCAGCCTGAGCAGGAAGTCGACCAACCAGTCCATCGACCTGACCGCGAACTCCAGCCGCCTCTCCATATCCGGGCACTCGCCGGCGACGACGGCCAAGTCCCCAGCCCGGTCGGAGCGCGCGAGCATGGACAGCCAGCGGTCATCCGTCATCTCGACGCAGCCGGGCAAGATGGCGCCGATGGACCGGCGGCCGAGCCATCCGTCCCCGGGCGACGGCGACGGCGACGGCGGGAGGGTCGGTCGGGCGGACCGAACCGAGTCGTGGTCGGGCCCGGCCAGCACGCGACCTAGCAGGGAGCACAGCCGGACATCGAGCCTCGCGCCGCTGCACTCGCCCTCCACGGCCAGCCTGGAATTCATGAAGCTGCCTCCGCCGCCCGACGAGATGGGAGACGACTACGAGGCGTCGGTCAACGGCGAGGAGACCGGGACGAGGGCCGACGAGGGCGCGACGACGCACGCCACCCCGCGCAGCAGCATGCAGGGCGTCACGTCCCCCGCCGCAGCGGTGCCGGCGACCAACGGCGGAGCCAAGAAGGCTTCCGCCGCGAAGCCGGGCAAGCAGTACTCGCAGATGTCGGAGCACGAGACGCGGGTGGCGGTGGAGCTCCTGTTCGCCGTCATCAACGAAATGTACACGCTGTCGTCGGCGTGGAACATCCGGCGGACGCTGCTGACGGCGGCCAAGTCGTTCCTGCTGCGACCGGGCAACCCGTCGCTGCTGACGGTGCAGTCGCTGATCCAGACGTCGGTGCTCGACGCAAACACGTCGGACGCGGGCATCGCGGCGTCGCTGCGCACGCTGCGCGAGAACACGGTGCCGACCGAGGCGGAGCGCGCGGGGTGGCCGGCCGAGGCGTCGGCCGACGAGAAGGACCGGCTGGCGGTCAAGGCGCGGCGGCTGCTCATCCAGAGCGGCGTGCCCGCGGCGCTCATGGGCGTCATGGGCCAGGCGGCGACGGGGGACGCGCTGGGCAGGGTGTTTGACTGTTTGCAGATTGAAGAGGTGGCGCGGGGGTTGGTTTTTGGGCTGATTCTGCAGGCCGTCAGGATTGTGACGCATTGATGGGTGTTGTTTTCGACTATCAAGCAGGGAAAGAAAAGAACAAGGCGATGGCAGGCATTACGATGACGGAGCGGCTACTTTTCCCCTGCCCGGGGTGGCGAGGGGGCTTTTTGTACAACCACGAGATATTCCTTTTCTTTTCCTGTTTTCTTCTTTGATGTCGTTTTCTTCCTGTTTCAAGCTTTGCAGCGTGGGCGGAGCTGTGCCCTCTGGCATCTTTCCACGGGGCAAGCGGTGGGAGGGGGTTTGTTCTTGGCGACGATGCCAGGCCGGGCGACCAGAGCGTCCACGACTTGATTTCTACACTCTTGTTGACGTTTTCTTTCCGCCTCCTTGACTGAGGAATAACGTAGCGGGTCGCGTTCGAAATACATGGCCCCATGTACGCGGGGGGGTTGTGCAGCTGTCTTTCCCGTCCTTTCTCCGCTATAAGCGAGGGGCGGAGACCTGGCCTGAAGAAGTTGGTGGGATTAAGCATAGGAGTGGCAACGCGCCCGGTATATTTGCATCTCGTGGCTGGGCGTGGGAGGGGGGCGCTTGTTGTAGGTGGGCGTGACTTGAAGCCGTGGTCATTACGTGCGCAACGACGCGCGCTTCCGTCCATTGACCCGTCGTGGCCGTGTTTGCATGTATGAGAGTACTTTTCATATCGGAAACGAAAGACCAAAGTGGAAGTGCAAAGAAAGCAAGAACCAAGGCCCGACTTTGAACATGGATGACCCTTAATCATCCCCCCCCCCCTTTTCCCCCCGGCTCATCACCCCAGACCCCCGACGGCAAGGAACGTCTTTTCTTTTCTAGAAGACAAAAAGGAAGACGAGGCGCAGTCCCAGCTCTGGGTGCTGCTTGCATGTCGTCCCCCCTCGCGTAGCACATGTACAGTACATCTCCTCTCTCTATACTCGTACTGTGCCAAGTCCGCACCCGCTCCTCCGGATGTGCCCCACCCACGCGCCGGCCCCCCGGCCCCGAACCCCCCCCCCCCGCCATTCCCCGGTTCGGGACACAAGATCAGCATCGGTACCAGCGGATCACCCTGCCGCATCTATATTGCAGTATATCCCTCCGTCCAGCACCAGGGTTTAAGCGTGCAGGGGGATCGGAAAGCCGGAAAACCCCAGAAGTGAGAGCCGAAAGAGAGGAATACAAGGAAAAGGTTCGGACCAAAGGAACGCTCCGGCAATCATCCTGCACTTCCTCCTCCACGGCGTGGAACCGACACCCTCCCTCCTTCCCTCCCTCATTTGCTCCTCGCGTCCCACACCAATCTGCAGTCCCAAGGGGGTCTACTTTCTTACCATGCGATACCCCTTCTTCACTTGTACAATTATCCAACGTCGGCGTACTCAGAGCAGTAAGCAGAAATAAACCCGTACTCAACCAAGGCAAGCAAACCTACACCGTAGGTGACGTGTTACAGGAGACGATCCATCTGCAAGGTACGCGCAGACGGTCAAATACACAGCTCACAGAATCTGCATTACTGACTCAATCAGGCTATGCTCCACTCACGTTCTCAGATGGTGCGAGGCAAGATGGTGCGAGGCAAGATGCCGTCATTGGCTTCTGCTCGAGAACATACATGACGGGGAAATGACACGATAATGTCACAATGTGGAAAGGGACCGAGCAAATAGGGCAGGCATTAATATTAGAAAGGACAATCTGTACACAGTGCTTGCACGTATGGACATGATCGTGGCCAATCGCCTTCCAAAACAAATGAAAACAAAATATCTAGAATACTGGAGAATGAAGAATCAGGCCACACCAAGGTCGCGCTCCAGACGCTAATGTCTCGTAAAGGACGGACGAGTCAGCGGTGGTGGAGGGCGTTCGTGTTCCCGTTTCAGGCACACGTGCAACCAGCTGTAGCCGTCGCCCATGTCCTTGGGCCCGTCGTCACCATCCCCGCAGGCTTCCTCTGCGCGTTCCAGCATCCTTCCATCCAGGGTCAGACCATGTGCACGTCACAGGTCGCCGGTCCGGGTGCTGAAAGATCAAGCGAGTAAGTGATAAGGGTAATGAACTTCGCGGAAGTGTACTCATGTCGAAGCTCCGGTGCAATGGTGCAATGCGCGGCTGAAAGAGCGCCGCAGTTCAGGCATGGTGCCATGGAGTGACGCAGGCTATGATGAAAGCTAGAAAAAGAACAATGACTGCTGGTATCTCGCGCCCCAGGCTGCCCTGGCCAAGCAGGACCCCGAAAAAGCCTTCCTTGGCATCGCCTTGTTTCGGGTGTGGAACAAAGGAAAAATCCCCAAAAACAAACGAGGAATAAGAAAGAGTCGCAGGCTCGTGTCGTCAAAAGGAAGCACGCTAGATGATGTGGCGCAACGGGTATCAAGGGCACTTTTGTAGACAAAGAAACGGCAAAGTCGCACATAGACATGGGTGTATGTACACTGCGGGTGGTGGTAGAGGATTATCGTCATGTATGGACGTGGCGGCTCAAGGCTTGAACACGGCGCTCGTGAGAAGAAGTTCACCTTCGGCCGGCTTGATGTCTTTGAGCGGCGGCGGCGGCGGCACGGACGGCATCGTCTCTTTGGGCCCGTCCTTGGTAGTCGAGGTATGGGAAGCAGGGGTTCGCGGCGGAGGAAAAACAAAGGAAGATGCCGAGCCGTTTGGGGTCGCCGAGCCCTTGGAACTCCCGTGCTTCCCGCGCTCGCCCTGCCTCCCAGAAGACTCCCACGGCTTGGCGGGGATCCGTTGGCTGCCCATTCGGGAGATTTCGTCTTCGACGTCGGCGAGCAAGGCAAAGACATCGCCGCCCACGTAGACCCGTATGCTTTCCACATCAGACCGTTTTGGGCCTTTGGCCACGCTGCCCCGAGTCTGCTGGGCAGCCTGCTCGATCTCCACGACGGGCTGTTCGATGACGGTGCTGGGCACTTGGGCAACCACCCGCTGCGGCGATGGCGACTCGCCTCCAAGGGGGTTGGAGAATGCCTGTCTCTTCGGACTCCGGGGGGGCGTGGAGATGCCGGAAGGGACGGGCGACCTGACGCCCATGATCTGCTGCAGGGACTCGCAGGAAGCGGCGGGGCTGCTCGGAACAGGGAGCAGGGTAGCGGCTGCGACGTGCTCGAGGAGCTTCTGGCGGATCCGTGCGCGTCGATTCTCGACATGCTCGAGCTTGTTGACCCAGTCGTCGATGGAATCGTCCAGCTCGGCCAGGGCCTCTTCTTGCCGCAGCATCGACTCGTGACTGAAACGAGTCGTGCGCGGCGAGCGAAGGTATTGGCAAATCCGAGAATGGAGATTGCGGCGCCCAGATCGTAGAGACGTGTAGGTGCGTCGGAGGTACTCTGTCCGTTCGTCGAGTTGACGAAGTTCCTGGTGCGGGAGTTTAGCACTTGACGCCGTATGGCAGATGAAAAGGAAGAGGCGCGTACCTTGGAGAGGGCCTCGACGTCGCCGGCTCCGAGGACTTCAAACCTCTCGGCTTGACGATATGCCTGCTTCTGAAGCGACGACGAGTCCCCGGCACTCAGCTTACCCAATGCATCGCGCGGCTTCCAGCCCCTGGGCAGGTCCTCGAAAGCCCTTCGCTCAAGGCTCTTGTCTCGCACGCACTCACTGCACTTGGGCGGAGCCGGGAGCGGGCTGTTCTTGTCCTTGTCCCTGCAAATATTGCTGCTGGGTTGGCCGTCGCGCTTCCTGGGTCGCCCTCTATCCACTATGCTCGACGAGGCGGATACCCGTCTTTGATGTCCGCAGGCGGCGCCGTAAGGCGATGCATCGTCGGTGTAAGGTGTGGCGAAGCCGTCACCGCTACCAGGGCCATCCCACGACTTGGGCGAAGCACAGTGAAGTTCCGTAAGCGGCGCAGACATGGGAGTGGTGAGTGCAGTGCCCGAGGTGCCGTCTGTGGTGGCGGATCGGGGCAAGGAGAGATCTGGAGTCGAGACACTGGGTGTGTAGAGTTCCCGGCCCAGGGGTGAGGATTCGAGGACTGGCCGGGGAGACTCCCGGGGCGGAGCGCTATCGGAGCGAAGCTTTGCGAGGGAAATCTTGGACTGGAGGAGAGGAGCAGGGCGGTTGCGTTGGTGAATGATGAGCGGGGCTGGGCTATCGGGAAGGAGACTCGGGGGCGACCAGGCTGGCTCTGCAGTGCCAGTGAAAGCCCTGTCGAGGGTGGATGCGAAGCCATGATGGTCTCTGTCCTTGGAAATGGGGGTTGGAACTGGCCCCGTCTTCTCCTTGGGAGCGCTGGAAGAGCGCTCGTGGAGGGCCGGCCGGCCGGGAATGGTGGCTGCTTCGTTGGTCAGCGAGAATGCCAGGGTGGCTCGGAGAGGGCAGCACATACGTGAGTCCATGGGGACCTCCTGGACGGTTGTCATGTGAGAGGAATCCTGAGGGATAGGCTTGCGTCGTCGCGCTTGACTGTGCTGGTTGGGTCTCAAGCGCAGATGGGCGACGGCATTGGCCTTGTCGGTCTTGTCGCCCATGGCATAGGCAAAGGCCTTCTCGGGATCGAGGGCCTTGCCGCTGCTGGAAAGAGGCAGCTGCTTGTCCTTGGGAAAGAGTTGATACCTGCGCTGCTGATCCGAAGGCAGCATCCTCCACGCGTGGGGCTTGTCGGAAGATGAAGCCTGTGATGGCGATTGTCGAGGAGAGGCGTGCTCTGCGTTGGCAACGCAGCTGGCAATGTGAGCCATGGTGCTTGCGACGTTCTGATGTCTATTGCTCGGAGTTGAGAGTGCGTTGGCGCGACGGTCGACAGGAGCCGTACGTCAAAGAGAGAAGCTCCGTGCCAGACGGGGACGCCGGAGTAGGCGATATATAACGACGAAGTTGTGCCAGGCCCGCAGGGGGCCCCCGCCGGCGAGAGACGAGGTGCACCATCCATCGGGAAGGGCTGCACAGACCGAGATCCTGAGACGGCACCCATGGAGGTTGGGGTGTGGTTCCGATGGTCAAGGTGGTGGAGGAGGTGGTGGTGGCGGTGGGCGGTGGGCGGTGGGCGGTGGGGAAGTACATACTCGGAACAGTGCGGAGGATTACCTGAACCGGGCCCGTACCTGCCCGTCATGCACACTCTACGTACTAGAGTGGCCCAGCCCTTTGACCCCTCCCCTCCTCCCTCCCCTCCCCTACCCTGCTGCCCTGTAAAGGTACTAATGTACCTCCTTTTAGGAGTAGGGGGAGGAATACTGAGGTACCTTAGGTAGTTTGGGTTTGAAACCCAAATGTACTGCAGCCATTTCCGCACAATGGGTTGCAGGCACATGTACAGTATGGCGCACGTGGGCGAGGCCGAAGCAAGTTGGAGGCGCCGTATTACCGTTGCACCCCGCCTCCCGAGGGGCTGGTTCTATCGCGCCAGGCCCTCAAGTACAGGCACCTTGGCACCCTACAGGGGGGACAGTCAGGACTCGCGGCGCCCCCGGATCGCCGGGAACAAGCGCCGGGCAGACAGGCAGCAGGCATCTCCCGGCGGCGCAGCAACGCCTGGGCTGCTGGAGCAGGGGGGGGGGGGTGTTGAAGATGCACAAAATAGCACAGTGGCGTCACACAAGAGCGCCGCCATCCTTTCAATCCGTCGTCTCTTTTTTCTACGTCTTCCTTAAGTTACCAATTCTTTTTATTCCTTTACCTTCTTTTTTTAGCCCTGTTCCTGGTTGTCCCCTGTACTTGGCACCTGCAGGGACCCTAACTTTGAATTGCAGACAGTCCCCTCCCGCCCGGGCTTGATAGCGGGTGCACTCGCTCGTATACAGTATACATCGACGAAGTGATAGATTACGGACCAGAATCGAGTAGACATATCCCGGGCCAGCCGGATCGATGGGCTCGTGTGCTGGATAAAGTCGCGTGGGCAGCATCAGTGCGCCGCGAGCTCGCCATTGCAAGCAGTCGGAATTACCCCCGTCATTTGTCTGTGGGTGAGGAGCGAAACGTTGTCTCCCCCCCCCCTTCTACTCTGGTCCAAAACGCTCTCTTTCTTGCTTGGCCCCAAACCGGTAAGTCAAGGAATCCGAATGCAACGATTACTTGCAGAAGCAAGAAAAGAAAAACGAGGAAGCATGGAGCGGTTCGTGCTTGTTATCCACCACGGCCCAGAATGGCCCCTTGGATCCCGCCGGGGGAGCATCAAAGGGCAATCCATCATGGCCGTTGTCCATCTTCAACGCCGATTCACCACCGTCTCCGTGCCGCCACCGGCTAAAGGGGGGAAATGAAGAGAAGGAAAAGAAGAAGCGGAGCCCGTGAGTGGTACGGTAAAGGGAAACGGCTTATACCACCCAAGACGCTAGTAAATAGTCGCCGCAATACGACGCCCTCGCTAGGACCCCGTGCTGGCGTCATAGCTCAGATGCCCTTCCACGGCTCAACCTTTGCTCTGCCGTCTGCTGTACGTATCATCACACTGTACACAGCTCGCACGTGAAGAAAAAGGATGCGGAGCAGAGGACAGAAGTGACGTTGGCTTGTCATGCGCATGCATGAACCGTACGGGCCCAAACCAACCAGAAGTCTTTGCTCGCCGGCTCTTGACGGGAGCCGGCAACTGATTACGCCACGATGAGGTTGTTGCTGTTTCACAAGCTCTCAACGTACGTCAGGCAGTCTTGGCAGTCGCTGGCTTTGGCTTTAACCAGCTGCCGGCTGGACCAAGATGGCCGAGGTCAGGCGACTGCCACGGTGCAGATGGTCGACGGCCTCGACCTGTGCCTCCAGATGCCGACAGATAGCCGCAAATCGCGGGGGAGCAGCACGCACAAAACACTGCTGCAAGCAGGCACATGGGGCCAACTCAAAGACAGGCCATGTTCGCCGTGGAGTTTCAGCCGCATGCTTGACGCCGGCATCGCAGACAACAAAGCGCGCGTCACCAAAGCCCCCTAGGCCCGATGCGTGACACGCGTGGACTTGGCCAAACATTGCCCATGATGAATCAGCAAGGGACAATGGAAGAGCTGGCCAAGGAAGCAGGGTAGAGAAATACGAGTCTCGAGTCGGTTCTGGGTCGGGTGTCAGGCACGGCACTGGGCCAAGATGCCCTGTAGCCACAGTGGACTGAGTGCTCCAGGTACAGTACACAGTACACACACACACACACGCACACACAGGTGCCCGCCCACCATCTCAAACCCTTCTAGACGCGTCACGCGACTAGGCAAACCCTCTCTCTCTCTCCCTCCCCCCCCCTCGCTGGCCATTCTCGAAAGACAGCTCTGGCCTCCGTAGAGGCTTGCATGCCCGTGTGCACGTCCCGGCAGACGAGACGAAATGTTCCAACCGCATACGGCTTCTTCCGTCGTGCCCACCATCGTGATCCCACCATCGTGATCACGCTGCTGCATCTCGGCACCAGCATCGCCACTCACTTCGGGAGCCGGCTTGCCTAGCTGGATGACATGGGGCGTCATCTACCGACAAGCCGCCCGGAAAACGATGAGTAGACGGAGATTAACCACAGCATCTCGGCGATATTGACCCGGAGCTTGTCCACGTGGTGCCGTCCCGTCGCCGTGCGCGCGCAGTGGCCACCCTCATGAGACCGGCTCTTCCCCTTCCCAGCCAGCTCGTCAGCTCATGATGACGAACTTCGCCCGAGGCCATCGTTTCCCCGGAGTTGGCTGCCCTGCACACATTGATACCAACTGCAGCAGCCGAGCTGTCTCTTTGTTGCCACGGCTGGTTGGACAAAGCCAAGGCCGTATCCCCGTCCCCGTCCCCGTCCCCGTACATGTACACGCAACGCACCGGGCCTCCCTCATCTCTCAGAAACAGCTCGGCATGCAGCCCGCTTCTCGTCAAGCAGCCTGGTGTTTTCATGTCTGCGATGCAAAGGCATTCGGCGTTCCATGTTGGTGATACAAGCCGAGGTCCAAGCGGCACTCGCTGCTGTAGAGTATTCAGTTGCACGGCCGAGGTACACCGACGGCGTCGAGCATGTCCCGTCTGAAACAATGCCTTGCATTTACGCCTTTGGGCAAGGTCCATATCCAATCAACCTTAACTAATCCTTCGGGCCTATCCATGCTGGCTCAAACGCCGTCGACGGGAGAGAGATCCCGTCACCACTTGCCGCTCCATCCACACTGGAAAGGCACTACCCGTCCTCCTTTAACCACGTGCAATTATATCACCAACTAGAGCACCCGGTTCAATGCTGCTCGCCATCCACCACGGTAGCCATCTTGCCCTCAAATTTCTCCTGCTTGAAACGACCAAAACAAAGCTTGAGGCTCGTCGGCCACTAGCTGCGTGCCTTCCCTGGAACAACCTTTGGTGACCAGGCTGTATATGGATTCAATGACTGCTGAGCAGAACAGACATCCTGACTAGCCTCTGGGAGCTAGCTCGACTCTGCGTGGCCGCTTCCCCACAAACCTGAACCTGGACATCCTTGGAATCGACCTATGAGGATCGCCGCTACTGTGGGCGGAACGACACACCTCAATTGCACAGCCGAGCGAGTCCCTGGCTGGGTACCTGTTTCAATATCATCAGCAGACGCCTAAGCTTGTCCTCGGCTCGAAACTGAGTCGAGCCCATGTTCCCGACTCGTTTTGCGCCCGACTCGACGAGCGCAGCGGGAGCCGAAATCAGGTTTGAAGAAACAGATCTTCAAAACAGCGCACATCACTATATACTGACTCGTCGAGCTCGGAGATTAAGGGCCGAAACGAAACACCTACACGAGGAGTTGGCAAACAGGCATTAGTCGGCGCCGTTGAACAGAAGAGACGGGACAGCTGGAGCCATGGGTTCTTCGTCCCAGTCATGATTAATCCTAGGGCGTTACTGATGATTGCGCCAACCCAAGAAATATGGGTAACGCGAGATGAACTGGCCCTTGAATTAAAGTGCCCGAGAATGAGGTCATGGTGAGCAATCCCCCCAGACTCGCGGCGGCTAAATGAGTTGAAGTTCAAAGACCGACGAGGGTTCTAATATTAAACCAGTGCGTGTTCTCGTGTCATGACTCAAAAGAACGTCGCAAGCTACTAAAAGACGGACTCAAATGGATCGGGTTCGACGTCTTTCATCGGCCGGCTGAATCAGCTGGACTATCAACTGGATCCAAATATAAATCTTTCACCTGAAATTTCAGTCTTTGCGAACCGATTTCTTTCTATTCCAGTCCGTACTTGCGGGACCGCCCGAGCTGAGAACAGATGCTCCATGACTCCGAAGATCAAACATGGAAAGAAGGACGTCGTGGCGCAGCCCGTGGCTATCGCGGGCTATGTCGTCCTTGCTGAATCCATCTTCAAGGCCCCGAACGGTCTCGAACGCGCCAGGTGACCATAATCTCGTAGCATCTACCCTGGAAGCACAAATGAGTCGTACTGGAGCTCTCAATTCGGAGTCAAGAGTGTCAACTTTTCTGCCAAGTATGTGTGTCTCGGCGAAATTGAGCTCGGATCCAAACAGCTGAGATTAGCCCAGATTCAAACTTCCCCGTGTAGAACATTTCACGTTATTTACCCTTCTCCTGAGTCATCGTATCTGAGTAGTGTCCTGACGAATTGAACGAACATTGTTGGAGTAGGCCTGAACAAGTGTTTCTCCACGACGCAATGAGCACAGCATGGAACGTTGGCACCCACCCTCTTTCTTGCATTGCGCACTCTTCCAGCGCATGGAGACACATTTGGTTATAGTTCCCCTTGAGGAAGAGAGAAAGGTGACAGTTATGGCGAGGCGCGGGGGGTTGATCAGGTTTGTAAGTTCGGTGAGTCCAGAGGCCACAACACCGACGATGGGACTGATGTCGCCCTCGACCAAGTTGACTAATATACTTCCAGATGCGAGTCTTTCCAGAGAAGAAAGTGCAGTGATGAGGCGAGATTTGCCTATAGCCAGGTGGGCTAAGTCGGAGACCTAACGCATTAGAGGAGAACGACGGCAGCTCGACCTCAATGTCTCAGGCCGTCCAAGCAGACAATCCCGCATCTAGACTTACAGTCTTGCGAGAAGAGAAATAAAGGAATCGCGGGACTTTGTACAAAACTCAGTCAGCAAGCTGCGGATTGAAGGTCACACCGGACAGGGTAATGAAATCCCGACAGCCCGTAAGCCCGTATTATTGGATCATCAACATGCCACTCCATTCCATGCTGAAGATGACGACACGTGAGCTTAAAAGCTCGAACGCAGCCGTCAGCGTCGGCTTCCTCCTCGGATTCCAACCGACTCCGTCAACCTCGAGCCCCTGATCTTTCTCTGCCTTTGAAACACCCCATTTTTGGGCACTCCGGAGACTGAACATGACACTGCCTTTCACTTCGTATCGCAAGCTCGCGCTTGGCTGCCTCGTCGCCTTCGCTGCCTTTACCCTCGGCGAATCGGCCCCGCGTCGTCCAACGAGCCCCGCGATGCCGTCATCTCAAATGCAGCCACACAGGCCGGCAAACGGGCCCGAACCCGCTCAACAAGCTAGCTGTCACGCTGCGGCAAACCGGCTCGTCGCCCCCGACCGTGCGCGCCACCGTCACCAACAAGAACTACTTCCCCGTTACAATCGTAGCCTACCAGTCGCCCCTGGATCAGCTGGCCCTGCAACTCGGTATGCTGTCCATCACACCCGCCGGCTCCAAGACGCCGCTCGAGCTGCGGGTCGTCAAGGTCAAGCGGGTGTGGCCTCCCCCCGAAGGGTCGCTCATCGTCATCCAGCCGGGAGCGAGCGCCACCAATGACATGGTAATTCAGGAACCAACGGTCCCGATGGATAAGCTCGACAGGAAAGCCACCGTCGTCTTCAGCGGCGACTGGATCGCAGTCTGGCCCCGACCGAGGAATCAAATCAGCAAATCCGAGATTGAGAACGCGAGCGAGAGCGCCTTTTCAGGCCCCTTCTCAACACGCGCCCTTGAGATTAGGGTTAAATAGTCACATGTACTACCTGTGTTTTGGGACCAACGTGCCTACGAACGTTCTTTGCTCGGAGACTATGGCAAAGCACAAGGCTGGCCTCTGAGAGCCTGTTTGTGTGGGCTTTCACGAGTAGGGGTATGTCAAAGTACGCCTCTGGTAGTAGTAACTTGCACCGGCAGAAAGGGTCAGGGCAGCTAGATCAGTACCAAATAGCAAGTGCCAATACCGGGCACTGCTCTATGACGTGCATGTGACCAGATCATCACGACCAGGTATAATGCAAAGGTCTGGTGCTTCAGTCGGCGTACCAAAACTGTCCATCTCGCAGATTACCGAACTCCCGACTTAACATTATTCCATGCCTTGCAAGTATGTGTGGGAAGCCATCTGAACTAACCCTGTGACCTATAATGTATGTTGGCAGTTTGCGATTGGGCCTTGTTGTCGTACAAGGTTCACCACCAATCAAATCAATAGAAACACGTCGTTGCTCCTTCGCTCCAAGGCTCACACTATGGCAGAAGACGAGCAAAAAGCCACTGTGGAATTCCAAGAACGCGGGCGATACCAATATTGGGCTTCACCAAGTCTTAGTCGAAGTATTTAGAGAGTCTCGTTGATTTCATAGCAACACGAAGTAAAGACTGTATGTACATGTAAAAAGAACATGGACTCGTGAATCACTCTTCCCCGACAGATCCACGGCAACCTCGCCTTCCCTGCGTCCAAAGTTGGCGTTTGATTTCCGAAGGGCCTGTCTTGTAGGCGGCATCAAGTGCTATCGCACCATTTAAAGAAGTTTGAGGCAGTTCAGCGCAACGACATTGATAAGAGTTCCCTGATGGACACATTAGCCGGGGCTCGCCGCAACGAGTTCCCGCACATTGGAGGATGTGGAGATCATTCTTACAGCAGGGGCATCTGTCGTGCAGCAGTAGGCGCTGTTGTTGCAGTTTTCTCCGACAACTGCAACGAGGCAGTTGAGAAGTCCGGTGCAGCAGACTTGCTTCTGGCCGCTGGCGGAGCAGGTGGTGCCGCCGCCGCCGCTGCCGCCGCCGTTGCCGGGGCCACCGCGAGCCTCGAGCTCGGTGGGGACGGCGATGGCAGTGGCGGCCAGGGCAAGAACGGAGAAGGCAGCGGTGTACTTCATTTTGGCGGGTGGGTTGCTGTTGGATAGCGAAGGGGAATTGTGTTTGAAAGATTGAAGTGATTGAAGATGCTTGAGATGCTTGGTTGGAAGGCTTGATGATTTGAATTTGAGATTGAGGGACACGAGGAGGGTTTATATAGACTTCCGGAACGCGGCAACAAGGGCACGAGCAAGCAGGATCATCCTCTTTGCCTCCAGTCCTGATGTCCCGCTTGCCGCCCGCCCATCACGCTTGTTGCGGAAGCCATGTCGCTAGCCATCTACATGTTCTACCCTGCCACGCACCATCGTGAGGCGTCTTCAGCTAGATCATGAAGCTGAACGAACATGGATTCTGGGCATCGTGCGATTGCGGGATTGATGCTCCGCCCCGGGCAGCCACATTCTGAGCCGTCCCAGCCAAACCCAAAGCCGTTAAGCTGGCAGAGGCTTGCCTTAAGCGCGACTCTTCGCAACAATAGTTTCATCAGGTTTTCCCCCATGCAGGTTAGAGCTCAATGGCTCACCATGGTCGTGTGCTCAACATTGCATGCAGGAACCGCCGTCAAGACGCGGATGCTGGCTCCCGACTTCCGTCCGCTGCAGAGTAGCAGAGAAGCCAACTAACATGCTTTGACTAAGACTTCGCGAAACACGTTTACTTCAAGTGAATGCGATCTGAGAGCCACGTGTGTACTGTATACGATCTGTAGAGTACACACTTGCTGTTCTTGGACCAGCACCATAAACCCCTGTCCCGAAATTGATTCGACTAGCACGTGGTCCAACCCCATGTCCATGAGAATCAGTATGCTCCGAGTGGACATGGAAGCTCGTGCTGGCTTGGCTGATGGCGTCGAAGGTTCAGACTGCCCAGGCGGCTTATGTCCCGTAATAGCTCGAAGCATCGAACATTTCGTCAGGTCTTGGCGATCGACAACGGCGGGGACATCCAATGAGAGACTCCATAGGAGGAAGATCGCGTTTAAACCCACTTATTGATGGAGATCTCCACTGCTAAGACCCGACCGTTTTTCGAGTTATTACATGCGACGAGCCACTGACATCACACTTGTTGATGGTGATTGGACTCGACGTGCCGAGACATGCCGCAGATGGGGCTGCCAGTCCATTTTGATGCCGCATTGTGGCTTCGAGCTACGATCTAGCAGCTTGGGCTAAAGCCGCCCTGGACTCAACCAGGGCGCTTAAGAGACTCGAGCCGTCTTAGCCTGGATGCCAAGTCCGGGGCGAAAAGGACAGGCCCACAACAAGAACTGGCATCTCATAAATCCATTACCATCTTTGAACCACCGTTGTCAGCCGATTACGTCAATATATCTAGGCGGGTGGCATGCTTCAGCCGCATTGTCAGCACTTCCTGACCTATAGTAGTATCGCCAAAAGCTTCTCGCCGCAACAATTTGGCATGCCCTCCCACTTACAAGCACGGCAAGACATGTATGCCGGTCCAGAAACCGCCACGCGCGGGGTGATGATTGGCTTGCGGCCTAGCTCCATCTGTGCTCCCTGCCCCCTTTCCCCCCAGGATCTGCTTTTGCCACTTTCAGCCTGCCGTGTCTCGGCGGATCGCGGCTCCGGTGATTGTCGTCGGATGGAGAAACCGGATTCAAGCCTCGTCGCTCACCGCTTGGGCTGTCAAAGTGCTGCAACACAGCATTCAGCAGGGAGGGAGAGTGGCAGATCGACCTGGAGGAGATCAGGCGGACAGGTTATTCCGGAATGGCCTGATGGCCTGATGGCCTGATCGGACATATATACAGTAGAGACCGAGGAGAATAGACTGAGAATCTGGTCGCAACCAGCTCGGTCGCCCGTCTGCCGGAACCTCGGGCATGATGCACACAGAAAACCTGGAGAATGATGGCCGCTACAGCACATGAGGCTAGCCTCGTCCCTCCTGTCTATTCTTACTCGTAGAGTCAGTGGCCGCCGATGAGAGATCGGAACTCGCGATCTCTTTGCGGTGAGCACGGGCGGCTAGAACATCTCATGAACCCGGCACTAACAGATCCTACCAGCCTCCGTATGCCTGACTAGCGATAGCCGAGATGCTTCGATCTACCGAAAATCGTCTCGGCATATTAATTATTCACGCAGCTCACCCCGGGTGCATGGAGCTTGCTTAGTGCTAAGCCGCTTCCCCTGTCGGATCTGATCTGACAGCTCAGCGATCGACACAAGAAGTTGCCTAAGAGGGGTTTTCTGACCACAAGGCTCACGTCAAAGGACGCTATTGTCCTCCTGCATAAACTAGTGTGCTGTTTCCCATCAGGGGCCTCTCAAACTAATTACTGTACTTCGTTGAAAACGCCTGCTCGGCGAGAGCATCACCTGCCATTGCCTCTCCGCTGGCGCCAGGGCTATCGGAGTTGAAGTCGTATGGGATGGGAGTCCTCCACGCCGATCCCCGCATCGCCCTAACGCCGCACCTTTTCAGCTCCGAGGTCATGAAAGTGTCGTTTTCGGTGCTTGCTTCTTTCATGTTGGGTACGGCAGAACCTTGATTGAGGTTGGCGCCGGATGCTGTTGCGACGGCCCGTGCCGTTCGTACGTGCAGTGCAGCCTTAGACTGGCTTTCAAATATAATTAGCCGACAAGTCACCCATACATATGCACCTACATAAGCTCAGCCACAAGCTGTTGCAGGTGTTGTGCTGAAGTCAAGAGCGTAGAGGAGCACACATCCTATACCTCTTGATCCGCAACTTGCTCCCGCAGACTACGAGGGAAGACATTGAGTACACTGCCATGAGTTCGTCGGTTGAAGAAAACTCAACGAGAGTCCTGTAGTACGAGACTAACTAGAGCTTCGCGATGCCTTGATTCATTGGCAGATATCCTGGACACCCCCTTTCTGATCCCCTGGAGCTGCCAGCCACGTCCTCTTAGAACAGGAGTAATCAGGACTGCAGCCACCAGCGGTAAAGACGTTTGAAGGCATTTTCCCTGTTCAATTCATTTGTCGGATCCGACGGCGACATGTTAGAACCGGGCATGTCTTGGAAGTGGCAAAGCAATGATGCATATGGGGCGCGTGAGAAGTTTGATCTTCTCAAGCTTAGCTGCTTCGCACATGCACAGTAGCTCAACCAGCTCGTGGCTTCAGCTCGAGCGTGGTGTTATCACGGCCTTGTGGACGGCGCATCTCGCGCTTAAGTTATTTATTTGCCAGCAACTTAATCTATCAGGCCTAGTCTGGAGCCCTTTTTTGCGTTATCCGTTGCCCCCATAAAGGATTTGCTTTGTGATGAGCGTTCACGTTTTCGGGAATGGAACCATGACTGTCAGACAGCTACGGACGAGAAGAAAATACGAACCCGTGGACTATACAGCGCAGAATGCTCAACTAATCAATATTGTTGACTCACCTGTAAAGTTCTGTCCACGCCGCAACCCCAAGTAGATTTCGGCCGTCGGATTTATAAAGTTTAGTTGGGCCTCAATGTTATGAAGGCTGCGACATTCATAGTGTGCTACCTACCGAAGGTCCTGTTTGCAAGACCACCCAGAAGAAGCCGCCAAATGGCACGAACTCTTCCCGAGGTATCATTTCACTCTGGGGAGCATTTTCGGCTCAAAATCCAGACTTTAAGTTAGTCTACGACGACAGGAAACGAGGCGGACTGTACGAAAGATGCAAAATATTGGAGCCGTTATGGTGAAGGAAATCAGCCAGCAACGATAAGGGAGAGATTTCTGATGGAGCAAAGTGAAGTGCTGCCCATAATACGTCCCCCGCTTATCACGTTTTACAATGGTAGGTATGATCAACATGCCCCTGAAATCCGTGACAAAAATAGGGGGGCGGGGGCCGAGGGGGAGGGAGGAGAAAACCGGTTCACGATTCGGCTTCCTCAGCCACGGGCTGCCCAAGCACAGAACACTACATCTCCCCCACACTGTAGGAGACAGCGAGAAGGATGAGGATATAAAGCCGCTCAAGGCCAGCAAAAGGGCGACTAGATCGTTGCATGCATCTTAGATGGTGAGGTACTTTCAAAGTAAGCCATTCGTGGCCGCCGCCCCCGATCCCTTTACATTCGGGTCTACCGTCATCTCAAGCCGGAGGGGACACATTCGGGTAGGAAGGCTTTGGGTCATTGCCTCCACAACCTTGACCTCAGGCTCGTGCCTTTCTCCAACTTCGTATGCTTGCGGATTTTTCTGCTTCCCTTGAGCCCGCTTGTGAATTTCTAGCGGGTAAGAACAGGCATTGTCAATGGTATGGGCTATTGTTGTGTCGTGTTACGCTCATTGTGCTTCATGAATACCAGCTCCCACTGTTCGGCACGCCCGTCGGCGAGCTCCGCGACACGCCCGAGCCTTCGCGGAAACAGGCCAAGATACACGTGCCCACGTGTCTGGACAAATCTGCTACATTTATACGGGAGGATCGAGTACCAATCTATGTTGCTCGCATGCTGGGTTCATATGTGCTGGTGTAGCTCATGTTTCGCCTATGCAACGACAAATACACGAACTATATGGGCAACGAGATATACTGCTTGGCCAAACGGGCAACGAGAACTGCAGAGAAAGTGCGCGTTTTCCAGTTGCAACGGCCGTTATGTCGCGAGGGAAAGAGCCTAAGGCGCGCAGGCCACAGGCAGGCAACAAAGTCTTAGGCTAAAAAACAGCTGTATAAGCTTGTATTGTGGTACTCAGTATACAAGAGGGATGCGGTAATATAGCTACTGGCAGTTACTATTTCATATATTCTAAATTATCAAGTGTTGCAGGCTATAAAGAGTAATGCCTTGACGTGACGAAATTGGCATCTCATTGGGTTCGGATGAGCAAATACGATTGGCTTTGGATCCCTTGGTGAGCACTTTCCCTTTTCGGGTGTTAATAATAGCTTCGTTTATCGATATTTTAATCATTCAGCCCAAGATATTGTACTGTAGAGGAACATCACCCGTACAATAGATATTCTTTTGTCTTAAGCGTTTACAAGAATGCACACAAGACCTAGACTTACCCTTGTTTATTAGTATTCCATTCTCTAAGTCACCCAAGGCATTTACAAGACTACTCTCTTCAAGAGACACCACCCATAATGATAACCTCCAGTGGACTCCTTCATCACTATGGAATCAAGCCCCCCGAAAGAGGGTGCAGACGAGTCGTAGGTTCGGACGTGAAGAGCCGCACTGAAGAATCCTCAATCGACTCAACCCGTTCAGAAGAACGAGTACACAGTTACGGCACGGAAGACCGCGACGGCAGGGGAGCAAGGGACGAGACACGCAGTGCAAAACACTCAAGAAGCCACCCGGCACTCAAACACAGTCAATAGCGACAAGACAACAACTACATGCTGGGCCCGCCCGATTGGAAGAAAGGGGAAGCGACCGGAGGGAAGCACACCGTGGAGTGGAACGGAAGAGTACCCAAGCAGGCCGCAAAGACGGTAGGTGACGCGGCTTGTCTCACGGGGTTAGACGCCTTTCCTCGTCGCTGGCAGCGATGAATCAGACTTCTCTGTTCCTTCATCCCAATCGTCTATGTCACGTCCGGGGAGTCTGACATTTTGTGTATCGCCTGTCCGCACAGGTGTCTGGACGCTGCCGTCTTTAACAGGCTTCATCCTTCTCCGGGAGACCGACGCAAGGCAAGCAAAGCACTCTATTGAGAATGTGTCTTCTCGACCTTTTTTGCTGATTCTGACGGGGAGACAGGAATGGAACAAGCAGACTTCCTCGGAGATCGCCTTCTTGCCTAGGGTGCCGGCTACCTCACGCCCCTGCTGAGCCTGTCCACGGGAGAGGTAATCGAAAAATTCCTATCTCGAGTTGATGATGTGACTAGTCTCTCGTGTGAGTGCCTCTGCTGCTGCTTCCATCGGGACGCAAGGGTAGTCCTGACATACATATTGATGTGCACGATACATGGAGACAATAGGGACGGGACGACTATCGCGGACCGGTATGGGAGGAGCAAACAATCTTGACTACGCGAGTGAACACGGGCAAGAGACCAACGCGTTGCAAAGTGTCAACACACGAAACTGAGTACCACTCCCATAAAGTTCACACCCGAAAACTGCATCCTGGGCCACCCCGACCGGCGGAAGGGCGACGAGGGACGAGGAGAGTGCACCTTGAGAGGGAAAGATACGTGAGCAGGTAGAGAACTGTGGATGTGACGGGAAGTCACTTGCACACGTGCCCCATTTTAGGTGAGGTCGGATGTTGGAACAGTCAGGTCGGATGGAAAAGGACCGGAGACACTCACTCTACCAAGACAAGCTCCACGATCCGTGACTTTCCTACTTTCTCCTCTCTTCTTATCTCCCGCTACATTCGATAATCTGAAACATGCTATGCCAAAGCAGCGCTCATGTGAAGATTTCCTCCTCGTAATGCTGTGCTTTGACATTGGTGTACGTCGCTACCTTTTCAAACGGCACTATGAAACACCCATATGGCTTGCGGATCAGGAGCAGCAGCAACAGCCCCCTTCCATGGTCCCTGCTTAGCCCCCTGCTCGTTTGGTCTTCTCATAGCTCTTTGATCTCATTTCCCTTCTTTCTTAAGTCCAAGATAGCACGTCAATACAGCGAAGGCTTGAGGGACGGCCTTGCAGCGTTGCCAATCTGGCTTCGCAGCCACTCGCCGATTATTTCGTTGACCTGCGTGCTCGTCTCCCAGAGCGCCCAGTGCGAGCTATTGACCTCTGCCCTAGTCAATTGCGGTATGAAATGCTCCATGCCAGCCGAGAGGCTCGGGGGTAGGGCTTCGTCTTTCGATGCCGCTATAAAGAGCGTCGGCGTCTCAAGAGTAATGGGCTTGTTTGCCAGCATCTGCTCTTCCTCCCAATCAATCTTGCGAGTTCTGTACCAGTTGAGAGGCCCCCGCATCCGCGGAGCTTCTTGAAGCATGAACTGGTCCGCATAGTAGCTCAATTCGTCCTCCGAAAGCCAGACACTTCGCGAGAGGGTAGGCAGCTTCTTGAGGGAAACGCCGTTGGTTGCATGCCAAGCTGGCTCACCCTGTGGGTCAAGACCGTCGTACATGGCGTTCAGAAACTGACGCACATCTTCTCGTTCCCGAATGGCGACTTCAATCTCGGGCCCTATGAACTGAAGCATATAGGTGAGATGCTTATACGGTCCGGCCACCAGATCCTCAATGGCCATGTAAGGCTTCATGGGTAGCAAGAAGGGCGTACAGACGCTGAAGATGGCCTTGACCAAGCCGGGTGCCACATGGCAACCCGCCAAGCAAGGTGACTGCCCCAGTCGTGACCGCCGAGAATGATCTGCTCGCCCTTCGCAATTCGGTTGGCCAATTCTTCGAGATCCGCCGACATGCTTTGCAGTGACAACTGGTGTAGGTCGTCCGGCCTAGAGCTGCCAGCATAACCAAGCATGTCCGGAGCTACGACTCGATAGCCTAGACACATGAGGTATGGCACCTGATAACGCCAGCCAAACCCCAAATCGGGGAAGCCGTGGATCAAAAAGACAGTGCTAATAGGGGGCATGGACCCGGGTTCGCCGATTATGTAGTGGTAGGTGTTGCCGTGGATCTCGGCCGAGGCGTATCGGACTCGAGGGTCGTTGGGAATAAGCTTGCCGGCTCCTTTGAGGTGGTCGCAATCATTATCCTCCATTCGGCGCGGTGGCAGCGAGGCAGATCCTGCTAGTGGCTTGGACTGCTCGTCAGGGACTCGGCGTACAAAATCAAGATGCGATATGATGGAACCTACAGGTTCATGTGATTCCCGCATTGAAAACGGAGCCAAAGCTCCAACAGAAGCAATAAGAGCCGCGAGTAGGATAGTAGTCTTCATGGTTCCTGGCTTGTACGCGATATGCTTTAAGATAATAGGAGGTGAAAATTCAAGTGTCGATGATGGTAAAGCCCCTACTTCAGCCCTGTGCTATTGAAGACCAATCAGTCTCTTTATACGGCGTTCTAGAGGGCATACTGACTTTAGCTATTAATAAGACCTTACTATTTACATAGATAAAATTCTCTACTTATATATAATTATATAGAACACCTAAACTTAAAGTACCTTAATATTACTTCAAGGTACTGCATATACTTTGCCTACCTCCCTCACCTACTAAGAAGGCCTAGATTACGAACAAGCGCACTCGAGCACCCGAGCTAGTAGGGGACGGGTCCCCCTTGGAGAGGGGCCCTACTGTGGGGTTTATCTCCGCGCAGGTGAGTGCGACGTGTAAGATCGCGACTTTAAGGACTTAAAAGATATACGAAGTTAAGTATTAATTACTAAGCGGATCTAGCTACTAATTAAAAGAGAGGATTTTAAGAAATTCTATATAAATAGAGAATTTTATCTATGCAAATAGTAAGACTTATTGATAATGACTTTAAGCCTTAAGAACCTATCTCCTATATACTTACATTTCATCTCATGAGGTTCATCACCACGTACGATCACTGAGTTCTGCCCACTTCATGTTTAACATATAAGCAGCCTGGCTGAAGTGGGCCATCGAAAGCTTTAAGATTTTGAATAAACTTATACAGTCTCATTGCTCCCCATTCTGCTGATAATCGGTCGGGCCGATGTCAAAATCCGCTGAGGTAGCCTTGCCGTTCAAACGGGATCTCTAATTACGGCTGCGCTCTCCATAGGTTCCACGGTTTTGCAATGCTGTGGGCCAGCAGCCTCCCAAGAAGTTTCCCCATACGGCTTCTCGCAAAGGCGTCGTCCCATCTTTTACGTAATTACCCCCCTTGCTTGCATGGAGACATAACTACACGGGACGCACAAGAGGCAACTCGCGTCAATTGGTGTCGAGTAAGGCTTGGTGTCGCACTGTGTTCGCCCGAACAGACAGGAATCCGGGTTTGACTGGAGACGCGAGAAAAGCTAAGCAATGACCAACTTAACCGACTTCGGTGTGGAGCAGTACATAAAGTCGATGGTGAATAAACCACTAAAGATGGCGAATATCTTTGCCCTACGTCAAAGGGGGACTTCTGCAGATCGTGAGCTGAGCGATAACGGTATCCAGATGTTCCGGGCTCCTCGGGCGGCGGGTAGATGGATAGCCCGAGGCTCGACTTCTTCGCGAGTGGCTGTGTTGGACAAAATTTGTTTAAGAACAATCAAAGTAAGACTTTTCCTACTTTTTATGACTTTAAAGTCGACCTTGTCCTTGTCGTGAACTCCCCTCTCCATACACAAGGTCTAATTTGCCTTTGACATCTGATATCGGTCCCCGGCGCTCCATCGCAAGAAGCTTTATTCATACGTAGCACCTTCGGGGAGTACGGAGATGCAGACGAAGAGACGACGTTTATACAGAGTAGGTTAAAGCAAGGGACTCGTTCTCGTGCTGTAAACGACATTGCGTTTCTGTTATAGTTCCACGACTTTTATCAGGCCTCAGTGAATACGTAGACCTCCTCGACCCATCTCTCGCCCAGAACCTCTCTGATGGACTTGACTCCCACAATTGCTTCAAGATTCCGCGCAAAGTCATCCGCCGCCTCTTTCGACGCACAAACAAAGACGCTTGCTCCCTCGTCTCGAATCTTTTTCCGTATCTGGTTCGCAACCCCCTCTTTGAATATCTTATCCTGAGCTCGGTTCTTTTCCGGGTTGCTCGGCGTCAAGTGTAGCATATCCACCAGCTCCAGTGCCAAGGCTTCGTGGGTGGACTCGGCAACGATGTCGGCGTCGCCGGGCCTGAAGCCAAGGAACAAGGATATCGAATCCTCTCGGCTCGTCTTTCCCATCTTTAACTCCATCATTTTGCTCGCGGCTGGCCGATCGGCCGCAATGGCGGACCTGGCCTGCAAAAGACCCCGCAAGGGTGCGATGCCGGAGCCGGTGGTGAAGGCAATCAGGGGCTTATGATCGTTAACCAAGTGCGCGCCGGGCCCGTGGCGAATCCGAACGAAGAGTCGTTCTCCCCTCCTGGCCTTGGAGAGGAAATGGTCTGTGACGAGCCCTCCAGGGTGTGTCTGCAGGGTGAGCTCCAGCACGTTTCCCATGTTTTGCAAGTTCCAATACAGCTGGGATGAGGCAGTAGAGAAAGTTCTCGATCGTCTGGTCGGGAGGGCCATCATGAAGCCCGAGAGATTGCCTCGCTTTGCCTTGGACTGCCAGCCTACTGGCAAATCCTTGATGGAGCTCTTCATCGGGCTTTGCAAAAGCTTGGCTTCCTCTTCACTCGTCAGGTTCAATCCCAGACTGGCAGCCCACTTGAGACTCGTGAACGGTTTGTCTGGATCCACAAGCGAAAAGAGCTGCCTCGTGCTGACTTGACCCTCCTCAAATGTGAGCAACTCGTCTCCTGTCAACCTAGCAGTCAACAGTAGTTCGTCAATTTTATCCTCGCTGAGCGGCACAAAGACATCGACATGGCTCATGTGGCTGTACTCGAGTCTGCCAATGTCCAAGGCCACCCGTCGGATATCTCCCTCCTTGGGCATGTGGACCGAGATGACCTTTGCTGGCGAAAGCTGAGCCAGCAGCAATCCAGTTGAGTCGTCGTTCTGCTCGGCCGTGAAGTCATCGACACTCTCAGTACTGCTGTCGTACTTTGCTTCGAGGTGAGCCAGCCAAGTCTTGAACTGCCTCCAAGGCGGGTCCTCCTTGAGCGTATCAGCTTGGAACAAAGGCATTGAGCTGGAGAACCCAAGCTTTTCCATGGCCGCCTCCAGTTTAAATGCGGCCCCGTTGAAGTTCGCCGCGTACGAGGAGTTGCCATTGCCAAAGATGCAGAAATGGACATCGCTAGCCTCGACTTTGGCAAGTGACTTGCATTTCTGCAGCATTGTCTGCCCATTGGTAGGCACATCGCCACGGCCGGCAGAACTAGCAATAATGAAAACGAGGTCCCCAGTCGACAGGGCGCCGGGTTGAAAGTCGTTGAGTGGAGCAGCTGACGCAATTGACGGAAACTCACTTGTCTGATCCATGATAATGTGTAGCCTTTGCTCCAGCTTGATAGCCAGACGCTGAGCCGTTGTTCCAGAGCTGCAGTAAAAAACGCGGATCATTGGTGTCGACGGGTGACCGTTGGTGAGCCCAGAGTGAGCCAGCATCTTGTCGTTGAATGGCTCGACATGACCATTAACGTGGCATATGCCGTTTGTGTCGTTGACTACATTGACCCCATTTCTCTTGGGGGTCAAGCCGTTTCTTCCAGCTTTGAGCCTTTTCCAGACCTTGATTGGGTTCTCCTTTAATCGACAGATCATTGGCTTGGGCTGGTAGTTAGGCGCTCCGCCTCGGTGCCAAACAGGAATAATACTGCCCTGCGGCGGGGCGAGCCAGTATGGATCTGCTGGAAGCCGGAACCCGTGTTTAGCCAGATGCTGGTCGTCAAAGTTGGTATACATGGCACTGGCGGTGAGGCTGTCGCTCATTCGCACGCCGGCCTCCATGAAGGACCAGTGGACGGCAAATGTCAGCTCAGTCTGCGCGCGAGACAAGAGGGCAAGCCGCTCCCACTGCGGAAGCTCGTCAAGCTCTTGGCCCGGTTGGAGGAGATTGAGAGCTGAGACGATTGATGGAAGAACATTGTATCGGAAGCTGTCGGCAAGATCACGTACTCCAATCTCGGCGTCCATGAACCAGCCGATGAAGGGAGTGGCCGTGTATTGAACTCCGCCAATGTCGAATCCCAGCTGTGACAAAGCTGGGGCAGGAACCCAACGTAGCCCTAGCTTGTCGAAGGCCAAAGAGTACTGCGAGTTTGGATGGCGAATCTGTACCAGGGGGAACAGGCTTTCCGGGACGGGAGTAATGTATGGCTCGTCACCTTCTGCCATGGTGACCAAAGGAAGTAGGTCCCAGCGGGTCCGGATGACTGGGGGCTCCCAGCCTAAAGAAATGATGGACTCTGTCAAGGAGGCATTCGCTGGATCTCCCAGTATGCTCCCGTCTGGTTGGCGATAGCCGGCAAATGCCAGAAACTGCTGGCTCCACACCATTGAGCCAGGTCGATTGGGCTTCTTGGGCGGGAAAACGAAGACTGGAACGAATTAGTATGAGAGACAGGGCCGCGGGTCAAGGTGCGCCATTACCGCTGGGTTGGATGTCTCCGCCGTTGAATGCTTCATGCATTCCTTGGACGAGGACTTGACCCATCTCTTTGCTTGTCTTGATATGTCGAAAGTCGTGCAATCTGCCGAACAAAGCGTGAGTGATCTTACATAGACATTTGAGGCACAGTTAGATAGGGGATGAACTACTTCAGATAAGAATACTCGCTTCGCATGATGCACTTTCTTGCGTGCTTCCAGGACAGCCTCAGCCCGTGTTCGAGCTCTTCAACCGTCTGGTGCCAGGTGCCGGCGAGTGACTTGGGCCCTTTCCCGTCTGCGTCTGGCAGCACGACAGACGTCTGGCGAATTTCATGGAGCACAGTGTGAACTCGCTCTTCGAGGGCCTCGTCATCTTTGATGATGCCATCTCTGTGAAGTTGGTGAAGGAAATCGACTGCTTCAGTCTCGACAGTTTCAATATTCCGATCATCACCCAACTTCGGTTCGTCTGTGTGCACCATTCGACCACTTTGACAAAATGATCGAGTACATCCTGTGGACGAGAGCTGGGGGTAGTGGGACTTGATCCTCCTAAACTCCTCTTGAGGACATGTTCTTGCCTTGGTAGACATAGCGCTTGAACTAGGGGGCGGACAGGAAGGTCAAGTCAGTTGCTGTGAATCCCTGGATGATCTTCGACGCCATAAAAGGGAAGAATAACGTGAACTTGGATTTGACTCACGATCACAGATTATCAAAGAAATCAAAAGTAGATGTTTGGGTTGTCCCAGTGCGAGTGTATGAAAGGCCTTTGAAATAAGGCCAGCTGCTTCAAGGCGATCAAAGATAGAACACCCAAGTCAGATAATGTGGGGTAGATAAGACGATGAAGTCTTGGACTTGATTAAGGCGGAAGAAGATGAAGCTATGATCTGGGACATGTTTCCATCTTTATTCCCCAGAAACAAAGCGTCGAGACATCGAGACTCGAGGTTTGTGGAAGGGGCTGAGCAATTCCAGACCACCCCGTGATGTAATACAAATGCAATGATGAGTTGGCAAACTGCTGGTTTGCTACTCATGCCCATTGAGAAGGAAGAAATTGTAAGACGTTGGGGACCAATGGGTACTACAAGCAATCTTGGCAATTCCTGGCATCCAATGACCTATGCGGCCGACGTCGCTCAAGAACCTACGTGAATCTTGGCGAGCTTTCACCCAATTACCCAAATGAAGGGATGTAACTCAATAATTCGACGGAATCTTGGCAAACGAACCTTCTACCCAATTAGCTATGTAGAGGATGCAGATCCATGATTTCTTGCATTACGAATCCTCGAGCGGTCAGACCATACCACGAGTCTGAAAGCTTGGATGGGGGAGAGGCAAACCAGTAAACACGACAAGGGCTTTCAAACTCAAAGTCTCGCAACGGCTAATTGTCTCGTTTAGTCTTGAGAGAAAGGAAGAGACTAAGACTGCCCTGTCAGGAGACGAGATGAAGAGTGGGGATGGGAGACGGCTCGATCCCGAAGCCGAAGCATTGCTCCAAACTTGGGACTTCCAAGATATGAGCCAAGGAATACCCCCAAGACGCGGCCCGTCGAATTAACCGTTCCGTGCAACGGGCAGACGGCCCATGTCAGGGGGAGTGAGGCTAGCGCATGACCGGCTATGGAGTGGTGCGGCCCGGACAGGAGGGAAGACCCGGGCGGAAGGAGGACCCGGGGAGTGGCATCAAGGATTTAAGGTAGACTTTTGAGTTAATTTTTGAGTGCATGTCGTGCTAGGGTGGCTGTAACGATTCGCCCTGACGGTTGTAAGATCAACCATCACGTGCAGATCGCCTGCATCGGGAGCTGATTCGTGCATTGTACTCGGTTGTGTCCGATTCGACGGGCAGAGAAATAGAGTTGCCGGAAGCAAAGGGGCCTGGACTTGCGGTGCGCATGTCGAATTATCCCGAGACCTCAAGTCCCTACCATGCCCGCCGAGAAAGACGACTGTGCGCCATATGCATATTACATGTCTTTGCCAAGTGCCCAGCTTTAACACGTCTGGTACTCTGGTAGTATTACGGTACCATGCATGCACGCACTGGGGTGGAAAGCATTCGTCATGAGGCCAGCCGTCGACCTGATCTTGACTCGTACGCGTAACGTCCTCAGTTCATGTTGCACATGCAACAGGGTAACGACACGTACCTACATCTGCCGAATAACCAAGTTATCAGATGTAAACGACTTTGTAAACAGCACTGGGCTCTTGTCGGTAATTATGTACTTGTTCGAGGATCTGGTCCGCCAGCATGGCTGTAACGCTGGTGAGATCTACACATGTTTCAGGCATCGAGAGCCTGGCGAGGCTAAACACTCGGCATAAGACGCTTCAGCGTAGTGGAGATGCATTCAAGCCTGGCTGGACCCCTCGCGAGACCTGACGCAAACACATCCAGTTGAGGACGAGTTGTCACACCATCCTACTGCCAGCGTCAACTGCGGCCCGCCACGAAGTGAAGTGTGCATACACGGTGTCGGCACAAGCCACTTGATGCTTGAGGCACTGTGCCCGAGGATGCGTTCACCGCCGAGGACGACGGGGAAGCCAGAGATTGCAAGCGAGCAGCGAAGCTCGAGAATGTACACGTTAACGTCGGGTCATCACGGTGAAGCAATGGCCAAGCGCACGTGGGGTTTCGAGACAAGAAGGATCTGATTTTACCGACAAGAACGGGGAAACTCTTTGAGCCAAGACGGTTGGATCCTCAGCGCCGCCTCAAGACGAAAGTCTTGGCGGATATGTCGACATTGGCAAACAAGGCGGCACGGCACGTGCCGCCAGAGGAAGGTGGCCTATTTGATTTGAATGATCCCGCTTGTTCTCTGCGACTTGACCGATTCGGACTTCTCCACCAAGTTACCAAGGAATCTGGTCGCTGAGTCCGTCGTGGCAAGACGGAGCTCAGCCCACTGCAGGTTTGACGAGCAAAGGTGGACAAATGAAAATAGAAAGGGGACAGGGGTGAGACAGCCGGCGAATCTCAGGTCAGCGGGGGTTGCTTGGCCGAGCAAGACGGGCCGTCTTCCTTGAAAAGGTCCGCATGATGATTCTCCATTCAGCAGCTGATGACGGTCCGCTCGGCCGTGGTCGAGTTGAACTCGCCACACAGGTGTGGGCATGTGTGCGTAGCCTCGTCCACGCCAAGCCATCAACTCCCAGGCCCCTATGAGAACGTTCGGCGGGATGACAACTCCGCACAGCAAAACCTGACACCAGACAGCCACAAGACGGCCCCGGGATCGAATCGGAAGTGTTTCTCGCCCACACCTTTAGTACGAGATGCTACTACACACGATGCAACATGGATGCATTCTTGTTTATGCCCCTTTGAACCTGACATGCCCGACTTATCTCAGACGAGAATACATGGATTTGGCTCTACCGCTCACAAGTGTTCATCGTGCACCTGTCGAGGCCGGCAGAGCCAAGAACGGCCCCAGGCAGCCATGACATTAGAGACGCCGCGTTGCACGGCAGGGTGGTACTGTACGCCCGTGTCACATACCTCTTCAGTGCCTCTCCACTGATCTGCATCTGCACCGCCTCAACGCTTCAGGCTCCTGGACGGGAATAGCCTCCATCGCCGAGCACCTTGAGATGCACATCCAACGCTGTGCAACAATGCAATAGACACTATGTCCACTGAGAACGTGGCCAGGAATTCCTTGTGCTTCTTGGCAGCATTGGGCATTAATAATGTCCCGTCATAGAATTTGATCGCCACGGGCGTCTGGGCGAATGGTAGACGAGCAGGCCTCTCCGTTGTGTAATTGAATTGGGTCACGGTGGATGCATACATGTAGCCACGTCGTGTAGTATCGCCACCTGAAGCTGCTGAAAACCTGACAGATGCTAGACGGTTGAAGCATCTATCATTTCTGGCCCGAGTCCAGGTGTCCCGAGACAGAAAGCACTACACACGCCTTTGCTCCTTACTTGTTCAACTCGGACTTGCCGCTAATTTGGCTGCTCGGATCCAACCTGGGGGCCTGGAAGGGGGCTCCGTGCGGTCTTCAGTGGCAATTGTCTGACACATACGTGTACTGTAAACATATGCAGGCCTTCGTTTCCTTGCAGCATGGCGGGGCGGCCCCGGAGCCTCTGCTTGGTCGGATATCCCGTCACAGGAGATTCTTTTCTTCCTTGCCAACAGGGTCCTGCACAGGTACGTGGTGGGGCACATGACCTTCATGCTTTTCCTCTCAACAATGCTCATTTGGGTCCGTGGTCCATCTCCCCATGGCCTAACGTGGCATGCCCGAGGATCATTGTAGACTGGACGAGGCGGCCCCATTCCCCCAAAGCCTTGTTCCTACCCCCCAATCAGGGACTTGAGGTTTCAATTTTACCATAGATCAAGGAACTCTCGCCGCGAGACTAAAACTAGAATACGCCGTTGTCCGATCCCACTACTCATCATCCGAAGACGTTGGGTCATTTCGAAGTCTGCTTTCTTCGGCTCCGGTCCGCGGCTCGGCCCGTGTGAGCCGGCCGCTTGGGACCACGAGTTTCATAAGCCCAATATTTCCATTCTCTTCTGCAGTTGCGCATGGCAGTTGTGGACATTCGACAAAGGCAAGCTCGATCTGACAAGCCGTTCTGCACTCATGCCATCTTGCTTCATCCTGTTACACAAGGACGAAAACCTCAACGTGAACAAACAGAGCGTTGCGCCCAGCCCCGGTTTCCAGAGCCGTAGCTATTCGCACGTTGAGTTCCATGCATCAGTCGATTCTGAGAGCTGGATTCTTCATATGCAATAGCACACCGGTTCCATATGCGAGGTTTCAACATATTCGACTGATCAAGAACCTAACCTTGGCGGACTCATTCTATACTCTTGAGGCACCTCTGGCGGGTTTAATGATTGCAATTGGAGGTGAGGTTGTATTCCACGCTCAGGCGCCGTTCACACCTCCTTTTCAAGGATCCGCCTTTACAAGAAGGTTGAAAATCGTCCAACTCGATATCACGAAGCAATACGGACTCCCTCCTATTCGAAACAATCGTAGCCCGCATGTGACATGGCGTTATTCTCTCTCCCTTTCATAGCAGTTGACTTCAGTTGATGAACAGATTCGACATCCACGTCACGAAGATGGCTCAGCAATACCTAAAGTAGGCGGCTCATCAGTTCATGTTATTATCGCGTTGGTGCATGTTTTCTGCTTCCCTCTAAATTCGGCACCGTCGTCCAACTTTACGTTATGGATGTTTGAACAGATAGAATAGATCGCGTTTAGTCCCGCACAATGACCTTACGTATTGAGAAGATGGAGGGATCATACGACTCCGCAGGATTGGTGTCCGGTCACTCCGTCCTGGTTCCAATTCCTACAGCTAAGGGGAAGACATTCTGCAGTGATACGAGAATCACTGGACGCACGTTCGCTTGGGGTCATTTTAGGGTTACGTTCCTCTCACACCGTTTTACGTACCCATATGCCCCTTGGGATCATGCTATTCGTCGGTGCCAAGCCCTTGAGCAGGTACTATATATCCCCGCGTCTCTTTGCCCCCGGAAGCTCCAATCCTAGGCCATACATATGAAAGCCAAATGAATCTTTGACCTATTCAAAGCGAGCCTATCTTGGCCTAGCTAGTATTACCAGAACGTTTCCCTCGTCTTTCGTACGCACCTGTTCTCTTTCTGGCTCGCAAAATTGCCTACAGGCCTACAATAGAAGAAGAAAAGAGCCAAGAGGAACAAAACTGCGCGACTTGCCGTTGAATTGCAGCAAGGCCACTTGCAGCATGTCAAAGGGTCTTCCCAAATCGTACTCCCAAAGCCAGCTCGGGACATTCATCAAGGGACAGAGAACTCTATCTTCTCCTTGCACCCTTGTAGTTCTTGACAAGATCAAATTCCAGATAAGCAATGCGCAGAACACCCCGAGCAAATGCAAGATGGTTCGAGTGACTGGATCTGAGAATCAATGCTCCACGTCTAAAGGCACTCGTCTCTGAGGACTGCCGAGCTTCTGATAGCCAGGGAGGGTTTCTAGGCAAGCAGCAAGAACATATGTCCGTTCCAGAACCCTTGTATGCCAAAGGAATCTTCAGCGAAGCCTCAGCATTCGCAGTCCCCCTCAGGACCACATAAGATCGCAGCGAAGCCGTCGATCTAGAAGACGATTCTTTGACAGATGCGACTGAGCTTTGCCAAAAACCTGTCCGTCCCGACGGATCCCGCATTTCGATAATTCCAGGATTGCCTCGAGTGCGAGCATGATTTTGTCACTGAAGACAGCTATTCTTGGATCCAAGCCCTGTATGCGCCAAAATTTAGTCTAGCTGATTACTTGGCAACACTACCCGAGGATATTGCCGCCAGGATTGGGATCGGGCTTCTGAACCGTATTCGCCGGGGCGACTTTACGGTAGAAGATGATTGGTTACCGGCAATCGGAGGCTTAGAGCTCGGTTTTCCGTGGCTCCAACTTCCAGAGGTGGCACTTGTGTTCTGGGCAATTGCTATCTCGTCGGTCTTTGATTCCACGACACGGTTCGAGAGGTATGTTGGTCGCTTGATATCTTCGGTCCTCTCAGGGTATGCCCCCAGACGTATTGGGTGCTGACATGGTCGTGGGCCTCCATCACGGGGCGATTGACTATAAATCTGCCTGGGCTGATTCAATCGACTCGTCGAGGACCTCGCGACTATCATAGACGCACACGTGGACCTTACGACTGCCGGTATTCATTTTGGCAAGATGATAGGAGGCTGGATTTACATGAAAGCAATCCACCTTTAGTCTGAAACCGAACAACAGCTCTCTCTGGATCTGCGAGGACGGCGTTGTTTTCCGCGTCTCTACAAAGTGAGACTCAGGGTTCTACCCCGCGCCGGAACCGGGAAGTAACTCAATTACAGATTCCAATGGGTTCTTGGTGATACCTCTGGTTTGGGTAAAGCGCAATCTTCAAGCGTTGGAGAATGACGCCCAATCACTTATGAGACCACTGTTTCTGATCCGTAGGCCGATGAACCATCAGGTCAGTACCTACAGTGGGGTACCGGGATTTCAAAGAGTTAGGTTCGGGACTGGAGCTTGGTTGCCCGACAGAAATGAGGGCACCGGTAGAAATGGTCGGAGAGTATGGTTTTGGGACCCAAAGGAACGCAATGCAACATAAGTAAGCCAAGTTTCACGACATACTCGACGGCATCCTTATAGTGTTCATAATTCATTTTTGGGACATGAGAATCCAAGCTCGAAGCTCGATATATGCGACGCAGTTCTCTCCCTTCGCTCATTCACACACACAGAGCCACTCATTCGGATACAAAACACGGGCACGAACCGGTGCAGTAATATGACGGCTCCCCTGAAGAAGCCGAATAAACCGAGAAAACGTGTGTTCTAGTTGATATCTCGGTTCATTCTGATGTCTGATCCAAGCAGACCTATACGACGTGAGATATTTCTTGGGGTCGGTCCACATGCATATAGGGGTCCAGGGGAGAAAGTGGTAGGAAAATCTAGGGAAAACGCTGCATGCTACCGTACATCAAATGGCGATGCATGAACCATGTGCGCGGCGGGTTCGACACGGAACCGCCAAAGCATGCGTAGCATTGAAGGTGCAATCATCCTGTGACAAGTCGTGCGCAACCTCACACTTCAGTGGCATAGAGCGCATCCTCATTTGCCCGGCAGCTCGGGCAGGTTGCAGCAAATTCCAACCTGCGATGCTACAGCGAGCTGCCGCTCCAGAAGATAGTTTTAGCAGAATGAAATCTACAAACAGTCGATGGTTGCAGCAGCCGGATAACTCCAAGTCGATTTTGTTCATATCCTCGTCCACCCCTATCCCGTTGATGAGTAGATTCCTTTCATGGCCGAAATACGTCCTGCCAGTCCCCGTAACATCAAGTCTCACAAATAAGCGTGCTCAGATATTTTGCACGAAGTCGATGCCTTGACGATGGAGCCAGGGGAAAGACCACGGAGTCACACTACCTCAGGGGCAGTTGTTTCGCATCCTCGTGATATACAAAGGATATAACTACTTGGCCGTGAGCATTATCGGCTTCGATTGCCAGATTCTGGGTTGACTCAGAGAAGTTCCTCTTTACCAGTACCCAACGTCAATAAAGAGGTGCTGAATATACCAGGGTCGAATAATTTAGCCTTGCCATGTCCGAAATGACCCAGTGGAAATCTGTCCTTCCAAGTTTCTCCGTTCGTGTATCTGCGATAACAGTCCCGCCTCCATTTGATCCATTAATCGAGGGTCATAAATCGATCTATGAATAATTAGAGAATCGAGCAAAGACCGAAAAGCTTTGAACCCTGCCTTGGCCCCGCAACGTCTCTCCACCATGGTGCCATTTCGGTATGAGAGAGTGCGTACAGTGTTTGTACTTCAAAGCACTGTACATGGTGCCTTTCTCGATAGCTTTGAGAGCTCACACGAGCTCCTTTGTTCCTCAACGCATGGCCTTCAAGTTACGCAACATGCCCTGATAGAGCCAACACCCCCGCATAGAACCTGCTTTCGGACAAAGGACTTTTACGACAAGGGCCACCACATGGACATATTCTGCTCCTTTCATCAGCTGATTTTCGACTTTACTCGGGCTGCTCTCCGGCCTGATTGGTGGGCAGCTTAGCGCTAGATGACTTGGGCGAGACGGTGAGACTCAGTTCCGCAATGCAAAGGTACCTCGACGCAGCCTCAAACCAACCCCTATCATCATCATCCATCACCTCCATATTTTCGTCGCACCGCCGGCAAAGCATCGCCCCTCGGTCGCGCTGGGCGGCCGTCCTGCCCCCGCACACGGCCGGTCCCTCTGGCGTCGCCTGCTCCGGCCTTGCCACATGTCCTCACTTGCCGGGCATCCTTTGTGCCGTGAACCCAGTCAGACCAGGTGCAACATGTCTTCCGACGACGCCTTCAAGTTCACGCGCCAGTCATCGTGGGAGACGTTCTCGGCAGCCGCCCACAGAGAACTTGTGCCGCCTCAATTCGCCTCTCAGCTGCAGCATCTTGCATACAACGACAAGTATGTCATTCACTTCGACTTCGGCGACGTCGGTAAGCGCATACATCTGAACACGTGTCGCCGGGAAGCCGTGCCAACCCAAGACAGATGACGACTCGGCCGCCCAAGGGTTGGCCACCCTCTTGAGTCACCTCGAAGCAGTAGGGCTGCATACTGAGGTCAGGGCAGGCCATGACCAGTCCCTCTTGGTCTTCGTCAAAGCCCCGCGCGAGATTCTGGGCAATGCCGTCTACAAGTCCAGGTGAGCATGTCCCACTGCTGAAAGTCATCCGCCATGTCACTGAGCCCCTTTCAGGGTGAGGGATTGGCTCTACGGCGTTGTTGCCGAGCATCCGGGCGGCGGAGGCCAGACCATTGTCGATGCCAAATACGAGGCAGAAGACCTCCTTTCCATGCATCACTTGCTGAGCTGGCCAAAGGAGATGGGCGGCGCAGGCATCACCCCCGGATATGGACAGTTCAAAAACGTTCAATCCATGTTTCCACTCCATAACCCGCGCACCAGCCAGGCCCTACTCCGCTATCTCGGCAAGAAGCTGATTCTCAGAGACAACGACTTTGACCAAATCCGCGACCTTCTCGGCGCAAAGGTCAGTTCACAGTCCGCCCGGAGACGGTGCAGACTGCTCTAACTTAATCCACAAACAGGCGGCGTTTTACTTCGCCTTTACTCAGACATATATCCTTTTTCTCATCTTCCCAGCCATAACAGGCCTGCTAGCGCGGGCCTTTCTGCCGTCCTACTCCCAGTTCTATACGATCTTGACCGGACTGTGGTGCACAGTCTTCGTCGAATACTGGAAGCTGAAGCAGACGGACCTGAGCATTCGTTGGAATGTCAAGGGAGTCGGCAATCACACGACCGACCGCCCGCAGTTCAATTACGAAAAGGTCATCGTGGACGAGGTCGGCCGAACGAGACACTACTGCCCCAAGTGGAAGCAGATTGCCCGCCGGCTCGTGCAAATCCCATTTATACTCGTTGCTGCGCTGAGTCTGGGAGCCTTGATCGCCGTGATGTTTGCCATCGAGATTCTCATCTCGGAGACGTACGATGGACAGTATAAGTCCTACCTGGTGTGTAGTGGACCGTTTGGTCGCCGCCGTTGCGCATGTTGGGCTCACGTTTCAGCAGGAATACCTTCCCACTGGCCTCCTCGCTATCTTCCTGCCGTACATCAGCAATTTCCTGGAGGGTGCCGCTGCGGCCTTGACCGAGTTCGAAAACCACCGGACCGCCGACTCTCATGAGCGGTCCCTGGCGCAAAAGGTCTTTGTGCTGAACTTCACCACGCAGTACCTGCCCATCCTGCTCACCGCATTCGTCTACGTCCCGTTTGGCGACTTATTCGTCCCTTATCTGGAACGCGTCATCCGCTATGTCCTCAGCGACGCCGTCAAGTTTTCCGACATGCCCTTCCACGCCAACCCGAATCGCCTACAGCGCGACGTCATCGCTCTGACAGTGACGGGCCAGATCTCGCATTTTGGCGAGGAGTTTCTTTTTCCCCTGATCAAGCAAAACTTGCGTTCTTGGTATCGCAACTACCGAAGCTCAAACTCGGTGGCGATCGCCTTGGATGGCATCTCTCAGGACGACCATCCAGAGGAAAAGGCGCTCCTTTCGGCTGCCCGCAGCCAGGCTACCCTACCGCCGTACGACGTGCAGGCCGACATCTCGCAGATGGTTCTTCAATTCGGACATCTCGCGCTTTTCAGTCCCGTGTGGTCGCTGATGCCGATTGGATTTTTGATCAACAACTGGATTGAGCTGCGTTCCGACTTTCTCAAGATCTGCATCGAGCACCAGCGTCCCCCGCCGGTCCGGACAGACGGGATAGGTCCGTGGGTGCAGAATCTGGGGTTTCTGACCTGGCTGGGAAGCATTTCAACTACAGCCGTTGCGCACATGTTTGGGCCCAGCGTGCTGAACCTGGGGAGCTCTAGCAGTGTCCGCTGGTGGACTCTGCCGGTCACAATTGTCGTCAGCGAGCATGTCTTCCTGGCCGTAAGGGCCATGGTGCAAGTGGTGCTCCAGAGAATCGGGTCGAAGCAGATCCGCAAGGAGAGGGACACAAAGTACCTGATAAGAAAGAAATATCTGGACGAACTCGAAAGAAATAAGAGCGAGATGCTCGGCCTCGGGGTAGAGCAGAGAGAGCGCCGCAAGTCCGTCTTGATGACCGCCGGCAACATGTTCTGGATGAGACAGGTCGAGGATGGAAAGAGTAAGGCGGTTGGCATCCAGCTCATCCAGATGCTCCGGAAACCTACAAACGGGGTGGTGAAGGGCAGCGAGAAGGGCAAAAAGGATTAGATGTAGATCGCGTCTGCCACTCCCTACGGGAATTCTTGAGTGTATTCGTACATCCACGAGGATGAATCAGGCGAGAGGGCGTAGGACTCGAGACGGCGACTCCTTATACACCGACGGGATGTTTTTTGTCGCCGATTAGTCTGCCACGGCCTTGAAAGTTGGTTTCACTCATAGTCGTCGGCATGACCGCGCGCAGGGAATTTGCCCTGCAATGCCATGATCGACTTGATGGCGGCAAGACAAGATATGGAGGCGGCATGCGTGTGAGAGAAAATGGTATCACGCGATGCTGTGCGACGGAATTGCCCTTGCTCCTGGCTGCCTTAGTTTGCTTCCTCCCCTGCGTCTAGGGTATCGCCGGCCTGTGAACGGAGTATATCCCGTCTCCTCCTCTGAACCACCTTGCGGACCTCACAATCCAAGCTTCTCGGTGACGAGAGGCAGGGCAGGCGGTCGCATGACACGACCCGACGGGCTGGCGAACTTCTCGCGCAGCAGCGTCGCCATCATCGAAACCGGCTTGGCTGGGCTGACCACGGCCCATCTGCTGCAAAACAATGGGCAGGGGCGCTACCGGGTGACCTTGTTTGAGCAGGTAGATCCAAATCTCTCGTCGCCACGGGGGGACATGACATGATAACCACTGTTTGCGCCTAGGCCGACGAGCTCTCGTTCGCACGGCCTCGGTCGTCGTCGTGGATGAGAAAACGGGCGCCGTTGAGCGTGTCGATATCGGTGCCCAGGCGGGCCTGCTGCGCCTGTGCCGATATCTCGGCATTCCGCTGCACCGGTCCGCTTCTTCTTCGTCTTTGCGAAGGCGCTGCCTCGACGGCTGCGAGGGCCGAGGCCCCACGAGGCCCCACGAGACCGGCTCGGCGCCTGGAAGCCACTTGGTCCATGCCTCCAACCTGCACCGGACGCTGCCGCCCTGGCCGACCTCTGTGCTGCACTTGATGGAGCTTCTGCACCTTGCCGTCTGCCAGCACGGCATAAGGCGTAATGTGGGCTTTGAATAAACATGTATATATTACCATTATCTATATTCATCAACTCCTGCAATGCTCAAGAGCCTCTTCTCGGCATTAATCATGTGGTCCTTGACTATTGCTCTGTTAGGCAAGCCGTGGAATATATAAGCTCCCCTTGACCCCCAAGCTCGTCGTAGTTGTCTCCCGTTTAGATGCAAGCTTATTATGCGAACTTACAAGTTACAACATCCTTCGTTGACCACCTAGCCGAACCAGAGTTTCAGATCTTTCCTCGCCGACACAATCCGCCCATGACCGCGCTTATCCTCGGGCCAGTCACACAAGCCTGGATAGTAATCAACTTCACACTTGGAAGTCAGTGGTTTTTTTTCCCTTGATGAAAGATGAAAGGAAGGAGAATTAATGCCAAGCCTGGGAGGAGAATAAACAAATCTTGGCAACTAGAAACCGCCGACGCGCTCCCGGAGCTTTGGTTCCTTGCATTTCGGTTGCGGCACGATGCGCACGTGACAAGCTGTCTCCTCGTACCTGGTAGCAAATGCGCGCATGAGGGCGGGGGCCGCAACCCGGGATCGACGACGCCCTAAGACCTACCCGACAGACACATGTCGTGGCTGTCGAGCTTGAAAGGAGCCAGGGCTTTTGGACTCTGCCAAACCACCTTTGCCAGCGCAGCCAGGCGGAGCTTCGCATCCATCAACATGGCGGCCAAGCGTGATCCGTCGACCCTCTCCAACTACCAAGCATGGCGCACCACGCACACGACCGTCGCCTTCAAGCTCGACTTTGACAACAAGCGCCTTAAGGGCTCCGTCCTCTTGCAGCTCGAGAGCCAGACGGACAAGGAGAGCAAGGAAGTCGTCCTCGACACGAGATCCCTCAACGTCTCGTCGGTCAATGTCAACTCCAAGCAGTCAAAGTGGGAGCTGAAGCCCTTCTCCAACCCTCTGGGCGCCCCCTTACATATCGCTGTGCCCGATGGCGCGTCCAAGGGCGAGATTGTCGACGTCGCCATTGACCTGGAGACGACGGATAAATGCACCGCGCTGCAGTGGCTCACCCCTGCCCAGACGTCCAACAAGAAGCATCCTTACATGTTTTCTCAGTGCCAGGCCATCAATGCTCGGTCCATCTTCCCCTGTCAGGACACGCCTGATGTCAAGTCGACCGTCACCTTCAACCTCACCTCGACCCTCCCCGTTGTCGCCAGCGGCGTCCCAGTCGGAGACCACACGGCCACTCCCGGCATCGAGAAGCTTTACAGGTTTGAACAAAAGGTCCCCATTCCGTCTTACTTGTTTGCCGTCGCGTCGGGAGATATCGTCACGGCACCTATAGGCCCTCGCAGCGTGGTCGCCACCGGTCCCAACGAGCTGGCCGACTGCAAGTGGGAGCTCGAGCGGGACATGGAAAAGTTCATGGACGTTGCCGACAAGCTCATCTTCCCCTATAAATGGGGCGAGTACAACGTTTTGGTTCTCCCCCCTAGCTTTCCCTACGGAGGTTTGCCGCTTAATTCCCCGAGATGTACTGGATCCTTGATCTGACTGGCCCCTACAGGCATGGAAAACCCCGTCTACACCTTTGCCACTCCGACCATCATCAGCGGAGATCGCGAGAACGTCGACGTCATCGCCCATGAGCTGAGCCATAGCTGGAGCGGAAACCTCGTCTCAAATGCCAGCTGGGAGCATTTGTAAGTAGCGCCGAGGTCCCACAACACTCGTGGCCACATGCTAACGATGTGCAGCTGGCTGAACGAAGGCTGGACCGTCTATCTCGAGCGTCGCATCTTGGCCGCCATCCACGGAGACGCCGCGTTTGACTTTTCCTCCATTATCGGCTGGAGTGGACTTGGTAGGGCCGACTCAAATGGTGGCGAGGTGCATTCGATGCTAATGGGAAGCAGAGGACGCCGTCGAAATGTTTGGAAAAGACCACGAATACACCAAGTTGGTCATCAGTCACGACAACGTAGATCCCGAGGACGTCTACAGCCAAATAGCTTACGAGAAGGGCTTCCACTTTCTCTACTACCTCGACCGGCTGGTGGGCCGCAACAACTTTGACAAGTTCATTCCTCACTACTTCACCACGTGGGCTAGAAAGTCACTCGACTCGTTTGAGTTCCGGAACACATTTTTGGACTTTATGCAGAGTCTCAACGACGAGGAACTCAACGAGAGGGTGGCGACCATTGACTGGGATGCCAAGTTCTTCTCGCCAGGCTTACCCCCAAAGCCCGATTTTGACACCACCATGGTAACCATGTGCTACGACCTAGCGGAGAAGTGGAAGGACACGGTAAGCTCCCCAAAGCAGCCTCCAAATGCGTACATGATCTGACCAAGGACTTTAGTCGTTCGACCCGAGCGCGGGCGATATTGAGTCTTTCACGGCCAACCAGAAGCTCGTCTTCCTCGAACGGGTGCAACAGTGTGCCAGTTTAAGCCCCGAGCGAGCTCAGCTCATGGGCAAAGCTTATGATTTTATCTCGTCAAAGAACGCCGAGCTCAAGACGGCCTACTACCTCGTCGCCCTCAAGGCGCAGGATCCCACTAGCTTTTACGGGGCGGCCGAGCTGCTGGGAACGGTGGGGCGGATGAAGTTTGTCCGGCCGCTGTTCCGGGAGCTCAACAAGGTGGACAGGCAGCTCGCCCTGAATACCTTTGCGAAGAACAGGGACTTTTACCACCCCATCTGCAGGGGCATGGTGCAGAAGGACTTGGGCATCCAGGACTAGGAGTAGTACGTGAGGCTATGTGGTGGCAAGGCCACTCAGATATACATGCGGAAACCTCAGTTTAGCCATGATGAATCACGCATACTGTCCGCCCACGACTGGCGCTCAGCGCGCTCGAATTTCCGCACGGAATGCACGTCCTTTGCGCCAAAGTTGCCATAGAGGTGTGGGAAGCCGTCCTCCCAAATGACTGAATCGGCCAGGTTGCCGAGGTCAAATTTCAACAGCCATAGGCTAGAGGCAGCGGCGAAAAACAAATCAGCCGTGGCGGGGACCTTTTCGGCGTGAGCACTTTGTACCTGTTGTCCACTGTCGGCTGTCTTACCTGGTTACTCGTGCTAAGGTGCACGAAGCCGTCGGCTTTGTCGAGATCAGAGAAGGGATACTCGGCCGGGATTGGGTCTTGGGGCGCGGACGGGAGTATCTTGTAGACATGTTTGACTTGCTCCATTGCGACGAAGGGATGTTGAAGTGAACCATGGGAAACCCGAAATCCGGGTGGGGGGTCAAACGTGCTGCTGTGGAGCTCCAGGGTAGGAGACGGCGCCACGTCAACCCATCCAATCCGTTAATTACATCTCTATGGCTATTTTCTCACCTCATCTCTCATCCATCCACTCCCGCAAGATGTTGAACTGACGATTCTTCCACGTCGCACAGGGCGATAAAGCCATGGACTTCAGTTCGTATCACTGCCCCCATCATCATGTCTCGAGGGCCCCTCCCCTCGCAGCTCTGCCTGCTGTCTTCATTACCTGACCGGACAGAGCGGGAAAAGGTCCGGTTCTTGGGATGGTACGTTCAAGAGCGAATCTCAAGAGAATTAGGTTCGCGACGAAAGGTCTAGTCTCCGGGCTCATGCTCATGGCTCTGCAGTGTCACGTCCTTCTCCCCGGCCTCCGCTTCGCTGGCGCTCGGTCACTTGTACCCCAAAGGTAGCAACGTCGTCGTGTCGGTCAACCTCGAGCTGGTGATTGAGACGCTCCAACCAGGGCTGACACGCATCGGTGAGTGGGTGAACGTTATTGGGTACGTGCTGGCGAAGCCCAGGTCCTCGGCCCCCGGCTCCGGGGATCGGGATGGGTCTTCTGCCCACGTTCAAGCACTGGTCATCTGGCCGACAGGACCTTTGGATATCCAGCACTACGAGAAAAGCTTCGAGGCGGGGCCGTGAGGGCGTTTCCATCCTATATTCCGGGCAAAATATCTCGAATGGACGGATCAAGATGCCGTCGAACGAGAAACGGCGTGCAGCAGGAACATCGACACAAACGGGAAGCTTGCCACCCGTATGTCCCCAGCTTGAGGGATCCCGACCATTCACACCACGTGAATAAAAGCAAGTCCATTCTCACATGCCTTCTAGGCAAAGATGGAACGGGTAACCGTTCAATGGGTTGACACCGCCATCACGTGGCAGACCTCGGCCGTTAAGGGACTTGCCGTTGTGAGGCCCCGCCAGTGTTCCCTTTCACAGCCAGCAATACCGGAGATTCCTGCGTGTCTGATTCGTCATATTCTCCTGACACGACGGAAAGAGCAAAAGACTCAAGCCTCAAAGGTGTTCATATGGTGGGCCGCGTGACAGTCTCTCCACTCCCTCCCGTGGGTGATCCAACTCAGGAGTTGTGACTTCTCGGCGGACTCCGGCCCCCAAGCTTGCGTCATTTCGGCAGCAAGCATTCGACTCGCATTAGCCTGAGCCGGCCGGCTTCGGCGCGCGGCGACGGTCGTTGTGATTGCGGCGGCTGCTTCCCCTGTCGATGGTTTCTCCGGGCCCCCGAGAGACAACGACGGGCTGATGGAGCGGTCTCTTGAGCGCCTTCGCTGGATTCTCCTGGATTTTGGCCGCCATCTGTCTATCCCACAGCTGCCTCGACTTGCGGCAAATGTCGTCAATCTGCTCCTGAAACGCGCCAGGGCTCGTGTCAATCGAAAGCTGGACGAGCCATGGGCAGGTGTTGCACGGGCTTACATCAGTCAAACAAGCGCCCGGCGTCGAAATCAGAAAGCCGTCCTCGCCCTACACACCGTTCAACGTCAGCAAGCTTTGTCTCAGCTAGCACAAGCTAGAGGCTGGGTACTTGGAAGGTGTACGGCCGAACCGTTGCTTGGGGCCCAAGGTGATATTGCAGCTCCTGTGTGATGATCTTTCTGTGGATGTCCAGATGAGGAATCCAGTAGCGGTTCAAGGAGGACGACATTGCGATTAGCCTCTGGGGGATGAACGGATCCGCAAGGGGGGACGCTGCGCCGTGCAGTTGCGCCTTTTCTGCCCGGGAGGAGACGGACATGGGCCCAGCATATAAGAGAGCATCCGAGCCTGGAAGGCGGAACGACATGAACGCCCACCCTGGGCCTATTCCGTTGTGCAGACGAGGGCGAATAGGGGAAGCACGCGTGCAGTCCAATCACAAATTTGATGCGGCTTAGCTCACCGCTCCGGACGAGGAGATACGCTGGGGCGAGCCGTATATGGCGAGATGCAGTGCTAGCATGCGCTGGAAGCACAGTATGTCCGTCCCATTGCATGCACACGCAAGCTCTACTACCGGAGACCCTGTCACGAGAAGTGTGATGCGACCCCAGGCGAAAGTGAGGCGGGCAAATGGCGATGGGTTGTGTCTTTCATTGGCAGGCCCGCCTCACCATGCTGGCAGACGAGCGACTGAGAGGCGAGGAGGTTCGCAGCCCTCATGCGATGGAGCTCGGGCTGTCACGTCCCCCGGACCGGCGAGACCCTGGCCGGCATGCCGCCCATTAGCTGGGGAGTGGCTGGATCTCGCCAAGATGTCAGGAGACGCGCGGAGGAAGATGGTTCTACTACTCATTCATCGAGCAGAGGCGAACGGCACCTGCTTGGATGCCCAGCGCAGCTCTCGGTCGCTCGCTTGCGGACATGTATGGCTCGCGTTGGGCTCCAAAGCCCAACGCATATACCCTGCTCGTGCAGCTGCTGTCCCGGGGCCGACTGACTGGCCGTCCTAGCTCGCTTTGATACATTTTATAAATTGTTTCGCAGCCGCCGATCGCCGGAGTAGGGCGTCGGGCCCCACGCCATCATTCGTCTTTCCTGGGGCGGCCAGTCGTCGGCGGTTGGCGGCCAGGGTTGACTCGCTCCAGTCACCTGGGACCGGTGCGAGCCTTGCGGAGGACAACGCGGCAGGGAGATGGCTCGCCAGCATTGGAAGAAGCGGACGGCCTCGACTGCACGGGCCTCCCGCGGCAAATTAAGCACGATGGATCTCGACGATAGGGCGCGCCGCCGTTGCATGAAACAAACAAAGGTCCACGGCGGAAGGATGACCCCTGCGGCCGCTAGCTCGCCCGTTTTGTTCGACTCGCGACAGGGAAAACAAAGTAGGCCACTGCCGAAGCAGCTCGAGAGGCGGTGGTTTCTTCCCCTGACGCGTTGATTCTTGCCCGTCCCTCCGATGGCCGCCGGGTAATCCGCGGAAGGCCAGCTGGATGACCCTTTCACCGCGCGCATGTGCCTGCAGGGCTCGCACGTGAACGTACATAATCGGTACTGTACCCTTGATCTGCTGCAGGCATCACGGGAGTACTCGCGTGCAAGTACCCTTTGCTGTGTTTGTTGCCCCAATCAGATGCCACTGATGGTTGAGAGGGCTCCATTTGACATCAAGCGCGAACCGCGTCTCTGTCTCTTGTTGACACCTTGAAGACGGAAGCATACCTCAGCCGCGGGGCCGCGACATTCCAGACAGACACACTCTCGCTAGACTGTCCTCTCTCGTCCGCCACAGCCCGCCCTCGGCCGTGCTGCCTGTCAGCCTCCGGCCTCGTGCCTCGCACCAAGCTTTTTGGCCCTGTCGTCATCTCCTCGCTCAACCAATCTCTCCCGCACCCTATCGGATAGCCTTTCCCGTCGCGCGAGGGAGGCGGGCAATTGACACGGTCGGCGCCTTGATGGAGGCCTGGACCCGACACAACTTGCGACGTTGCCATCGCGTCTCCGGACCTCGTGCGCGCGACCTCTTACGCTGAGGCCCCGGCGCATTGTTTGCAGAGACGTCTAGGCTTCGAGGGGGCCGACTCGGGTCCCCGCAGGCGATCCGACGACCATGGCGCCTGCCGGTGGCGGTAATATCAAGGTGGTGGTGAGAGTTCGGCCCTTTAACGGCAGAGGTATTGCTCCCGCCTCCATGGACGGCAAGCGCGATTAGGAGCTCACGTTTCGCAGAAATCGATCGCGGGTCAAAATGCATCGTCAGCATGAAAGAGAACCAGACCGTTCTCACCCCACCCGAGAGCCAGGGAGCACGGGGAGCCAAGGAAAACGGGGCCAAGACGTTCGCCTTCGACAGGTCATACTGGTCCTTCAACAAGCACGACTCGAGCTACGCTGGGCAGTCCAACCTCTTTGACGACTTGGGGAAGCCTTTGCTCGACAACGCGTTCCAGGGCTATAACAACTGCATCTTTGCGTACGGGCAGACAGGTTCTGGAAAGTCGTATTCCATGATGGGCTACGGGAAGGAGGTCGGAATCATACCAAACATTTGCCAGGAAATGTTCAGCCGCATACAGTCGATACAGGAGGGTGACAAGAGCACCAAGTGCACGGTCGAGGTCTCCTACCTCGAAATCTACAACGAGCGCGTGCGCGACCTGCTGAACCCGGCCACCAAGGGCAACCTCAAGGTCCGAGAGCATCCATCCACCGGGCCCTACGTCGAGGATCTCGCCAAGTTGGTTGTCGGCACGTTCCAGGAAATCGAGAACCTCATGGACGAGGGAAACAAGGCCAGGACGGTGGCGGCGACAAACATGAACGAGACGTCGAGTCGAAGTCACGCCGTCTTCACTCTCATGCTCACCCAAAAGAAGTATGACGCTGAGACAAAGATGGAGATGGAAAAGGTCGCCAAGATCAGCCTTGTCGATCTGGCTGGTTCCGAGAGAGCAACGTCGACGGGTGCGACGGGCGCCCGGCTGAAAGAGGGCGCTGAAATCAACCGCTCGCTCTCGACGCTCGGGCGAGTCATCGCTGCCTTGGCTGATTTGTCGACGACAAAGAAGAAGAAGGGCGCAAGCCAGGTTCCGTATCGAGACAGTGTTTTGACATGGCTGCTCAAGGACTCTCTCGGTGGCAACAGTATGACGGCTATGATAGCGGCCATCAGCCCCGCAGATATCAACTACGACGAGACGCTCAGCACGCTGCGGTACGCCGATTCGGCCAAGCGAATCAAGAATCACGCCGTCATCAACGAGGACGCCAATGCTCGCATGATTCGGGAACTCAAGGAGGAACTTGCTCTGCTGCGGAGCAAGCTTGGTGGTGGCGGCACTGCTGCTCCCGGCAGTGCCGCGTTGCCTCCGGATGAGGTGTACGCCGAAGGCACCCCTCTGGAGAAGCAAATGGTTACCATCACCGGCCAGGACGGAATGGTCAAGAAGGTGTCCAAGGCCGACATCGCCGAGCAGCTAAGCCAGAGCGAGAAGCTCCTCACCGACCTCAACCAGACATGGGAACAGAAGCTGCAAAAGACCGAAGAGATCCACAAGGAGCGTGAATCTGCGCTGGAGGAGCTGGGAATCAGCATCGAAAAGGGCTTCATTGGCCTACACACGCCCAAGAAGATGCCCCATCTGGTCAACCTCTCGGATGATCCCCTCCTTGCCGAGTGCCTGGTCTATAACCTCAAGCCCGGAACGACAACCGTGGGCAATGTTGACACCAATGCCGATCACCAGGCAAATATTCGCCTCAACGGGACGCGAATTCTGCATGACCACTGCACGTTCGAAAACGGCGCCGACGGTACCGTTACGGTGATACCACGAGAGGGCGCATCCGTGATGGTGAACGGCAAGAGAATCGCAGTACCAAAGCAGCTGCACTCTGGCTACCGAGTGATTCTTGGAGACTTCCATATTTTTCGATTTAACCATCCCATGGAAGCGAGAGCAGAACGGGGCGAAGTCGGCCAGAGCTTGCTCCGACAGTCGCTAACCGCCAACCAGATCCAAGCTCTGGACCGAACATCCCCCTGTTCCAGTCCGCGGCCAGGCCATGACCGGTCCGCCAGCAAGACCTCAGACTATGGCGACTTTCGGCCAGAATCGCCGTCCCTCTTTGCCCGCAACGGCAGAGACTCGGATTGGTCCCTGGCCCGGCGGGAGGCCGCTGGTGCTATCCTCGGGACTGACCAGAATTTCGCGAGCTTGACGGACGAGGAGCTAAATGCCCTGTTTGAAGAAGTCCAGAGAGCGCGTGCTGAACGAGTTAACGTGCGAGAAGACGGCGAAGACTCTGAATCGGTCACGTCCTACCAGCTCCGAGAAAAGTACATGTCGACTGGAACAATCGACAACTTCTCACTTGATACTGCCCTAACAATGCCGTCTACGCCGAAGCAGGGGGAAGCCGAAGAGAAGTTGAGAGAGGCACGGGAAGAGATGCAAAGCCAACTGGAAAGACAAAAGGAGGAGTTTCAGGAACAGCTCAAAAGCGCGGAGGCCTCGAATGTCGAGGTGGAGGAGATCAAGCGAGAAAAGACGAAAATGGAGGCGGCGCTCCAGGAGCTCAAGGAGGACATGCAGAAGCAACTCAATCTACAACGCAAACAGTACGAAGACAAGATTGAGCAAATGGACCCGTTGAAGCGACCGAGGCCGAACCCAAAGCTCTCCGACGAGGAAGTCGAGCGTGCCAAGTCCGCCTTGAAAGTGTGGCGGGGCCGCCATTTTGTCAAGATGGCCGAATCAGCCCTCCAGAATGCCGCCATTCTGAAGGAGGCGCAAATCATGAGCAACGAGCTCAACGAGAACGTGGTGTTTCAGTTCACCGTCGTCGACGTCGGGCATGTCTTGTGCTCTTCCTACGACATGGTCCTCAACGGTCTGACGGGTGAAGGTGAAGATGCCGCATTGGAAGAGGCCCAGAAGCCCTGCATCGGGATCCGTGTCATGGACTACAAGAACAGTGTTGTTCACCTCTGGAGTGTCGAGAAGCTGCACGACCGCGTGCGCCAGATGCGCCAGATGCACCAGTACCTTGACCAACCCGAGTACGCCCAGCATCTGAGCCTCGACAACCCATTCGTGGAAACTTGCATGCCGTCATACACACTGGTTGGCGAGGCCGATGTCCCACTCAAGGCCGTGTTTGAGAGCCGAGTCCAGGACTTTTCCCTCGATGTGCACTCGCCCTTCACGTCGCACGCCGTCGGCATCATCAAGCTGTCCCTTGAGCCGTCCCACGCACGAGCGCCCTCGAACACGTTGAAGTTTAATGTCGTCATGCGCGAGCTAATTGGCTTCGCAGAGCGTGAAGGAACCGAGGTGCATGCCCAACTCTTCATTCCGGGTGTCTCGGAGGAGGATGGAGTGACGACAACCCAGATGATACAGGACTTTGACGAAGGGCCGATTCGCTTCGAAAGCGTCCACAACATGAGCGTCCCGCTCTTTGCTCCCCAGGACGTGACGTTGAGGGTCGCCATCTTTGCCCACGTCTCGACAATGCACTTGGATAAGCTCCTCAGCTGGGACGACATGAGAGATGCGGGTCCCTCACGGGACGGTCCGAAGGGGACAAGAATCAGCGAATCGCAGTTCTTCACCCAGGAAAAGCACGACCTGCTCTCTCGAGTGCAAGTCATGGAACTCAATGAGAATGGCGACTACCAGCCAGTCGAGGTCACGCAGACTAGTGAGCTGGATACTGGCACTTTCCAACTACACCAAGGCCTGCAGAGACGGATCGTGATCAACCTTTCGCACAGCTCCGGTGACGCCCTGCCATGGGGAGATGTCACAGCAGTGCGAGTCGGAAAGATTCGACTTGTCGATTCGGCGGGCAAGACTCCAGACATGGGCGCCAACCAGCCAGACATTACTCTTAAGCTATCCTCGAGCCCCGTCTTCCGCGAGAATGCAAACGGCACGAGGAGCATCACCATATTCGCGCAGTGGGATTCGAGCCTGCACAACTCGCTATTGCTCGACAGAGTAACTGCAGAAAAGTACCGCGTACAGATGACCGTTACCTGGGAGATCAGTTCCGAAAAGCTGGCCGAGCCGATGAGATTTGCGCAAAAGGTGTGCGTTCAGATTCTGTCGAGGACATTTGTTCGTCAGACGTCCGTCTTTTCTTCCCTGTTCCAGAACGTGAGATTTGTGCAGTCTTCAACGGGCATCTTCACCCTGACCATGAGGCCGGCCCCCATCAAAAGAGTTGGGGACCTGTGGCGGATGAACAGTCGGCACGATTACGTCAAAGGTGAAGAGAATCTGACAAGTTGGGCCCCACGCGGAGTCTCGTTGGTGAGCGACTTTATCCTGGCTCGAAAGAAGAGAAGACGCATTGCCGAAATTGGCGTGATACAGACCTCGTTGAACAAGCTCGACGCCCCTAGCGCGAGACTGGTGGATTCCAGGCACGAAGGCCCTGAACCGGAGCCACTGCCCGAAGCGCGCTCCGTCTTACCAGATGACGATGACGACCTCCTCAACGATACCCCCGACACGTCGCAAGCGCCATCTATCGATGAAGATGACAAATCCGAGGGGCAGCTAGAGGAAGTCACCCTCAAGGTGGAGGAGCAGGGGTCGCTCGCAGAGACACAGGAGTATGGCGCGCGGGGGGCCGAGTTGCTGAAAAGGTGCCTGTCGCTCTGGACCAAGTACCCCGACCCGTTGTCGAGCATTCTGAGTCCGGCCAACACGGCACCGCCCCGGAACGGCATCACGCCGGACTCGCCGCCCCCGCCCAGCCTCATCACGACCATTGTCCGAGTGCCGAAAAACCCAAAAGTGCTCAAAGGTGGCTACCTACTCGTGCCCAACAGCGATTCAACGCGATGGATCAAGCGGTTCGTCGAACTCAGGCGGCCCTACCTCCACATCCACTCGGCGACAGACGGCGACGAGGTGGCGCTGGTCAGCCTCAGGAATTCACGCGTCGACAGCCAGCCCGGCGTTCTCGGGATCCTCCACGGGCCGGCGGGCGAGGACGACGGGTCGCAGGGCCCCAACAACACCCCCGACTTTACCCCGGGGCATCGTCGCACAGGCTCGGGCAGGGTCATCTCGACCATCTGGACGGGCGCGGCCGGTGGAGGGGCGCCGTCGTCGGGCGGGCCGGGCCTCCAGCGCCTCAGCGAGCGGCTGCAGTCGGCCGTGTTTGCCATCTACGGGACGGACAACACGTGGCTATTTGCCGCGCGCAGCGAGCGCGACAAGATGGATTGGATCTTCCGCATCGACCAGACGTATCTATCCAACAGCGAGAGTACGCCGAACAGCGGCGTCATGAGCCCGTACAGTGGGAGTCAGTACTAAGAAAACAAGCCGCTGGTTCGATTGGATAATAGTCCCCGGGCTACGACGTTGACGCACCCCTCATTTTTATTCCACGTTCCTTACCAAACACCACCATCCTCTTCCACATGGATGTGGTGTTTTTTTCCCCTCGTCTTCTCCCCACCTGTTTCTTTTGTCCACCCCGGAGACGACGGTGGCGGCGGCGGTTTTCTTAGACGACCTTTAAAATTATATACCCCCGAGAGGAGAGAAGCGAGAGCAAGCGAAGAAGGACATGTGTGTGTGTGTGTGTGTGTGTGTGCAAGCAGGAGGATGCAGGGCGGGCAGTCCCCTTTGAATGGCGCTTGGAGGGGTTTGGCGCTCGCGTGGTGTAGACGTACAAAGATGCATGTATTCGTTGCACGGGAGCGTGCTTGGGTAGGGTAGCTTGCTTGTCCCATGGCGGGCAACTGTTTTTGCTGCGAGGCTAGAATGGAGGCACGCTTGGCTGATTGAGCGACGACTGTAATGCTGGAAATGAAGTGAATGACGTGCAATATCATGTAACCAAGTTTGGATGCCGAGTGTCATGAGCATTGTCGCCCACTACGCGGCCACTGTTGCTCAACTTTGCAGGGTGGCCCGCCACATTCTTGGCTCCCATTTCTACTCTCCCCAGCGGGCACCTCTTACTAGCAGCCAAGTCCCCCCAAGACTCGGGGGACCGGATCTTTGCCTTCCGTCTTCCCCTTTTCTAGAAGCAACCACGCACACCTAGATGCTTTCGAGAAGGAGATCAACAGGAACAGATAGCGCAGGAGCTGAACAGCAGCGCATCATCGCACCGGCTCTCTCGACAACGACTGGGGTCTCGACGCAGGGGAGAGGGGGAGACGTGGAGAAAGAGAAGGGTTCGCATCGCGGCAGGCAACCGGCAAGCTAAGGTTCCTTTGCCCGTCCACTCCGCATCATTGTCCGCGCTGCCGGGTTTCGTGTGCGCCGAAGAGACAAAATAGGAATAGAGGGCAGTGTAAAAAGCAAAGGGCGCAGAACTAAATAAAAAGCAAGTACAGCATGCGTACTCCGTACAGTACGTAGAGTTGGAGAGCGGGCCGGGGAGCTTGCAAAGAGGCACTAGGCCCGGCTCCCCTGCCGGCCGCGTTCCCAGGCTGCGGGTGATGAAAAGTCCGGGAAGGTAACATGGCGTATGGGGCGTGAGAAAATCCAATAAAACGACGCTAATATCGTGACTTGCATTCGACGCGACCCTCTGCCGCCGACGACCGACAGCTCATGTACGGATACATTGAGCAGGTGACATGTGGTGAAAGAAAGAAAAGAAGTGTGCCGGGTAAAATGAAAGTGAATGACGTGTGTGCTTCCCGGTTTTATCGGATGAGGCTCCATCGTAAAATGGGCGAAAAAGGGGGGGGGAGGCCAGGGCCACGTCTTTGGCGGCGATAGGATGCTTAGAACCGAGCCATAGCATCAAAAATAGCCAAAAGAGGGGAGCGGCGGCAAGCAAGAGGACCTTGCGGCTCGCCTTACCTCCACCAACAAAACCCTGTTCCGAACGATGAGGACGGACCACGTATTCGGGCGGTGGGGGAGAGCCAAGGCATGTTCCGCAGTTGCAGGGTCGTCGAATTAAACACCGCCCGTTCATGGCGCTCCCGAGCCTAGCATGGAGACGGCCCGACCGTGAAACCGGGCTAGGCTCGTTAGTTCCCGCCTCTGCAAACACCACCTGTTGGCGCATGATTGATGAGTCTCGTCCGCCTGTGCCTGTGCGCGCCAGTCTGGAAGTGAGGCCGATGGCCTGGCTGTTGGACGCCTCTTGCCATCCGAACGAGGTTCGGACAATCGCCGCTTGTCAGAGACGAGTGATCCTGCTCCCACTCGGCAGTTAGTAAACAGGTGTCAGCCGACAAGGAAAAAGGGTGTCCAAGACATGATGAGCCACGTCTCAATGCGACGCCTGCGGCATGCCATGTGCTCTCGATCAACCGCTCGGTTCGTATACATGCCAGCGCACGCCTTGCTCGTGCGTGCATGATGTCTTCTCAGCCTTCCACTCGCTGCTACCTCGACTCCGCGTACTGTGTACTTGCAGACCGGGAGAGAGTGTGGCGCAACCGCCGGGACGTGGTCAAGAACGGGCTATGTCCTGCTAATATACGTCAAGCAGGCTTTTCCGGAAGCGGCAGCCCTTTGTGTCCTCTTCAAGACGAAAAGCCCAACCAACCGCGCAGGCGTTCCTTCTCGTGGTCTCCAACCCCCTGCCTGGGCCGCTGCGACGAGGCGAGGCCGCCGGATCAGCGTCACCCGCGATCGGTGCGGTGGGTACCGAGCTGTCGGGACCAGCAGCAGACAGCCCAGTCGCCGCCCGACATTTCGCCCTGTGCGGGACGGGTGGTCTGACATGCTGAAGAGTCAAGACAGGCGCCCACACCCGTGGGAAAAAAGATGACGAGTCAGTATCCGTACCCAGGGAAGGGGATGGCAAGCACACGCTTATTCCCCCCCCCCCCAAAAAAAGGAAAGGCAAATATGAGTCGTAATCCTCGTCCCCAGTCTCTCTTACCCACTGCCCTGGCTCGCCCTGGTGCAGTAACCCCATAAAAGCGGAGGCATGGATCTTGATTGTCGAGTCGTCGTGTGAAACCGAAAGGCATCGGAACGCGAAAGAGAAGTCTTTATCTGGTGACACGCCTTGCCAGCCAGTTGGAAAACTTGGCAAGCAGCCCCACAGGGCTCTCAGGCCGTTCTGGAGATTGGTGTCGAGGCATCTGACCCACGGCCGTCGCGCCCGCAGCGTAGCCGACGAGATGGGACGTCCACAAGTGCTAGCCGCAGCCAACCACGCAAGGCCCGGGAGGGGAGACTGGCACTGCGCATCCCAATTACCAGGGGCAGCCGCAGAGTTTGCTGCCGCAGCCAGAGACGTGGCGCTGCTGGCGTTTCGTTTACCGTGAGCGACGCAGCCCGCCCCCAAGTTCCCAGTGTCCGAGATGCGGCACAATAAACCACCCCCCTGCGAGGTGATCTGGGAGTTCTGGCGTGATAATCCACATGCTCTGCACCAAGTGTGTCAGTCTTGGGAACTTGGGGGCCATTTTCTGGGGTGAGTGCCCCACGGATAACCGAGACGACGGCCGCAGTCGGGGGTTGCGGATGCAGCAGTGGACTCTCGGGATGCTCCGTAGGACCGTAGCAACTCGGCTCGGTCCACGTACGGAGTACACATGCTGCGTGCGATGAGGAGCCCCTCCAACTGTCCCGCCTGTTACACCAAGCGTCAGCCTCAATTAATGGGCAGCGTCTCGGGCAGGAAAAAAGAAATGATGGCAACGAAGGCCCCGGGGCACGCTCAGGCCGCTGAGTATCCGTACAACGAGGCTAAAACATCAGTCCCGGTTTGACAGCCACGCCACCCGCCCACACGGGACGGGCCCAACGTCCGTTTCTGACGCAGCGGCGGAGAGCTGGGGTACCAGATACTTGCGGCACAGTGCTGTCGACGTGCGGCAAGTATCCGACCCAGATAGCCGGGAGCCCCACGGGCTTGGGTTGGACGGAGCCTCTTGTTGCCCTTGATTCCAAAAAGGTACTTTCCAGGGTGCGTACTTCCTTTGGACAAGAGACTTTGTCGAGCCAACACTCTGATCCCCCCCGACCAGCGGCCCCCCCTCCCGTCACTCCTGGAGGAGATTAGCTGACCCAGCTCCCCGGGACCAGCCTGAGGCCATGGCCGCGGAGAAAGAAAGGAGGGTGGGGGGGGGGCAAAAACGCAAGCCAAGGGGGGCGCCAACCAGGCAAGCAGCCGGCATAAGTGTTCGTCTGAGGCACTGCCGAGAAATCGGAGAGGATACCTACTGCCGTAAAGTGTACATTCGCGAAGGCAGGCCTGGCCTGGCTGACTGAGCCCTGTCGGTGCGCCTGTCTGCGTGTGCATCAAGGCCCGAGGTGGAGCCAGACGGCTTGTTGGCTGGGTTCGTCTCTTCGCATGCGCTCGCGAGGCGCCGCCGTGCCGGTCTTGGGCGTGCTTGGTGTTTTTGTTGAACCCGTACATGTGTACCCGACCCAGAGGGCTGGCACCAAGTCGCAACAACGGCCGGCAGCCGAAGGCTGGCTGCTCGTGTAGACCAGCCCGCTGGACAACGTCGAACACACCGGATCATCCACCCGCGCAGCCATCGAGCCAAGAGGTCCTGTGAGGACTTCTTTTCATTTCCGGAGCGACTGCCTGGCGTTAGACTTCTCCGGCCGACATCCACCCCCCTGCTGGACCGTGTCCTTGGACCGGAACTTCCCCGATCATTTTCCACTCACCTTGGGAGAGGGTCTCTGCTTGTCCGTCCAAGCTCCCTCTTGAATTCCTGTCCAAGTACTCGCCAGAGATTGGACGGCTGCGGGCGATCTCATGTGACGGCTCGCAATATCCCGGGGACATCTACCCGACCAATGGACTTTGTCTGGCCGACTGGAAAGGCGCATCATCACTTCTCGACGAGCAGCTGGCGGCGGCCATGGCGACTCGACAGACGGCAAGCGGGGATGGCCCGGACAGCAAGACAAGCGTGGGCCTGCGGAACTTCCAGTTCACCTTCAACTGCTCGTCCATGTCGTGCGGATCGAGCCGCTGCATCGAGGCCGAGGTAGGTGCAGCGGTTCTTCTGGGCCCTGCCAGGCTTCTTGCATGTGCTGACGCGGCGATTGTGTTGTGCGATGGCAGGCGATGCCCGAGCAAATGTAAGTATCGACGGGTGTTGTCCGTCCACGGCGAGTGCTGACGGTCCGCAGAAGAGAGTCGTCGGTGTCTCTATCCGAGAGCGTGCAAACCTTTCCCGAGGAGTTTGGGCGCACCTACCACGCTTATCGCGCGGGCTGTAAGAAGCTCCTTCCGTTCCCATGCCACGTGCAAGGCCAGCCTGACGTGCCCTTTTGCAGCCTACGCATTCCCCAACGACCTCCCAGAGCAAGAGCGATTGGCACTACAGGGCGAGGCGCTGAAGAAGCTCTTTGACGACAGGCTCTTCTTTGCCCCCCTCTCTCAGTCAACGCCCCCGCGGACCATTCTCGACGTGGCCACGGGCGTCGGCGACTGGGCCATTCAGATGGGCGACCTGTTCCCAGACTCGGAAGTCATCGCCACCGATCTGTCGCCCATCCAGCCCAAGCAGGTGCCCCCAAACGTCAACTTTTACGTCGAGGACTCGTGAGTGCCGCAAATCCTCACTTTGAGCCTGCCTAACATTTTGTCTCGCAGCTCGGACCCGTGGGAATACTCGCAACGGTTTGACTTCATCCACACGCGGGCCACGGCCGGTTGCTGGGCCTCGTTCGAAAAGCAAGTCGCCGAGCAAGCCTTTGCCACCCTGGAGCCTGGTGGCTGGTTTGAGTCACAGGAAATGGACAGCGTTGTGGCATGCGACGACGGGACTCTGGACCCCGATGGGCCTATGGTCCGGTGGTTTCAAGAGCTGACCATGGCGGGACAAAGGTGCGATCGTTCTTTTGTGCTCGGCGCCACGCTCAAGGAGGTGTACGAGCGCGTTGGCTTCGTTGATGTGCAGCAGCGCATTTTCAAGATCCCAATCAATGGATGGGCCAAGGAGGAGCGGTTCAAGGAGCTGGGGCGCATGTGGGAGAAGAATATTGGCACGGGCCTGAGCGGCTTCTCTTTCAGACTGTTCAACCGAGCCTATGGCCGGAGCCCCGCTGAGATTGAGGTGAGCTTTGATGCCGAGCATGCTGCTTCTTGACGACGACTGAATGTGGCGGCGCAAGCCACTACATGGTCAGCTCCAACAACGCTTCGTCCCAACTGACAAGGTCTGCAGGTGTCGCTTGTCGATGTACGACGAGAGCTTTCCAATCCGCGAATACACGCCTATATGCCGATGTACGTCGTTTGGGGGAGGAAGCCATTTGCAGGAGAAGGCCCAATCCCCGCACCGAGCTTTTGATACCCGAGACGAGGCAACCGTCCTCGACCAACCACACGGATACTGGACAGGGAAGAGGCGGGAAGAAGAAATAGCCGGTTTGGAGTGGGCACAGGATAAGCAACGCAAGGACACGTATGATGAAACGTCGAAGCTGGCCATGTTGGAAAGAGACGCCATGCGGAAAAGATAAAGTCTTGGGGGTGAACAAGACATGAAGGCGTTTAAGGGTTGCTCAAAGCTGAAGTCAGGGCCTTCAAGGGTTCTCTGCGATCCGGAAACCAAGTCCCCGAAAGCAAACGAGGTGCTAAAGGAAACCTTGCGAGGGGACAGGGCAAAGCGAACACACCCGTTTTCAGCCTCAACCAGTCTCTCACGAGTGGTCCACGTCTGATTGATGGCTTGAGGCCCTTTCTCGTCCCTCCAAGGCGGGACTCAGATAGGTATGATACATGGCAGGTTTGGCTCGAGTGGCATCTGCTAAGAGCAAAGTTAAGAATACAAAGTTGTCATAAATCCCCAGTCGCTCAGCCCTCACGGGCTTCATGTCGTTGCACGTTGCTTGGCTGCCTGGCCGCGTCAATGTTTCACGAGCCACCCTAGCTCCTGAAGCAAATTCTCCGAGAGTATCTCGGCACATCGTTGGCGCGAGAGAAACTCATGGTCCGCATACTCAAAGCCCGGGACCACCGTCTCCGATATGAGCAGCCCCTCGTTGTGGGAGCTGTCCGCATCCGACGGCCCCAGCAGGTAACTCGCCTTCCAGACGCCCCCTTCGACGGCCCACTGCAGCTTTTCCCCACGCTCCACGTCGGAGCCGACAATGAAGGACTCGACGCGGCCGTCTGGATAGATGAGGATGTAACATCCACGACCACGGTGCCAGGTGTGGACGATGCGGCTGCGGTTGCGGTGAAAGGAGCCGGTGGGGCGTGCCGGGGTGAGGTAGTAGAATATCGAAGACGAAAGAGAGCGAAAGGCCGGGTCGAAGCCGGGGCGAAGGCCGCCGACTAGGGCAAGCGTTTGCTCTGAGAGAGGGCTTGGCGGGTACGGGCTGGGGATGAGGGTGGGAGACGAGTCGGTTAGGACATAGTAGCCGCCTTCGATGTGCGGGACAAGGGAGAGTGCCTTGATGGTGGCCTGTACCTCGGGCGGCTCGGGGGCCGCGGCGGCTGGGAAAGGCGGGACGATGATGCTCTGGGCGCTTGTGTCTGAAGTCGACGGAGAAGTCGGGGCGGAAGAGTAATGCTCGCAGTCATGGTCTGCCATGATGAAGGATGGACTTGGTCCGAACGCCTTTTGTTTTCCTCCGGGGGCGGTTAGCTGACGGCTTGCTACCCAATTGCACGAAAGGCGTTGAGATGGGCAGGAATTGAGTGCGGGTGACAAACAGACGAGGAGTTGAACGAGGTGACGTGGGTTGGCAGTTGGCGCGGTGCAAGCATGGGGTTGTTGCGGAGAAGTCGAGCGTTGACAGCTGCCAGATGGCATCACTCAGCTTAGGGGAAACGAAGGTTTCGAGTCAGCTGTTGCGAGGATGAGGGTGAGACGTCAGGTGGGAAAACAGGAGAAAGTGGAAGTGGTTATTTCTATCCAGCACATTGCGCCCACCAAGCTCAACCTGACAGCCAGTCCCCTATCGTGTTTTCGACCACAGCCGTCACGCGGTCTGCAAATACGAATACGACACGGGGCGGGAGGAACTTTGCGGAAACAATGACTGATGGAAAAGGTCACGAGAGGACGGGGAGCAGCACCGGTGCCATGGCTGTGGAAGGGGGTGGAATGGGCGGAATGGTTTACAAACGGCGTGCTTCCTTGATCCGTTCATCTTGCGCGAGAGAGGGGCTGGAGATGCAAGGCCACCGATGGCACGGCAGGATTCGAGGCGCTTGCTGGGCAAAGAAAGGCGCCAACGCCAGAGCAGGGGCACGACTCGGCCGACTGCAAGGCAGGCTTGTCGTACGCGGCCGGCGACGTGCTTGGAGATGGAGGGGCGGAGGCATGGGATGGGGTTGTGGCAGCGGCCGGTTGGTCGGGCAAGCTCGGCTGGCACAGGTACGCATGGGTGGCATGGCCTTGGGGGTGCTCGGCCGCTCGACGGCCGGTGAGCGGTTGGTTGTCTCGAGCTGATGAAGCCATCTACGTCTCCATCACGCCATATCGCAACAGAGAGCGCAGGCAGGGCGGGCACGAAGAGCTGGTGCAAGGCCCAGGGCATGGATGGGGGCGCCACGTGCAAACGCCCTAGAAACGGGCGGTAAGCCGCCGTGCAGGGTTATGCCTATCCTGGCTGGAGGTTTGGGGGCAGCAAACGCGGGGCGCCACGCGATCCGTCGGCTCCGGTCTTCGGTTCCGCTACGTACAGTCGACGTCGTCGGCTGCACGCGACTTCGAGACGCGAGGCATTTGTCTCCCCTCCTCGGCACCTCTCCAAGCCTTGGCCTCGTCACACCCATTCTCCCCGCCGCCCATCGCCACCAGTCGGACGAGCCAATGCTGGCATCGCGTCTCGTCCGGCCGAGGTGCGGCTTCGCCCTCGAGGCCCGGCTCTCCCCCTCATCCACCTCGTCGTCCGCTCGCCTCGCCTACGCCGTGGTCCCCCCGCTCCAACATGCCCTCATCACGGCCGCCCGCCCTCGCCACCTCTCACACACGCGACCACGCCTCGCCCCGCCGCCGGACGACCCGTACCACCGCCTCCGCCACGCCCGCCCGCTGGTCCCGGATGCCGTCGCGGGGCGGTTCGCGCGGGCCGGACGCTCGCGCAACTCGCGCGCCCTCGTCGTCGTCTGCGTCGCCGCCGCCGTCGCCTTCTACCTCTACAACTCGCAGACGGTCCCCGTGACGGGCCGGCGGCGCTTCAACTTCCTCTCCGACCGGCTCGTGGCGCGCATGTACGCCAGGTCTGCCGACGCCGTTGCGCGAGAGGTTCTGAACCAGGGCGGCCACTTCCTGTCCGACTGGGACCCGCGCACCATGGCCGTCAGGAGGGTCATGAGGAGGCTGATTCCCGTGAGTGGCATGGCGGATCTGGATTGGGAGATTCACGTCATCGCCGACAACCGTGCGTCACCACGTTCTCGTTTATAGCGCTTGACCTCGGGTTCGCTTGGAACAACTGCTGACAGGGTTCGCCCTTCGCCAGGGACCGCCAACGCCTTCGTCATGCCGGGGGGCAAGGTGTTTGTGCACAGCGGCATCCTCAGCCTGTGCCGTAACGACGACGCACTGGCCGCGGTGCTGGGCCACGAAATCGCCCACAGCACCGCCTCGCACGCGGCCGAGCGGCTGTCGGCGGCCTGGGTGGGCAACCTGACGGCCGGCAGCCTCTTCTTCCTGGCCGGGGCGCTGCCGGGGCTGGCGCTGTTTGGCCTGTGGAGCGTCGTCGGCGGCTTCTACCTGCAGGACCTGCTCTTCCACCTGCCCATGGGCCGCAGGCAGGAGAGCGAGGCCGACTACATTGGGCTGATGATGATGGCCGAGGCGTGCTACGACCCGCGCGCCGCCGTCGGCTTCTGGCGCCGCATGGAGACGCTGCAGCACGCGGGAGGGGTCGAGCAGCCCGAGATGCTGAGCACGCATCCATCGGTAGGTCCCACCTAACCTGGCCTTGGGCCCGTCTCTGCTAGTTTCCTGACTGTTTCTCCGTCGGCCAGAACGAGCACCGGATTGCCGACATTCAGCAATGGATGGGCGAGGCGATGCAGAAGCGCATGGAAAGCGACTGTCGAGGCACGGCGTCGTTTGCGGACAGGTTCAGAGTCGCGCTGCGCAGAGGCCAGCCGGTGGAGGCTGTCGCCGCCTAACCTGCAGCGGGCTTGTACAAGAGGTTAATCTATGCACGCCATGTGTACGGTAGACGGCGTTGGGACAGATAATCGGCGCAATGAGTTAGAGCAGTAGATTAATTACATTTGATGCTCTTGCGGTTGGTTTGCGATGACAGATTGAATACCCGTCGCGGCCCTCGTCTCTCTGCTCGTCCTCCACTTCGCTGCAAGCTGGTCTTGCCTGAGTTTTTGTTTCTTCCGCGCGTCTCCATCATTCACTAATACGACGGCTCGTCCACCCGGTTCTGCGCACCGCAACAGCAATCAAACGAGTCTTGCTGGTTCGGGACATCCAACCAAGTGGCTGGCCACGCATCGCCTTCGCGACAACGAGTGCAGCAGTTAGCGTTACTAATTTCAATAATTCCACCATTTGGCACGGCAAAGGCTTTGAATAGACGCAACGCCTCCCCTGCGCCAGTGAAACCTTCAGCCGGCTCTCCCACGACCGCGGCAGTCAGGCGGGGCGAGCTTTCCTCACGGTGTTCGCGGCTAGAGGTGACAAACGAGTCGTCGGTAACCCCGGGTGGGCGGTGTTTTATACCTTTAAACCCGTTAGCAATCGGCGCCCTCCGATTAGTAGGCGTAACGGCTAGTCGGGCCATCTGCACAAATGCTAAGCCGCGCTGAGTGAGCCGAGGTAAAACCAGGTGCTGGGTGCTGGTACCTTGGCCGGCGCAACGCTCAGGCACCGGACCGGCATGCTCTCGTGATCCCTTTATTTACTTTAAATACATACGTGCAACTTCTCGTCGCCTCTTCCCCGTCTACCACCTGGACTCTATTTATCAACCTCTCGACATTCATACCCGCGCATTGCCAGCCACAGCACCCCGACCGTCGCCATGTCGCAAAAATTCACCCCCGCCGACGTCGGCCAGCACAAGGACGACGCCAACGGCTACTGGCTCATCATCGAGAACGACGTCTACGACCTGACGAGTAAGTTCCTCCCGCCGCCGCCTTTCTCCGCAGCATACACACACACACACACACACACACACCCGTGAGGGATCGGGATGGGCTGACAAGGTCCAGAGTTCATGGACGAGCACCCCGGCGGCTCCAAGGTGCTCAAGCGCTTCGCCGGCAAGAACGCAACAAAGGCCTTTTGGAAGTACCACAACGAGAGCGTCCTGAAGCGCTACGGCGCAAAGTACAAGATTGGCGAGGTCGGCGAGGCGGCCAAGCTGTGAGAGGGCGCGCGCCTGCCGGGGCTTGGGCGCTGGCGCTGAGGCTCTCGTGGCGTGGCCGAGGATCGGGCTGGCTCTCCGGGGGGGAGGACTGATGACGCGGCTCTGCAGAGGGAAGAGGGCGCGTCTTTGGGTCGCATGGTAGCGGAAGTGGTTTTTTCTTTGATGGGCTAACTGCTTGTATGAATACTCGAAGCTTGGTGATTTGCTCGTGATGCTGCACCCCACCATGGGCACATGCCACATGGCCTCTGCATTATAAATATATATATACAGCGTATGCAGGTACAATGCCGCTATATCAACGTCGGCACAAGCCGTCATCCCCTAGAACCCTTTCAACTCTGCGCGGTGAAGCATTCAACTCTTCCGCCTATTGCAGGATTAGTGCATGTGTTGCAGTCGGCGCTTCCATATGTCGGCGGCGGGCACACCGATGGCTGGAGCACCCTGCCTCCAAGTACAAAGTAATCTCCAAAGATCAGCCGTGGGTGCCTTGTCGAGTTCGCGATACACATTTTGCACACAAACGAGGGCGACAGACAGGAGCCAGGAAACAGGATCCAGACTCTATAAGTTTCAAGTGTGTTTGCCAGGTCTTGTCTGGGCGGACTTGTCAGCAATCTCCCTATACCTCAATCTACCTGGTAATATACCTGGTAATGGATCCTCACCTGTCTAATTGCTAGCGATTTGTTATATACGCTGGCGTCTCTTTGATACCACTATCCGCTTGACTGCCCCTAGCCGATTGCCTCTCACTGTCTAAGCCTTGGAGAGTATTTCCGGAGACTTGTTTGAGAGGCTTCTAGAGCTCTTGGTGAAGACGTCGTTGGGACTTGCGTTACCTTTCGGCGCGGTCTGAATTCCTGGCAGTCAACATGGGGGTAACAAAGGGGCAATTTGACGAAGCTGCTAGGGAGTGGGTGTCGTCGTGACCTTCCTGTTTCCTCGCTGGAGATGATGTGTCTGTGTGAGACAACCAGGAAGGGTACCAGCTAACATACATAATAGACCAGTCACCCGTCAAGGCAAAAGGATCCGCCAATATTGACATTGCCCCTCACACCTGCTTATAAGAGCCCGCGCCTCTGCCGGCCGGCGCCTCTTACACTATGGTATCCTGTCCTGCGCTCTATGGACATGTCCTGTCGTCCGGTGAGATGTCGCCACAAGGAAGCGTCCGGGTTTGCCTTGAGGCGTCGTTGCGAGCCGTCAAGATGGGTTCTTCCTCGCTCATCTAAGAGGCTAGGGATAAGCGAACATGGCAGTAAGAGCCCACTATCAAACCATCAAACCAGCCTCGACATCAGGGGAAAAGTTGAGAATATTGTCGTCTCATGGCTTCTTCCGCGGAGTGCGTAAGCGCCACCTGATGCGCTTGGCAGAGGGCTGAAGTTCCAATGCCAATTCGTCGGTTGATGTATCCGACTCATAAGAGCATGGTGTATTCGGATCTGGATCCAAAATCGACTTTTGGCTTGTGGCAATTGTGTCGGCGGCTGACACCTCGCTTGCAAAGCTCCGCGCCAAGCTAACACGAACCGGCGGCGATATAGCAGCTTCATCTCGTACCAATCTCTCGTTGGCTCGCTCAATTGCATCGTCTCTTTGTTGCTTTGCCCAATCCCGGCCATTCAGGTACGCAGCAGCTCCCTGCCGGAAGGTATCGGCATTATTAGTTAAACACCACGTGTTGATTTTCGTCATGATAAAGCCAGGTTGCCTACTTGGAGTAGACGGTGGTATAGGATGAGTCGTGTACATCTTGAGCATGCCTCCATAATAGATTGATGTGATGGTATAGGCCTTGTTGTCGAATCGTTGTTCTGACTGCCCGTACGATTGGAGGGCATGTATCCCTCTGGCGCCGAGTGCGCCGTCGTAGCATGCTTGTCGCGTTGCGACTGAGAGAATCCCTCTGGGCCCCTTTACTTCTAGATAGAAGTTGGGCGCAATGGGAAGATCATGCGGAGTGGAAGGGATGATCTTTCCGTTTAACTCTCTACGGATTGTCCGGTGGAGTTGCTCGGGCCGTGCGCCGTAGTATCGGTCGGGACAGCCTCTTACGAGTGTACCGTCTGTCAAATGGACGAGATTCGCAAATGGAACTCCGCCAGTGACACATCTCCGATCCCCCACGTCTCCATCCATTATTGGAATGACAGCTGTAGTGACGTCTCGCTCTTTAGCCGCCTGTGCATCGGCACGTTCGAACTTGAGAAATTCTTCCTCTGTGAACTTGGAGGGAGACAGAGAAGCTCTAGGTTGTGCGAGCGCTTGACGGATCTCGTCTATATTCTCGGGTTTAGGAGGCAATCTGCCCTCGGGATATTCGTAGCCAACGGGCAAAATATCGTGATCGATTAGGTGTTGTTGGAAGGCACGATCGTATGGACTCATGCTCCTCATGCCCACTGGGTTCGGGGGACCGCTCTCACCCGGGGACTGTAAAGTTCTATTTGACTGGCTGGAGCTCATTCTGCCGTAGGGCTCCACCGGCGTTTGGAACTGGTAGCTGTTAGCAAAGAACAAGAGGCAAAATGTCCATACGTATATACCCCTCGTAAGCCTCTGAGGTCCGGGCCACCCCGACTTGCAAAACAGTTGATCCGATCCAGGCAATTCGGGAAACACTGACAGGGGAACAAATGGGAAAGAAGGCCGATTGTGTTCTGCTCGGACGCACGCCGTCGCGTATGTCTTCCAAGGTTTCGGTGTTGTCCCAAGTTGCGGGAGACGCTGTTGTTCCTCCTGTCCAACTCGCGAAGTGTGTTTCGCGTGAGGGCTATCTCTGAAAGATTGTCCCAGAACCTTGGAGGCGGGAATGTTGGATGGCTGGTTTTCTGCTTCTTCGACGAACGAGGGTACGGATCGTCTACAACCAGCTGACTTGAATTCGAGGGGCTTTGCCGTTTTCGCGGGCCAAGAACGGTCGTTTGACCGACTGGTCGCGGCGGAACCATCCTTGGGCGCTTGAAACGGTCGGTTTGTAGGTGTTGTGGTGAGTTTTACTAGGTAGCTGTAAGGAAACGACTGCGTTGTTCGGGCAAAAGTGAAGTAACACTCCAACAAATGACCTAGAAGTGGACCCCATATACCATGGAGGTGCTGGTGGCAACTGACAGTAGTAGAGTAAACGAGGAAGCATACCAAGTGATGGATTACGGTCTATGTGCACTCCCCTCTTCTCGTCCCAAGAGGCTGTCCTTTTGTACCCCTCCTTTGCGTTGTTGGCCCCTTCGTGCTGCAATGTAATGCCCCATTAACTTCCCCTTTAACAAAAGCGCACCGCGCGACAATCCGTCAACCCCGAAAGGGCCAATCAGGCCATCAAACAAAGACCTTTATAGGGCTATCACAAGAAACCTCGCAGGGCACTCTACCAAGAGCTAGACAGGCAACGTAGCAGAGTGACTAGAGCAGAAGGGGCTATTGTAGGCGACCGGGGGAGGCGTAGGTGGCAGCGAGAGGAAGAGAGGCCATGGGCCGACCAACAGAGGCACGGGTCGTAAAGGCGGGCTCGAGAGAGACTACTATTGAGCAGCATTAGGGCCAAAGAAGTAGTAAAGAGAGGCTAGGCGGCATCATCGTAGAAGACTTGCCACTCCTAGCGTGGTCGCCAGAATGAACGAGAAGCAGACCAAGTAATGGATTATGGTTTTCTCGCTCCAAAACACCGTCCTTTTGCACTCCTTCCTACAATGCTCTATCACAGGACACTCTACACTACTACTGTACTGTAGGTACAGTATAAGGTTACACTCCGCACTTTCAAACGCTGACTGGCACGTCACGCCCAGCCAAGTCCCCCCCCCCAGCTGATCGTGAACGGCTTCATGAACGGCTTCAAGACTTCTCATCATGCCCACCACAGGCTTCGCCAACTGTCGTGCCGACTTGGCGCTTCTTAACAGATGACAAACGCATTAATAACCCTCAAGCGGGGAGCAGATGTAATACCACTCGAAACGACATTTTGGCGCTGGCGGTTGTTCTCAGGATAGCTTATTATTGAGGTAGGGTAGACAAGGACCCATCGGCGGCAATAAGACGTTGATTGTGGAGGAATACTGGCCGCTGCCCGGCCTCCCGTAGTCCAATTAGGCGCCTCGGACCGCGTGGCTCTCACCATCCTTCTTAGATCATCCTCTGCACGTCACGAGTTGAACAAAGGCGGGCTTAAGTCTCCACAAAGCCCAACTTTGGGAGCGTGAAAACGAAGCGCCGACTGCAGCACACGTATTACAGCGCTGGCGGGGTCGGCGGTGACAACACCAAACAATGGACATGGATTCCGCCCGTCGCATGCACGACCTTGGATCTCACGCAGCACATCACCACGCCGCTGCCCCGTTGAGTCACCAGTCCGCGACGGTGCTCGCGACGAGCGCATCATGACCGACGTCTTGGACGCCGAGAAGGTCGAGAACCGGCTGAGGCATGGCCGCGACGCCCAGCCCACCGACGCCCCGACGCTGCCACCCCCGAGCGCCATCCGCGCCGCCGAATCGTCCCTCGCAGCTCGCGCACGCTCCCACGGACGCCTCGGCGGCACCGCTGACGCAGACGTCGTCGGCCACATCGTCGACGACATCGTCCCCGCCCTCACCGGCCAAGCCGCGTCCAGCCGCTACTACGGCTTCGTCACCGGCGGCGTCCTGCCCATTGCCGAATGGGCCGACAACGTCGTCTCGCGCCTGGACCAGAATGTCCAGGTCCACCTGCCCGCGCAGTGCGTCGCCACGGCCGTCGAGCATGCCGCGCTCAACATGCTGGCCGGCCTGCTGCGTCTCGACGGGGCCGGCGACGACGACCAAGGGGAGGTGTGGCAGGGGAAGACGTTGACCACAGGCGCCACGGCGAGCAACATCCTAGGGCTCGCGTGCGGCAGGGAGGCGATCCTGCGCAAGAGGCTCGGCGGCGGCTCCGACAACTGCGTCGGTGAGTTGGGCTTGTTGGCGGCCTGTCTCCGCGCTGGCGTATCCGAGATCCAGGTCCTCACGAGCGCGGGCCACAGCTCCGTCTCCAAGGCGGCCAGCGTCGTGGGCATAGGACGCCGGCACGTCAAGGAGCTGGCCCGAAGCTCGGCGCAGCCGTGGAGGCTGGACCTCGACGCCGTGGAACGCGAGTTGCAGAGACCCGGCGTTGTGAGCATCGTGGCTGTCGGCGTCGGCGATGTCAACACGGGAGGCTTTGCTCTGGATGGCGTCGACGAGTGGCGGAGGCTCAGGGCGCTCGCAGACGAGTACGGGGCATGGGTCCATGTGGATGGAGGTGAGTTTTGATGGACAAACCTGGGAATGTAATTCGTAAGCCCCTTGTAAATGGGCTTCGAGTTGTGCATTGCTCATTGCTGACGAGAGCAGCGTTTGGCATCTTTGCCCGCGTTCTGGGTTCAAACGAGGAACATGCGTCCCTGAAAAGGCAAGCCCAAGGCATCGAGCTTGCAGACAGCATCACGGTGGACGGACACAAGATACTCAACGTGGTGGGTAGTTGCCGCATTTTTGACCAAGAGAGCAGTGACTGATTGCACGACTACAGCCATACGACTGCGGAATGTTCTTCACTCATTCTGCCTCGACGCTTCAGTCCGTGTTTCTCAACCCCAATGCCGCCTACCTCTCATCCGGCTCGGCAGCAGGCATCCCCTCTCCGCTTAACATTGGCCTGGAAAACTCGCGTCGTTTCCGCGCCCTCCCCGTATATGCCGCCCTTCTCAGCGAGGGCTCTGCAGGCTTCGAGCGCCTCGTCTCCAACATGGTCCAGCTTGCCCGTCGCTTGGCCGCTTTCCTGCGTGACTCGCCAGACTATGAGCTGCTGCCGGATGAGAGCGCTGGTCTCGATCGCACATTCATCATCGTGCTGTTCAGGGCCAAGGATCGGGCGTTGAACGAGGTGCTGACGGACAAGATCAACCAGACGAGGCAGATGTACGTGAGCGGTACGGTCTGGAGGGGCAGCAAGGCAGTTCGGATCGCCGTGTCGAATTGGAGGGTGGACGTAAGCCGGGATTTTGATGTGGTGACTGCCATTCTAAAGGCTGTGGCTGCGGGAGAGGAGTTTGATCTGGGTAGAGTTGGAGCGTAGCGGCGGAAGCGGACGCCCACGAGGACGTGGTGCTCGATGGCCGGTCATGTCGCAAGAGCTGTGTTTCGAAAGGCACCACAGCCACCACAGTATCCTAAAACCATCCTTGGTAGACTCGGCGTCCCATCTAGAGAAGCCCGAGTCCCGCCGAGCCCTCAGCCAAACTTCTTGGACCCGCCCTTGACGCTCGCTTTCTTGTCCGCCTTCTTGCCCTTGCCAATCAGCTCGAGGTGTCCGGCCCGCTCGCCCAGCAGCGCCTCCGTCTTGGCCGTCAGCCCGGACGTGAACTTCTTGTGCACCTTGTCGATGCTTCCCTTGGTCTTTTTCGGCTTGGCCACCTTGGACGCCTGCTTCTTGGAGTGTGTCGGCTTGGCCGCCTTGGTCCGCGAGGACAGCTTGACTGCGCCTTGAACCATGGCGGAGGTGTTGGGCGGCGGCGAATTGGGGATTCTCTGGGGATGATTTTGTTTCTTCGCCTCGAATGTCTGGGGTTTGGGTGAAAAAGTAATGGTGGGACAGAAGTTGAAGGAGGCAGCGAATTTTTCGGGGAGTGAAAAGTAGCAGTACACGGAGCTAGCTGTATGATTCCCGAACTTTCGCCGACTTTAACCGAAGAGCCGCAACCTTTACTCCCAGCGTCGGTTCAGTCCGCCAACAACGCTCTCCACAAAATGGCATCGAGACACAGAGCTGTTAGTAACCGACTCCAATTATACGCAGGCGCTAAAACCTGCGACTCACCGACGTCTTTATGTACTGATGTCACGGACCAAGCGTGTGCTGTCAGGCGAGAACACAACACCAAGGCTCCTGACCAAGCGAAATGATGTCCACGAATATAGCGCCCTCCGTGACACCGACGCTGCCATGGGTCCGCGACCGACGCGAGCTACCTGCCCCTCTCCCGACCAGAGCTCAGATAGAATCTGCGACGACGGAGTTCCCAAGCATTTTCGATGCGAGCGCTCGGCGCACCGTCCTGGTCGGGGGGCTGTTTGTTGTGAAATACGGCCCAGCTGTTTTCGAAAACGAGGGACACGCCTTATTGCGGGTCGAAAGTTATCCGGATATTCCAAGCCCGCGCCTCTATGCAATGTACCGGGAGGAGGAAAATCTATACATCATCATGGAATTTGTTCAAGGCCAACGACTGAGCGACGTATGGCCGTGTTTGTCTGAGGATCAAAAGGTGCACATTGCCGGCCAGCTTAGGCGAGCCCAGGAAAGCCTACGGTCTATCCCTTCACCTGGTTATTACGGAGGTGTCTTTGGTGGGCCGCTACCCCACCGATACTTCTTCTCCGCGGATCATAATCCTAGAATCACCGGACCGTTTTATGCAGAGGAGGATCTCTGCCACGCGCTTGTTTTGCGGTCGAGGGAGAATTGGAATACCTGGGGTCGACGAAGCTGGATGACTGACTTTTTTGCTCGCCATCTGTCGAGGGCTTTAAGTGGCCACCGGAGTGTTTTCACGCACTCTGATTTCCAACGTAAGAATATTCTCATTGCAGAGGAGGAGTCCTCATCTGTAACACCCGGATTTATCGAGAAGAAAACTTTCCGAGTAACAGCAATCCTGGATTGGGAATCTGCGGGATGGTATCCTACTTACTGGGGCTTCGCGCTGTGCTTTGCGTATTTCGACTGGTCTGACGACTGGCCCGAAAAGGTCGAGATGATTCTGGATCCGTATGTCAATGAGTCCGCACTTATGAGATTGCTCGGGCAAGACCTGGACGCGTAGCTTCGGTAGACATTTGCACAGGATTTCTGCAACGAATTCAAGTCTACAGATAAAACAAACAACTTCTTACACGCCATGGAAGACTTTGATCCCACACGCTTGGGCTGAACATCGTGATCCGTATAGGACAAATGTGGCCTGATACACTTAGTAATAGTGCGGAAGCGCCACTGCTTCAAGTTTTCGCTCGTTCCGTCACTTGTTGCCAACTAGCAGAGCAAGTTTCATGGCAAAATTGTTGCTATATGATAGGCAATTATAAATACAAAAGCATAGAAAGCTCGTAGCAAAAGACAGCAAAAATAAAATACCCTGGCTGGAAATACTACTTCGTAGCAAGACTTGGTCTAGCAGATATCATGAAAATAACTAGAATTTTCACTGGGGTCCATAAGATCACAACTGATGATTATAATAGCATTCCTCAGTCCCAATATAATTCTGATCTGAAGTTCTCGGGAACGAGCAGTCCCAAGATACAAAAGGGCCCACCACATACGTAAGACTTAATAGGATAAGAAGTTATGTCTTTTGCACAATCAGACCTTTGCTCCTTAAAACTGGTATGGCTTGCTGCTCCGTCCATTCCGTACACTTCATAAGAGGCTGGCGAGGCTCTCCGGCTTTATAAAAAGTCAGGGGTTCCCACAATTTGACCGGTTCTGTTCTCATAGTTTTGGCATTAAATGCCTTTTGTTTTGGTGGGGGTGGTACTGCCTTCAAGATTTTGTCGAATTCTTTGCGATATATCGAAGACTCAACATAGCCGATTAGCTCTTTAGAATTAAGACTCTCGGACCTATTAGGATTGCAATATGGCTTCGATTCGTAATACATTCCGGTGACAATGTCTCCTATGACATGATGTTTTGTGCCCGAGCCCGGTCCTTCTGCGCTCGTTTCGACAAATATAACTGTATGGAACCGTGGGCTTGGCATGTCGGGATCTTGCATAGCCAAATTGAACTTGAGCTTGAATACTCGAAACCACTGAGTATCTGCCATCTCGCACAAAGATTCAATGATTTAGCAGACAAAAGTTAGCAGAGTGAAGAGTAAAAAGAGACAAACGTAGGTAGAAGCCTGATGAGGTGGGCAGCCTCATACATATGCTGGAGCCCCGAGCGGCAAGGACGCAGGGGAGGATATCTAACATCTACATCTCGCAATTAGAAAATCTCAAGAAAAGACGACTGATTACCCCTAGCCCGGTTTCTAACCGCCGACTGCAGTCGCATTGGGGGCTTTAAAAACCGGGTTGTGGGCGCATCTTATGCATGTAAAAGCAAACACACGCTGCTGGCCCGCGGCATTAGTGGACACTAAATTGAGCCAGATCTCCCGCGTCAGCCCTCGCGTCCGCGGGGCACTCACTAGTTCCCACTGCGCCTAGATCTGCCTTCTCCAGTGTGACCATTGCCTCCCGCGATTTCTCTCTGCAAATTCCCGACGACTCCATCGCCCCCGCCGACCAAGTCCAAAGACAGCCAAGGCAGCCTAAGTTCGGAGAACCTTCAAGGTTGCCTCCAAGCTCTGGGTTTCACGCTCCAACGTTTGCCTCTGCTCCTTGGACTCTTCGTCCTCGCCTGCAATCATCTCCAACTGATCCGAGTCAAGACCCATGACAAACTCGGGGCTGAAGACGGCGATCGGGCTTTCAGCACCATCGAGAAGGAAGTGTGAGACGACTTGTTGGCAGAGTACGTCGACGAAGCGCTTGCGTGCAAGCTTGTAGTAGCTGGCCAGCGTGTCGAGAATGTCCTCACAGACCTGATCTGCGTTCTTCTTGCAAATGAGGTGCCTCTTGAGCTCGCTAACCTCAACGTAGTGGCCACTGAAGCCGCTATGCTTCTCGACCTTTTGAAGCAAAGGTTGGTACAGTCGTTCAGCACGTTTGCTCTGCAAAGGGTTGCCAAAGTAATGATTGAACGTGCTGGGTCTTCCGCCCCGCTCAATGGATAGAAGAAACCGCGTGTGGTCCATGGCTTTTTTGTACCTTTCCCGCAGTTTCTCGACGAGGACATTTGCCCAAAGCTGGTCCTTGACTTGCTCGTCAGGGCAAAGATAGGCAATGAGCTGGAATATAAAGTCATGGACAATTACAATGGCATTGCTGGCGTGCGAAGTTGCGAGCAGCTCCCATTTCTCCGATTGCTGTTCAAAGACCGTGGAGAGAACAGTTCCCCCGTACTAAGAACTATTAGTTAAGTCGTTCGAGGCGAACCGCATGTATGCATAGGAGGAAAGGAAGCAGAAGAGGAAGAAGGCCAAAAACTGCAAATAGAAAACAAATCGACAGTTGTAGCGTCGGGGAAACTTAGCCATGATGGGATAGACTTACTGTTCCAAGCTCGGGACCCCGGCTAGACTGATATGCATTCCGAATGCATTCCATGATGGGAGTTTTCCAAGGCTCGGGGCAGCCGTATGGCTCAGCTGAGATGATGTCGCTAAGTTCGTGACAATCCCAAAGTCGTAAGTGTTTATCCTCGTCATTAGAATCGCTCGAGTCACCTCGAAACAAAGCTTCACCTTCGTTTTTCTCCACCTTGCCAAAGTGCTGTCGATGGCCACGGCTCCAGAAAACATCAGAGAAATCCTCGTTTAGCTTGGTGACTCTCGTGATGAGCTTCAGCTCTGGGTGCGTCTTGAAGATTCGTTCCCCGGCATAGTAACCGTTGAGCGCCGCTTGGCTCACTGCTTGAAATCGACCTGCCAGCTTTCCCAGGTACTGGCGCTGCGAGTTTTGGTCCGCCCGAGCAGGCCCCTTGGTCTCGAGGTCTGCCTTGCACTTCCGTAGGCGCTCTTTAATCTCGCCCTTGACGTGCGGAAGTTCGTCCTTGGAGACTTTCATCAGAAGGCGGCGAAGACGCTCCTTTAGGGCCGCAATGCCGCAACGATCACCGACGTTGGTCCATGGCGGAGCCATAAAAAATGCCCTTTCGACCTTAACGCGCTGGGCGAGGGTGGACGTCTTGTCATCTGCGCTGCGGTTTTTGACGACGTAGTAGCCGAGCTTTAGCTTGCTGCGCTTGCCAAGCACCAGGTCCATGACTGCGTCGCGGGTGGCTGCCTCGGTGGCGAGGTCGGGCTTGGTCAGCACGCCCATCGTTCTGGCGCCGTCTGGGTCGGCGGCTTCGGCAAGCTTTAGGATCTCCTGGGTTGCGATGTCGACATTGCAGGGCATAACCGCCAGGATGCTAGAGGAGCGTTAGCTGCTGGGGCTACTCACAAGGGAGGCCATTATCGCTCACATAGTTCTGTTATTGCTCATGTAGGACTTGACCATGCTCTCGACGAGCGTAATGTCCGTCGATGTCGTGAGCCCTAGAAACTGCGTTAGCTAAAGCCCACCAGCTTTGTGAGCGGAAAACTTAACAGGCGTAGGAACTCGAAAGATGCCAGGAACATCAATGACAGTAAGATGACTTTTCTGAAGAATTGCCGTCAGCGTGGCAGACTAGGAGAGAGCAGCATCGGGTTCTTACATCTGGCCCATGAATCTCGATCTTGAGAATGTCCTGGCTAAATGCGCCACTTCTAGGGTCCTCGGAGTCGGTGGTCATTCGAATCCCCATGGCAGTACTGGCCTAGAGCGCGTGAGCAAAGAGTAACAAGCCAGAGGATTGAAACACCAACCTCTTGAAATATTTTGGCCAGGTCATCGTTGCTCAGGTCGTTGATCTGCCGGTTGAAGCCAAGCAGCTTCGCCTTGAGCTTGTCATCGGCATCCGGGCGCGGAATTATAGAGACGGTGACGACCTTGACAGTGTCGCGGCAGCAGGATATCTGCGCCGCAAACCTTGTGCAGAGCCCGACGTCTCTAGGAAAGGAGAGGCCCGTCAAGCTTTCCAGCACAGAGCTTTTGCCAGACGACTGGTCCCCGACGACGACGAGCTTTCAAAGAGTCAGACCCTGATTGTACTGGACCTTGGGGGTTGTACGTACCTGGGGAAGTGGAACTAGGGAGCCGACGTTGAGCTCACGGAGCTTGTCAATCTTAGCCAGCATGGCCGCGTTGCCGAGCTCAGAGCCGAGGGCAGCCATGCTGAGCGAAGCGTTGCCCTCGCGGATTGGTGATCTCGAAGGAAATTGCGCCGCGTCAGAAATGAATGGAGAGACGGAGACGAGAGAAAACGAGTTGGTGTGAAAGGAAAAGGGTGAAACGAAGCAGTGCCCCTTGTCGTCTTCAAAAAATAAAGTCAGGGTTTTGTGGCCCTGAGAACTTAGGCATCAGCTGGTTGCCGAGCCGACGAAAGGAACATAAGGGCAAATAAACGAGCACCGTTGACAGGCTGTGCGGCTTCTTGAACACATCCAGTTAGTTACCCGAGTGCCCGTCCCGGGTCAGGTTCGAATGCGAAAACGGACGTTCTGAGCCGTCTCATGTTGTTTGCAAGAGACAATGCCACTGAAGCGTAACATTCAACCATGGCAGGCGAGGTCGGCAATGCAACTTGAATTTGATTCCCATGGTGTCAATTTCCGGCGAAAGCCCGTCATGATCCGTAGGTGTAAACAGTTGCCATGCGAATCTCGAATCTAGCCAGTTCCTTCAGCTGCAGCACGCAGGCCGTTTATTAGGTCGTCCGGGACAAAACGTGTCCAACAAAGTCTATCAATCAAGTGTGGCTCCAGCCTCGCAAAATGTGGTATTCCAGTTTGAACCCCAGCGCCATCGTCTCGCCTGTTGATGCTAAATGCAATTAGTCTGGTACGCAGTCTTTAAGCGCCAGCACACGGAGCATATATCCCGCCTGCCACGACTACCATCCATCCCCCCAGCCGTCGTCATCATTTTCCGTCTCCTTGGGCTTCATATCTATCTTCTTGGCAACAGCCGGTTTCGCCGCAGGTCTTGTGGTCGGTTTCTTGGCGGCGGTGGATTTGTTGAGTCCTTTTGGTAGGGGTTTGTTTCCGCCGAGCTTCTTCTTCTGTGCCTGTGCAGCCAGCCAGCCCGCAAAGTCAGGCTCGCCATCATCGAATGGTGCAGGACTGGCAGCAGCTACAGGAGCCTTGTTGGCGGCGGCGGTAAAGGTGGAAGATGCTTCGACAACTTGATCGTCGTCCCCCATATCGTCCATATCTCCCCATGTATTCGCTCCATCGTCGGCGTCCATTTCTGGAAGGAATGCCTCGGCCACTGCACTGGCGGTGGGAGACGAGGTCCCAGATTCACCCAGCGGGGGCGGCGACTTCACAGCCTGACGATGGAGCGAAGAGGCAGTTGCCGTGGCCAGCTTCTTGGCCTCTGGACCTGGGGAGGGTGTTAATCGAACGACGGCGTTGCTTGAGCCATTGGCTATTTGCATTTCACCGGCCGCAGTAGAGATTTTGTTTGTGAAAGAAGATATTGCCCATCCGGTCCAGCTAGATGATCCGCTCGACTGGGGGGTGCTCATGTGTGCAGGCTGGCCTTCTGCCGCCTGTGATGGCGGCAAAGCGCTGTCAGGAAGAGACGCGGCAGCCTTGCGAACCTTTTGAAGATAAACGTCCATGGTCCGGTTGGCTTGATCTCGAGCGAGTTTCTCCTTGTCAATGAGCAGCGGACAGACCATCGGCAAGATCCTGCAGGCAGAATCGTCCTCTGAAAAGTACTCAGAAGTGGCTGCCAGAGCCATGAGAGCTGCAATCCTCGCATGAACAAACGGATCCCGGAGAGAGCGCGTAAATGCGGCGATTAGCACCTTGGATCTTGATGAAGAACCGAGATGCCGGGCCAGTTTGCCAAGACAGATTGTCGTATTTGTGCGGATGCCTGGCTGCTCATCGTTTGCCGTCTTGGCCAGCTGTCTGAGGAGCTCCCCGTTGATAGTTCGGTCGGAGAGCTTGGAAACAAGGACGAGGACCGATTTTAGAGTTTGCTCTCGTACGACAGGCTGCACATCCGTAAAGCCCGTCACCTGTTCCTTGGATCAGCAGGGAGCCTATGCGCGGGAACGGGCAGCTCACGATTTGAGGAAACATCTTGTCGTTAACCGTCTTTGGCGGCAGTAGATCAATCATTATGGGCAGATTGTCCAGCAGACAAACTCGAATGGCGCGATCTGGATTACCGAAGGCTCTGATGAGGAAAGGAATGACCTTGAGGGAAAAGTCTTCCTTGGACATTTTAGCTGCGATCTTGAGGGCGACGGCCAGAGCATTGGGGCCTCCTCCACCAAACTCGACCGACTTGATGAGCTCGGGCAAGACCTTCAGTTTGAAGAATTCCGCGGGATAGTCATCAGTGAGCTGCCCCAGATCGCTATACACGCTGTCAGTCATTTGTCTCGGGGAACCGACGAGCAACGTACCTCAAAAACGCTTCTCGTTCTTCGTGGTTCTTGACGCCCAAGTTATCGATCCCCTCTGTTAGCTTGATCAGAGGGCTGTCAAAGAATGAACCTTTTCGATTTCCCTGATCGAGGAAGTTTGCGACGCTGATGCGAGACTTTGGGTTTGCGTTGCATAGCCGCTTGTAGCTTGACTGCATCGAAGGGGGCACATTCTTGGTCTGGCCGGCCTGGTCAGAGCCGCGGTAGTCGCCGTTGAAGACCTCGAATATCAATGAACCAAAACTGAAAGAGTCCACAGACGAGAGTGGGTTCTTCTTGATGACTTCCCAGCCTCCTTGCACTAGTTCCGGGGCCGCGTATCGGGCCGAGTCGGGCACCAAACTTCCATAAGTCTATAGCGGTCAGCGTGTGCGGGAGCGTGGAGACGCGGTTAGACAAACGTAGATGACAGATTCGTCGTCTTTGACGCTGCTCAAAACGTCGAAGCCGCCCAACTTCCACTCGCCGCTCTCTGATGTATAGACGGACCCAACCTTGAGACTTCCATGGATCGAAGAGGCGTCGCCGTTGATGAATTTGATTGTTCGCTGCAAGAGCTTGTCAGCGAAGCACCACCGACAGCGCATGCTCAAAGTTGCCCATAGGGAGGGAGAAAGCAAAAAGGAAAGCCCCTACTGCAACATTGTGCAAACCCCACTTAATGGTCTCGGGAGTCAGGCTCTTTCTTCGCACATGCCACCGTAGCGGGACAACGCGCTCGGTCGCAATGTATATATAGTTGTCCGTCTGGCTCGGTCGTCAGCGTCGGATCGCCTTGGATTGTTGAGGGCGCCATACTTCTACAGTATCCAGCACTTTGATGACGCCGGGATGCCGCAGGGTTCGCAGTTTCTTGAGGGCGTTTTTCGCCAAGGCGACGCGGCCCTTGTTGGCGGGGATGTCGAAGGAGAAGATGCTGCAGTCGGAGCCGTCTTCCTAGGTCGGATGTTAGCGGAAGATGCAAGACGAGCAGCTGGGCGCCAGAGAACTTGCTCTCCTGGTGCCATTGAACAGTGTCCAGATGGACTCGTCGATGTCGACCTTGTCGCCGAAGGAGTACGGGAAGGGGGGCCCCTGAGCGATGGCGGAAGCCACCGCGGACTTGAGGAAGTCCATGGCCGTTGGCGGAGGAGCGATAGAAGTCGAGTGCCAAGGGGGAACACACTATGGATCGTACGAGAACCGTTGCAAGGGAAGTCGGTGCGGCCGGTCGTTGCGGGACGAGAGCAAGGCTGAGGTGCAATCCTCAAACGACCTTCTGATCCTTAGGGACAGCCTGTACCGGCGGGGTACCTTGCATCCCCGCGCTAACAGTCCAACGCGGCTAAATCAGGCCAGATCGCTTGCCCAGAGCAGAAGCGGCGTCTACGGTACGGCCCAGCTACTACTTGTAACCTTAGTACCTACCTACCTTAGCGGGGCTATTTAGTGGGCCAGGCCGCCCGAGTTGCTTGGCGCTGGCGGAGGCTTTACACACCGTGTTAAACAGGTTCAATGCCTAGGTACCAATCTAGGTACCTAGGTAGGCTTGTAGGTACTGTATTTGGGTGCTGAAGAAAAGTTAATCAAGCGTCGATACTTAGCATAATCGTACCTACGTGGAGGACACTTTCCCTGATGTCCAGTGCAAATAGCCTGTAGGATCTTCGTCTGTCTGCGTTTGGAGGAGTCGAGTTACGACACTGGCTCTAGCGGGCCACAGTGACAGCTACAGTGGCTCTGGCAGCTACAGTGGAGGACTTCGGCACCTCGACCCCACACACGCACAGGTCTGTCGTCAAAAAGGCACGTGTCACCTCTAATAAATCACCTACGAATCCCCACACTAAAAGGTGCAAGCGCCGGCGTAACCCTCTCCCCAAATCCTCCTCCGTACATGCAGCTTCTTTCCTCCTCCTCGCGCTCCTCTTTCCACGCGACCCCCCTTCCGCAGCTTCTCCTCTTACGTGTCCTCAGCCGCCCCTCGGCCTTTGCCTCTCGACATGCCACCGCAAGCCACCTCTTTCATGTCGAAGCAGAGGTCCCCCCGCCACGCAGACAAGCTTAATCTGTGGACGAGCCTCGAGAGCTGACAGGGCCAAAAACTTTCACCAGGGTAATGCTACACCATGAACACCTAACCAGCTGTCGACTCGGTATGTATGCTGCCTTTATTAAGCTTGTCACCTCGCCAAATGATGAATCTTGGTAAAAGGTCTGACCGATGGAGACCTGTCTGGTTTTGCCGTCTGCCGTACCCTTGCCCTTGCCAATGGTCTCTCTCCCAGCCTCTGGTTGTTTGAGCACGCACTCATGCCATTCTATCATCATCATAAAGGGCCTGGTCAGTGGCCCCTCTTGTGCCGAGAGAATGGGAATCACACAAGCTTCTGTCACATCATGGAGTCTCGTTTCTTGCTACCCCCACGAACCTGGACCAAAGGCCGCGACGCACAGCAGGAATCTCTCTGCTTTCCTTGCAGGGCACGAGACTTCGAAACCACTGCATCTCCCGCTTGAAGTCACAAAAGAAACTGAAAAGATCTGATGGAGAAAACAAGCCCTATCCTTGCTCCCTGGCCAAGTCTTGGCGACTGTTTGCTGACCAGCACGGTACGTAGGCTGATGATTTTTACGCCCATTGCCATTCGGGCAGCGAGGACCTCCACCTTCACTGGGCTTTCCTCTTCAATGCACTAGCACCTGGCGTCGTGTCTAAATAGCGCCCTGTTGTTCACGGCACTGTCAACCCAGGCAACTTTACATGGGGCCGCAACAGAAACACACGAAAGACATGAACCAGCAGCATGAGGAGCGCATCTTTGTGCCCAAGGATCTGGTCCTGGCACCTGGCGAGACATCCTTCGGCAGAAAAGAGCGGCCAAGAACAGACGACAAGTCGAGTCCGCACGAGGTCCTGGGGACTTCCAAGGCGGCCATTCCGGGACGTCGGAGAGAGCATGGAGCAAAATTTGCGGCAAGAAGAACCCCCCGCAATCGCCTCATAGCATCCCTCCAACGCGCCCATGGTGGTCCCGAAAGCGTGCAGCCCTCTAAAACAGCCTCCCCAGAGCTCCCTGGAACTGTTCCTGCAGCTATCGTCGGTCAAGGGTTGACGAGCGACGACGCAACCACTGCCATCCGTTTCACTGTTGAGATACCCCCCGAGTCCCCAACACCAACCCTCGAGCCTGAGAGGCCTTGTCAAAATCGCACTCGCTCGACTCCTTCCCCAACACATGTGGGCAGTGTACTGACGCGAAACCAAGAACTGCCCTTGGTAACCGGATTGGCTGAGCCTCCAGATGTAGAAGCCACCAAAATTACACCACGCAGGACAAGAAACTTTGACTCTGCGGCATTCGATGTCGCCATATACAGGCAGTCCGGGGCGATGAACGCACCACACGGCATGTCCTTTCCAAGCCATCGGCAACAAAAGCCGCTGTCCTCAAGTCAGGACGGGAGAGTGTACATCCACGCCAACCCGGCGATTCACCTGAGCCACAATCGGTCCGAGGGTTGGCACAAACAAAAGGCTCATGAAATAGAGGCTCGTGGCAGGCGAAAAGCCTGGTTCGGTAAAGTTTTCGAGAGGCAGCGCTGGCTTCGTGCCCAAGAGGTGGCTCGGAAAAGACAGGTTAACGGAAACGCATCGGCCCGTCGACATGTGACTCCGCAGCCGTGGACCTACAGACGGCCTTTGGACTTTGGAGACGTCGACGAATCGCATCTCCCCGAGGACGTCCTCGGAGATCCCAACTGGCGAAAGGCCTGTGCGTGGCATCGTGAGGTGCGGCATATGAAAACGCTGCGCCGACGCTTAGCGCTAAAGAGTGCGCAAGAGACGCAACAATTTTTCAGGAACGTGATAGGAGGCATACGGCCCGGTCCCAGGCGAGGATTCTTTCTCGACGATCATCCGTGACCAAGAGGACAAGACGTGGCGGGCGCTGTCCGGAACTGCCATGAGAAAATGCGTCGAGTTCGAGTGCGGGGCGATGTATACGCATGAGTGCGTGGAACGAAGTTTGTTATGATTTGTTTGCCTTGTGCGCGGCGTTGGGTTGGAATACCCATTTGCAGGACAGCTTTGCAATGCGGTGCGTTGGCGCGGAACAAGTCGATATCATGGGAACATTACGGTGGAGCGAAATCAAACGAGAGAAAATTGCTCGCTTGTCATTGACAGAATGATGCGGAGCAAAGTAAACGTCGACTAGAACCAAGAACCAGAGGGCGAGTCTATCCAGTCAAAGCCGCATCGGCAACCGTATAAACGAGGCCTCCTATGCATTTTGAATATCCACCGACAGAGAGTCCCAGACGCCTTCTATATATATAAATCACAACAATAACCCGGCACGCAAAGCGATCAGGTTTCCGTCCTCACTAAACATCCTTGGACAGCAAGTTCAGTGCACTGCCTGCAAGGATGAAGCCGGCCTGGTCCTTGGTGACTGCATGCTTGGTCGGAATGAGCACCTCGTCGCCGTTGCCCTTCTTCACCCTGAGCTGGACCTGGCCCGTGCCCCCGTCGCGGAGCATCTGATACAGGCCCACGGTGCTCACCTCGTCGCCGGCCACAATCTTGTCGTAGTCTGCCTCGTCGGCAAACGTCAGCGGCACGACGCCCTGCTTCTTGAGGTTGGTCTCGTGGATGCGCGCAAACGACTTGGTCAGCACGACGCGCGCGCCTAGGTAGCGCGGCTGCAGGGCGGCGTGCTCGCGGGCCGAGCCCTCGCCGTAGTTGTGCTCGGCGACGACGAGCCATTCCTGGCCGCGCTGCTTCCACAGCTCGGCGAGCTCGGGGATGGTGTGCCGGCTGCCGTCGAGGTCGTAGGCGGCGTTGACTTCGCCTGTCTCGGCGTTGACGGCCGTGTTGAGCGTGTTTGTGCTGATGTTGGCCAGGTGGCCCTTGTACTTGAGCCAGGGGCCGGCGGCCGAGATGGTGTCGGTGGTGCACTTCCCCGTCACCTTGACGAGCACGCGCAGGCCGCCAAGGTCCGAGTCGGGGAAGGGAGGGAAGGGTTCCAGGAGAGCTAGGCGGTCGGACGTGGGAGAAATGGCCACCTTGACGCTTGCGTCGGCTTGTTGCGAGAGGACGCCGAGAGACTCGATGCCGGACTCGAACGGGGTCTGAGGCCCCTCGAGACCGTGGGGCGGGGAGAACTTGAAGTCCTTGCCATCGGGCGTCTTCAACACATCGGTCACGGGGTTAAAGGTGGTGGAGCCGGCAAAAGCCATGGCGGTGACAATCTCGGGCGAGGCGAGAAAGTTCATCGTCTCGGGATTGCCGTCATTCCTGCCGCGAAAGTTGCGGTTGTACGACGTGAGGATGGCGTTGGCAGTGCCCTTGCCCACGCCGTCATGCCGCTTCCACTGCCCAATGCAGGGACCACACGCATTGGAGAGCAGCACGCCACCGGCGCCCTCCAAGGTCTCGAGCGTGCCGTCGCGCTCAAGCGTGGCGCGGATCTGCTCGCTGCCGGGAGTGATGTAAAAGTCGGCGGCAGGCTTAAGGCCGGCGCCGGCCGCCTCCTTGAGCAGGCTCTCGACGCGCGTCATGTCCTCGTAGGAGCTGTTGGTGCAGCTGCCAATGAGCCCGGCAGACAGCTTCTCGGGCCACTGCTGATCCTTGACAGTGTCCTTAAACTTGGACAAGGGGGTGGCGAGGTCCGGGGTGAAGGGGCCGTTGATGTGCGGCTCCAGCTCCGAGAGGTTGATCTTGATGAGCCGGTCGTACTCGGCGCCCTCATCGGCCTTGAACTGGAGCCGGGCGTCTTCTGCCGCGCCGGGCCCCGGGAAGCGCTGGAGGGCCTCGACGTTGGCGACCGCCTGCGACCGCCGGGTGGACTTGAGGTAACGCGCAGAGGCCTCGGTGTAGGGGAATATCGACGTCGTCGCCCCGACCTCGGCTCCCATATTGCTGCACGTGGCCATGCCGGTCAAGCTGAGGGTGTCGACGCCGGGGCCAAAGTATTCGATTATGTAGCCGGTGCCGCCGCGGACCGTGAGCTCGCCAACAAGTCGCAGGATGAGGTCCTTGGGGGCAACCCAGTCGCTGAGCTTGCCGGTGAGCTCGACGCCCAGGACCTTGGGCGCCTTGAGCTCCCATGGAGCGCCGACGAGAGCCTCGACAGCGTCGGCGCCGCCCACGCCAATGGTGACGGTGCACAGGCCGCCGGCATTGGGGCTATGGCTGTCGGTGCCCAGCATCATCAGGCCGGGCAGGGCGTAGTTCTCCAGGACAGTCTGGTGGATGATGCCGGCGCCTGGCGGCCAAAAGTCCATGCCGTACTTGCGGGCCGCCGACTCGAGAAAGTCAAAGACCTCCTTGTTCGCCTCGATGCCGGCCGACAGATCATCCCCGGCGCCGGTCGACCCGACGATCAGGTGGTCGCAGTGGATGCTGGCGGGGATGGCGGGCCGAGCCAGATTGCACGACATGAATTGGAGCAGGGCCATCTGGGCCGAGGCGTCCTGCATGTTGACGCGGTCGGGCTTGAGGCGCAGGTTCGCCTTGCCGCGGACGCTGCGCCCATTGTCTGTGTTGAGCAGCAGCGACTCCTGTACATTGTCGAGGTGGCTGTAGAGAATCTTCTCGGCGAGCGTGAGGCGCTGTCGGCCGAGAACGCGACGCACTTGGGTGTACTTGTTGAAGAGGCGCTCGTATGTCGGCGGGAGGGCGTTTACGCTCGAGAATGTCCGGATCGTCGACGGGGATCGAGGCGCGGCCCAGGGGCGGGGGACGGCGCGTCGCAGGATGCTCTGGGCAGGATGGTCAGCTCTGCTCGCTTCTCGATCTGTCGGTGCCTACCGTCATGGCGTCAATGTCCTGTCGGCGTGCAGCCTTGTTGAGCAGCGTGGTGGTGGTGTGTGATTCATGCCCAAGATGTGGGTGGAGAATTGCAAATGCGCGATATCGGATTGGACTGGGGGCTTTGCGGGGGCATCATTGGCTGGGGCGGGACCCGCTCTTCCGTTTGGCCTTGGCCTATGCTCGAGAGCATAAAATGGACTTCCATAAGTTAAGAAATAAGCAGCAAAGCTGGATTTAATTACATGTGTCTCTTTCCAAGCAAAAGTGCCTTGCCCAGACGAAATGACGAGAGGGATTATTTGAAATAACAGTTATCCTTGGAGCTCCCATGTATCGACTTCCAAGAGTGCAAACGCGGACCAGCTCGTGTGTTGCAACATTAGAGCTCGCGAATGTCCGGAGCATTGGCCAACAGTATCCTCTACCAAGCAGCTGGGTGGAGTCTGACCTTGATATTTGGGGACATGCCCCGGGCTGTTGAAGACTTCAAAGTCAAAGGAAAAGAGAAGCTCGACCAAGGTGGTGCGCATCACAAGATAGGCCCAGGCATTGGGCAAGTACCGGTGGCGAGCCGCCCGTAGCCTGCGACTATGGTTCGGGTCGGAGCTGCTCGGTGAAATAACTTACGTACTGTACTTTTCCGGATTCCACGATGCGCTAAGAATGCGAGGTCCAGCTACGACGTCTGTAGGGCCGTAATGGCCATCCATGATTGCTCCTGATACTCTCGGCAGACTAATGTCCACTGGGGGGATATCCGTGGTCTCCTCGGCCACCGCCTGCAGAACGGGGAGCGACGATGTGATGAGACCAGTTATCTCATCGAATGAACCAAGAACCCCTTCTTGTGTCCTAGATGAGTCTGTTGCGGATTGGACAGGGGCCGGCTCGGGCGTGCTCCGTTTTGGGCCATTGCCTCTTTTGGAAGAGCTCCGAGAAGAGGGGCCGGAATGCGGGTCGCTGCGCCGAACCGGGAGAGCTGGCTGAATTGGATATGGCCCGGGTCGGACCTGTATTTGCTCCGCCTGTTGATCGGCATTGAATCTTCCCAGCGTCCAAAAACAAGGCTAGCATTTGCCTATGAATGACAAATGCGACGGACGGACTCAAACACCACGATGGCCAGTGTCGTTGGTATATATAGGAACCAGACGGTTCGCCACTGCTCTCAAGCTGTACTGCCTCATCGCCGAGTCTTGGTGACAATAGAATTGAGACAAAACTGTGAATCTTAAAGTCGACTTTTGCGCCATGGAGATGCTCCTCGATAGATCTGCCGACCCCCGCGCCGGTGAGACGAGGAATCACGACAAGGCGATGCAAGCACATCGGCAAGAAGATGAGTCTGATGGCAATGACACCGCAGCTCGCAACGCCGCTGAGAAATCTACCGACTCGCCGCGACCGATACATGGAGTCAAGGTATGGCTGCTGCTCTGCCTCTGCCGTGACCACCTGTCTTTCTCTACAGCCACTGAAGCTCTGTCTGCTGATCTGCTTGGCAAAGTGGCTCCTTGCTGTCGTTTCCCTTCAGGCCTCCTTCCTGCTCTACGCCCTGGACACGACTATCGTGGCTACGATACAGCCTGCCATAGTCAACACGCTTGGAAGAGTCGACCTCGTCCCCTGGCTCGGCATCTCCTTTGCCCTGGCTTCGGCCGCCAGCACTCTTACGTGGTCCAAGGCCTTTGGCACCTTTTCGGCCAAGAAGCTGTTCATCGGGGCCACCACACTATTCATGGGTGCCTCGGCCCTGTGCGGCGGCGCTCCCAACATCGACGCCTTCATTGTGGGGAGGGCGCTTGCCGGCATTGGGGGAACCGGCATGTACATGGGCATCATGACCATTCTCTCCGTCAACACGAGCGACACAGAACGGCCCAGATATCTCAGCCTCACGGGCTTCTGGTGGGGCATCGGCACCGTCTTGGGCCCCGTCGTCGGCGGCGCCTTCGCTCAAAGCGCGGCCACTTGGCGGTGGGCCTTCTATCTCAACCTATGCGTCGGTGCCGCCGTGGCTCCCATCTACTTTGTAGTGCTCCCCGACCACAGTCCTCTGCCCGGTGTTCCGCTACGCGTCCGCCTTCTCATGCTGGATTACCTCGGGGCCCTGCTTTCCTCCGCCGCTTTCCTGTGCATCATCATGGCCATGAACTTTGGCAGCATTCTTTGGCCATGGAACGACGGCCGCAGCATTGCCCTATTTGTGCTCTCGGCCATCTTCTTCGCTGCCTTCTGTATCCAACAGGCCTATGTCATCGGCACCTCTCTCGATCACCGAGTTTTTCCCATGCATTTCTTCAGGAATCGCACGCTGATTATCCTCTTTCTGACCATGAGTACGTCTACCCCCTGATGTCCTCGCCGCGCTCACTGTCAAAGAACTGACTGACCATCCCTAGTGTTTGCGGCCTTTGGATGCTTCATCACCCTCTATTACCTCCCGCTTTACTTCCAGTTCACGCGCGGTGCCACAGCCTTGCAGACCTCGGTCCACTTGCTTCCACTCATTCTTTGTTCTTCGGCAGCCGTGCTCATCAATGGCCAGTTCATGGGGAAAACGGGCCACTATTTCCCGTGGTATCTTTTTGGTGCTGCTCTCCATCTCATCGGTGGTGCTCTGCTTTGTAAGTCCGGATAGCTATCCATGGTTCCTGAATCGATGAGGAAGGAGTCTCGGCTAATAGAAGTGAACCCTTTCAGATACAATAGACGAAAACACAGCCAATGCTAGAGTCTACGGCTACACCATCATTCTCGGCGTTGGCGTTGGCTGTTACTGCCAGGCCGGGTTTCCAGTGGCCCAGATGAAGGTTGCAGCCAAAGACATTCCTTCGAGCGTTGGCTTCATGACGGTGAGCCAAATGCTGGGCATCGCTTTGGGCACCGGAATGTCGGGCGCTATTTTCGTCAACTTCGCGAACCATGGTCTGGAGCGCTTGTTTCCCAACGCCACGCCCCAAGAGATATCTTCTGCCCTGGCCGGCGTGGGAAGCGAGCTGGTCAACTCCTCGGGATCCGATGTGGCCGCAGCAGCCATTCATGCGATTGCGAGGGCCATCCGGTCTGCATTTGTCCCAGTTCTAGCGACCGGCGCACTCTCCCTCATCTGCAGCCTATTTATGAAACGGGAGAAAGTGTTTGGATAATGGAGCTAGGAGAGAGCGGAATTAGTTATATCTTTTCAGCTTCTGTACTTGACTGGAGTCTGGCTCGCATATCAAGGATGCAGGTGTGAACAAAGGAGTATTTTCCCAGTCTCCAACTCTCTCTACATCAAGACCAGTCGAGTACAATATACCCAAGCAGCCATCATACAATCTCGAACTCAAATTAAGGGCTCAAGCGCGCATTTTCGGTAGTGTCTAAAGTCGTGAACTCATGCAATGCTTGGCGTATCTTCTCCAACTCGTGCTTGGCGTCGTCAAGCATTGAGCCTTGTTTTCCCGCCATACTAGACTCCAGCCGCGTTATTAATTGACCCAGGTCTCTGACGTGTAACTCTATCATGCTCTTCAGCAGTTGTGTCCGCTGTGTCGGATGCTCGACGTGGTATCGCCCGTACTGGAACACGGTGGGCGTGGACTTCCGACACCGGCACTGGACAAAGCGATGTGCTAGCTCAGCCATGGCGACGGCGAGATTGTTTGCGACAGAAATTACCAGCATCGGGCTGGAGGTGATGGTGTTGCAGGTGTGGCATGAAAACATCTCGCGGCATTTCCCAACGCCTTGGTCTAAACTGAGGAACAGACTGTCGGTCGACGCTGCGGTTATGCCAGTAGCTGTCTGTGCACCGAGTTCTTCAAAGGTTTGCAGCATGGAAAACAGGCATTGACACTGACCAGACCCTTCACTCACAGGAGAACAAGACAAAGCATCATTTCGAGCCGGAGGTTGCATTAGCGCGTGTGTGGAGGGAGGCCGAGAGAGGTTACTGGGCTGAGATTCCCCTGGTTGCGATGACGATTTGCACTCCATGGTGGGCCGTGACAACCCAAAGAGCGATAGGAAGCTTGCGTCAGTCGTGGAAGCCCCTCTGGCTGTGACTTGCGGCGTTTCTTGGTCCGGCGTGGGTCTATAGACTTGAGACGCGCCCTGGTGTCTCGACGGTCCGCCTGGACAAAGGCTGAAGCCCTCTCCCGCTAAGAAGCCGTCGTCGCAATTTGATGAGGTACTTTGGAACATATTACCCAAGTTCATGTTGATATTCGACCACAGCTTCGGGGACGGTGGCAAGTCTGGTTGATCGGAGGAGCCAGAGCAGGAGGCGGCGTTGATCCTCGGCGCGTTGGGGTCGACGGCATCGAGAGCAAAGGAGGAGCATAGCATCTGGCACTGCGCATCGAATCTTTGCCAATCGTAGTGTATGGCGTTCGAATATGGATCTCGGGGTTGCGAGGGCCACTCGGATGACTGCTGAGTAGGTTTGCTGTTGGCTGCGGCGTCTTTGCGCGGGCGCTTCTTCCCAACGCCCACGCCCGAGCTAAGTGTGTAGGTGCAGACGCTTGAAGCGGACAAGCATCTGTCACAGCCTCGGATGTTGCCGCTGCATCTCAACTACAGTCCGCGAGTTAGCTGAGCAGTGTGGAGTCAAACCCATGGGATCACAGTCGACATAGACTCTGACGCGGACATGCCTTTCTCGCGCGGCACAGATCGCAGGCGGTGCGCGTGTATTCCTTGTAGTCGACCGACGACGGATGGTCCGAACGGCTGATGTACTCGTGGTTTTTTGTCGTTTCGTTGTACTTGAACGTCGCGAACATGGCGTTGCCTTTGACTCAAAGTGGCCCGATGCCAGGGACAAGTGTTGGTTTTGGTTTGGTGAGGCAACACGGCTAAAGTCCCGAGCCGAGCACACCTTGATTTGCAGCTGAGAGACTCACGATTTATCAGTCATCAAGGAGACGGTTGAGTCGAGTCACGAATGGGCTGACCGCGGCGTTCTTCCCCGGCCCGACTGGAGTGTGTAAGATGCACATGCACTCCGCTGCTACGCTGTTGCTGCGGCTTACCAACACACTTCTTCGAGTGGTCCAGTCTCCATACGAGGTGCTCAATATCGGCGACTTAGGGCTTTCACAGCGTGGCTTGGGTGGATAGCTCGCTCCGACAATTAGGCAAGCACACGACCGAGTGCATGTGCTGAGTCTCGGCATAAACATGTTCTGCAGGCCTGTCATCAAACGTCAAACGGTGTGGCTGTGACTGGTGGTCTAGATACCTGAATTCGCCCCTGGCATTGCATATTAGACATGGACATTCATGCTAGCAGATGCTCAGGTCGCACCTTGAGCCGCCTTGCCTTGCCTTACCATACCCACCTAGCAGCTACATGCGTTATCGAGGTTTGTCACGGTCGCAATTGCACTTTATTTCGACTCTGCAAGATACCCTTGCCAATCGTTCTGTTGTCTGTAAAGAAAGAGCTGGCAATGGGCGAAACGGCATCCCAGTTTCCTAATAATCAAGACAATAGAGTAACAGATTGGAGCCTTACGGTGAGACGTTAACTGTTGACATCCAACCGTTCCGCTCCCGGTAGCAATCGTCCTCTCAATTCACTAGGGCCGTTATTATTGACGTGCTTAAGCCGTCGACTCGTCATAGTTATGTCACATGCGGCCAGCATAAATTTGAATGTCGTCATGATTTTGATGTCGCTGCTGACGACATAACTATAAGTCAAGTTCTAAGCTGACTCCCTACACGCAACTGAAAGGTCAAAATACCTCATATCCCAACGTCACGCTATTTTACCCACCATGAACCGACAAAGGGCTGCCATGACGGCGGCTGCTGGTGCAGCCGTCATCGGAGTCGGAATGTACAGCAACACAAAAGGCCAGAAAGACGAGCCACAGGTGCAGCGACACAATGCTCACGTTAAGCGCGACATGGGGCTTTCAGGCGCTGGCGTTGGAGGGAACGCCATGACTGGAAGTACAGACATATCAGCCGCACCGCCGTCGTCACATAAGAACCTCGAGCGTACGACGCGGACCACAGCGGCAATTGAGAAGCTGCCGTCGGGCGGAGTGGGTGGCGGAGAAGGCGCCGGAGGAAGCAGTGCGCGCAAAATGCAGTTACCGACTGGATCTGGTCCAGACAACATGTCGCGGCGAGGGAAGGAAGACGATGCGCAGGTACCGCTCTGAGAATCCGGGCAGCTTGAGCGCCTATAGTAGATTAACACTGCGAATCCAGGGTACGTCCGCGGCTCGGAAAGCAGACTCGAAAGTTGCCCAGAATCCATCTGAGCACCCGGGCGTGCTAGGGTCTATACAGGGCTTTTTCGGGCAAGGGGGTACAAAGACTGCTAGTCCTTCTGATTCAGCAGGCCGCCAGAATACAAAAGGCATCAGTCAGATGGCAAGTGAGGTGCCGTCGAAGCGTGGACCGCCCGCCGCCTCGGATTAGCATCTTGGGGCGGGATCTCCGTTGGAGTGAAGTTTTGTTCATATTGCAGCCACTCGGGGATAGTTTATAGATACATAACTACACGGAGAATGCCATGCGCCTACTCTTGGAAAGCTTTGCTGATTCCATCCATGGCGCCGGGTCACATCGCAGGTCCAGCGGCGCGTACAAGGCGCCCAAGATCCCAACTCCTCAGACGACGTGGTCCGCTCTCAATAGTTCCCGTTTGGAATGAGAAATGCCTGCGTCGTATTCCAAGTGTTTGATGCCACTGGCGAAGTGCAAGACGGACGGAAACGCCAGGCCTAATTGATGGCTCCCTTGGCAAGGACCAGCGAGCGGGAAAACCGCAGTCACCAGACTTGGCGCTGCCTAGATGAAGCCCAAAAACACTTGGAGCGCTTATGTTCAAAATAAAATTTCCGTAGACGATAATGCCGATGCCGCAGCCTGTGCAAGGCATTGAGCTGGATGATCCGAGAAACGTCTAGTCCAGCTCGTAGACGCCAAGGTGCGGGCGGGGATACGGGGTCGTTGGAGACGCTCGCTTATGGGCATTCGGTCAGCCTCCTCCTGAGAGGATTTTTCTTGTCGTGGTGGGCCTGTTTGGACGAGAAGAACGTTTAGACGAGAAGTACATGAGTGAAGGGCGTGCCGAGTTCTCCTTCACAACCTCGTCTGACCGTATCAGACTTTGAACATTGAAGCCAATCAAGACTCCCCCAATTGGACGGACTAGTGGAACATTGTGACCAACGACAACGTGTGGCTTGGACGTTCCTTGGTCACGTTAGCGACCTCACGCCCGAGCACGCCAACACTGGCTGGGAACGGCATATACTGTACACGTGGTATGACACAAATCTTGACGAAAGCCCAAGCTGGCTGAGAGGCGATTCGTTAGTGCTTGAAGTGCTGCGAACTTTGCAGCTGTATTTCAGTATGTTGGCGTTACGAAAGTCTCTGAGCCGAAGCGCATACAGGTCCTGCGTGCAAATACCTGGTAAACGAGAGAAATTCACGAAGATTCCTTGACGAAAAGTTCTCTTGAGTCGAGCATTACCTGAGCATGTCATTGTCGCTTTTCTCACTTTCACGTCAGTGTTGTCTGAGCTTCTGCTGACAGCCATCGGGAGATGCGTGTTATCGCTCAACGAGTTATCGTTGAACGATTGTCGCCGAGATCGACGATTCGGCTTCAAGCATATAATAGTGACTTCTACAAGAAACTCGCTCTACTATCCCTACCTGAGGGGGATGAACTAAGGTACATGCCAGTACCTATGAGCCCATCCAGCACTTCGAACATAACCGATCGATACACGATCCAGAGCCCTGTCCGTTCGTAACAGAATTTCTCACTGCTGCGGGCGAGGATGAAGCTACACGCGTATCCTTCCCTTTGACTCGGTGCAGCGAAAAGAGTACGTATCTGTGAGGAAACCACTGGGTTGTGCAGGCAAAAGTGAAGTGACACTCCAACAGATGACCTGGCAGTGGACCCTATATGCCATGGGGATACTGGCGGAAGCTGACAGTATCACCTTGTTCCTTGGCCTCAAGCGAAATTTCTTCTCGTAGCGAGGATATACTCGACATACAGTCGATCAATAGCCTCGCACAGGGTTCTTCAAAGTCACGCACGTATCCTGCTCTTTGTGGAGGTTGCGGGACCAAGGACATGCCACTTATGGTTGCTCTGGATCTGCAGCCGGACTGTAGCCAACACCTAGTTTTCGATACTTATTGTGGTTGAATGATTCATGGCCTCAGCTGCAGTTCATTTCAGGTGGACCTATACCTTCCTCCAAGGAGGTCACTTCAGAAAGTCTTTTAGTCAATTCTTCGCCTCTCGGGTCAATTACATGAGACGCCGAGGTGAGCATTAGAAAGGCGATTATGTGGGAGACAATGTCTATTTCGACCAGAGTTACTCGTCCTATCATCGGAGCATCAGTCAACTCCCGCCCAATGTCCCGAGCAGACTTGAAACGGAGGACGAACACGACCGATAACTTCGGATGCTTGATCGCCGGGTGATATTGGCAAAATGCAGCTATTATGATCAAATCAGCCTTGACATGTCTAAAGCCACTTTGTATAGAAGAACACGAAAGCCCCCCAAGGATGGTTTGGAAAGGGGCAATGAGAGGAAACTAGAGTAAGGAATATGCGGTCTCTTTCGTATAATGTCTTTAGTTCCCTCCTTCAAGGAACAAGCAAGATGAAGAATGCAGAATGCTCAGACTAGGAAAAAATTTGACATTACAGGGCATGGCTTTTCCATCGCCCTGCAATGTCCTTTCTATAGTACATTCCCTTAAATCTTACACCTTCGATTCCTTTATAGGCAGAATTGACAGCGTCTTCAAGGGCGGCCCCCAAGGCAGCCACTGACAAAATTCTTCCGCCTGCCGTCTCCAGCCGCTCATCAACAAGTCTTGTTCCGGCATGGAATATCTGCTGTCCATGCGGCACGCTCTCGATAGTGATCGGATTTCCAGTCTCATGCGTCCCCGGATAGCCTCCCGAGGCGACGACGACGTTGCAAGCGTATCCTGGTCGGACGGCAAGAGTGATGCTGTCCAGAGTCCCCAAGGTGTAGGCGAAGAGCACAGAAGCGAGGTCTACATCCTCTGCCAAGAGCAGCATCATGGTTTGCGTCTCAGGATCTCCAAATCTAACATCGTACTCAAGCACTTTGGGGCCGGTACGTGTCATCATAACGCCTGTGAACAACATGCCTTTGAATGCGCGTTCTGGCCTTTGGGTTAGCCTTTCCAGCAGACACACATTGATATAAAAACACACCTTCGTCCCGCAAGCCCGCAAACGTAGGCTGAAGGATCTTATCTTCGATCCCAGCCAAGTATTTGGCGGAATTGAACGGCGTCGGTGCGTACACGCCCATGCCACCCGTGTAGGGCCCGGTGTTGCCTTCAAAGATCCGTATGTGGTCCTGTCCCGGGGGCAGCGTCTTTGTGGTCTTTCCATCGCTAAAGGTCAGGATGCTGATCTCTTCCCCTTCCATGAACTCTTCGATGACAACAGAAGACCCTGCAGAGTCAAATCTCGCTTTGACCATGATGTCGTCCAAGGCTTCGTATGCCGGGGGAGGATGACGCCCTTGCCAGCCGCCAAGCCGCTGGCTTTGATGACGGCGTGGTCTACATTTTGGACGTAGTCTTTAGCTTCCTTGACATCACCAAGGTTCTTGTACGCAGCTGTAGGGATTCCATGTCGCTTCATGAAGTCCTTGGCAAAGGTCTTGGATCCTTCCGGCTCGGCTGCTTCTCTGGCTGGCGCGAAACATGGCATTCCACCTAGAGAGGAGATTTGTTAGCTCGTGACGGGTTGCAGAGGCAAACAGCAAGCTCACTGTCGCGGAAAAAGCCTTCAATGCCCGCCACAACGTCGTCATCGGGGCCAACGACAACCAACCCGATTCGCATGTCCCGGGCGAGCGACACGAGAGCTGGATAGTCGAGTACGTCATTTCCAAGGTTGGAGACCTTGGCAAGGCTTGAAGCCGTGCCGCCGTTGCCTGGATACACAAAGACGTGCTCTACAGAGGGCGATTGGCCGAGTTTCTGAGAATCGCCGTGTCATTCTCATGAGTTCTTGTAGTGGGAGCGGGAACAGCACGCACCCATGCTAGAGATGTTCTCGGCCCCCTTTGCCAACCAACAGAACTCGTAGAGGCTGCTTGCTTGGATCCGTCAAGGCTGCGCCCACGATATTTAGTAATATCTGCAGGAAATGTGATTGTTGGGAGAGTGAACATGCAGATGGGCGTATCCTTTTGCACCTAGAGTTCGCGCCCCGTGCAGCTGACTTACGCGGACCAACACTCATCATTCCATTAAACTTAGTAAAAGCCTCGTCGTGAAATGAGTGTCATTTAAGACAACATATAAATGCGTCCAATAAGACTCGGAATGGGGAGATACTGATTGATAGAGAAGTTCGTGCCATGCTGAATGGACTTGAGCGGCGCCTGGATGTATCCTAGATTTCCTGCGAACAAATAGTGCTCCCTCTATCCAGATGCCCATCGTCCATGACTTCACCAAGACTCGTACTACGAGTTTCAATATCAGCAAAATGCACACCCACCTTCTGCGGTTTGGATATCAGTGGCTTTCGTCAAGTGGCCGGAAGCAATTCGGTGTCGCACACGTCTGACTCGATATGAGAGCATGTGCGTTCACTTCCATGATCCTGGCAATGCAGGCCTTACCGGGCGTTTAATGTTCAGTACGCTACAATGAAGAATCGATATGCTGAGAAAAATCCGAGCTAGGAGGCTGCTCAATTTTGTGTACATTGGCGTCAGCCTGATCATAGGGAGCCTTGCTCTCGCCTAGAAAATTGATCGACACCACTTCCCTCATCTACTCGGCCTGTCTTGGAAGAAGTCAATATTACAGAGCAGACATGATGGCGGATTTCACAGGGTAATAGAACGTCAAAGCGGTTGCATGTAGTGTCTGTTCCATCTCCTCCTCACGGAGCTATCCGCGTTCGTTGGAAAGAACGACCCCTCACTTTCAAGCGACATCATAATCAAGGGAGTTGAGGTGGCGAGGCTGCAAAACCAATAGCTGCTTCATCGAGGAAGTACCTCACCCTGACGTATTGAAATACAAAAGAGCCAACAAAATCAGAACTGCAAGATACTAAGCCTCTATGAGCGGATAAGAGTAATTTGAAGGTGTTGTGCACCGAGCCTCGGTGCGTCGCTACTCCTGTCCCCAATCACTCCGTCAGTTCCAGCTCCTCGACAATGCATGTGGCCTAACGAAACTCGTCGCCGTCCATCAGCTTCCGAACGACAGATCTGATCACTTCGGCATCCCGCAGCAGCAAGATTGAACCTAGAAGCCTATCCTTATCTTCCTTTCGCTTCTTCAGTCGCTCGATTTCGGCTCGCAAGTCGTCCTCCGTTTCGCCGGGGCAACGGGTGTCCAGACACTCTTCGTCATTAACCTCGCATCGCTGGCAAGGGCGTTTTCCGTCACACTACGAAAGTACATGAGGTGATTAGCAGCGTGATTCTCTGACTCGGGAGCTTTTCAACCCTTCTCATGTTAGAACGGCTTACCCTTGTTTGGTCGGTGCGACAGCGTTGGCGGGCTCTCCGTATCTGCTCACGACGGGTCATGCTTGGCCGTGAGAGCGCTCCATTACAGTCCAGATGAAAACGAGAACTAGGATATTTATATAGCCTCGCGCTCGCAATCGGTGTGCGGCCTACATGGTCAGCATGTCTCAGCAAAAGGCGCCAAGGCTGCAGCTTTTCACCACAGCACGCGAGTGGTCACGTAGGCATGACTTTTGCATGATACAAAGGGGCCGGACGAAAACCATTTGCTGGGATGCTTGTCATTTCTCACGCACATGGGTTCACTAGAGCTGCCACTTGCGCGTCAACCGCCTGTGATTATTGTGTGTTAGACTGTCTCTCAACCAGGGTTCCTTAGCCAAATCGGAAGAGATACATACGGTGATGTGTGTTAATGCCGTCACGATGACAGCAGCATGATACAGAACCACGCCGCTTCTTCACAAAGCTGGAAGATCGGCTGCCAAGGTGAGCCATCTACCGGCTCCCTGTGCCAGGAAGAAACTCGGACCTCCGGACGAGCTGATGACTCCGATTTTCGGGCTATGGGGGAAAATGTAACGAGGCAGCGAGGCAACCTTGCTGTAGATAACGTGTCACACTTGGTGAGCTCAACCCTGGTTGCTAGTGGAATAAGTGAAGAGCATTCTCCGTGTGTAACCGCACTGGAAATCCGTTGCGCCAATGAAATTGGGAGGAGTCTCGTCCGACGTATTGTCCGAAGGAGTGGCGAGGGTTGTGGCATATCTGATTCTACACGTGTATACGCATACGAGGGCAAAGACTAAAAGGAAGTGGCGGTCCAGCGATCACAAGGATAGAACACCCCCCTGCGAGTCACTGGTTTTGGTGTCTGCCTTTGCAAAAACACACATTCGGTCCATGAAGGCCATGCTACTCCATATGCCTACTGCATCGGCAGGAAGGCCCACAGGAAGGGGCAACTGAGGTCTAGAAGTATAGAGTACCCCGTCGGGGTCTCCATACACACGGGCCATTTCTAACTCTTTGCAGGCCGCATAAACGGACAACACTTCGCGTCTGGAAATGATCTTCTTTGGATTGCATGAACGGGATTTTTTTCTCGTGCATCATCTGATGCATTACATACCTTTGTAAGCTCAACCCCGAACGAAATCTACCGCGTCTTTATAAGCAGGTCACAGCTTTGTATGAGATTTTTTAGGGACGTCTGCTCACGGTCTCATGCAGCTGGGACCACCGCCCATTCGACGGTTCTGGGTGAAACTAAATCTCTTTGAGTAGGTCCGTAAGTCTGGAGAGGGAAAGAACCTGTCTATTAGAGAGAAGAGAGTAGTAAAGCACAGCACCCAACCATGAAGCTCACAACTCCAGCTACTAAGAATCCTCTTCCCATCCGGCTGCTTCTCTTTGTCGTGGCCATTGCTTCCGAAGTAGAGTAGATAAAATCACCCCAGCAGATAAAGATGCTTCTTATCCAGAACTTATACTGCCAGTTGGGAAACATGATTGAGTTCCTGTTTGACTTGGCGTCGATGAACCAAGACGTGCAGCCTGTGGCCCAGACTAGCTTTTTCGCCTTCGCTTGAACGTTATCAATGTCCCTCTGCTCGGCAGATGGTTTAACTTGGACGACATCATGTATCTTTCTCGCAATCGGGAGAGAATGTCTCGCGACGCCAGTTGCTCGTAAAATCGGCTTGATGACGCGCATGGTAAAGTTGATCTGGCACTCTGTAGTGTAGATGACTGAAAGATGGCCACTGAGGGTGTTGGGTCCCATCATGATGAAGAAGTTGGGAAAGCCAGCAAGGCATGTTCCCAAGTACGAGGACGGGCCCCGTCGCTAACTTCATTCCACTGCAGTACGTAGTGAGAGTAACATGAAGTAGAAGGGAAAAGCGGTAACGAACATGCTCTGTAATGCTGACGCCGTTTTCGCCGACAATCTCCATAGGTGCGAGGGGTTTCTGGGTATTGAAGCCATTGGCGAAGACGATGGCATCTGCGTTGAAAGTCCGCCCTCACCTGGTATGAACGCCGGACTCGAAAATGTTGGCGATGGAGTCCTTATAGACTAATTCGACGTTTTCGCGGTGCAGACAAGCAAGATAGCCGGTGTCATTCACCCGCCTTTTGCAACCAATTTCAGTCTCGGGCACAAGAAAGTCACGATACTTGGCCGGAGAATTTTCCCCGAATGTAGTCCGCGGCCTCCTTGGACCATTCTCTGCGGGTCTCTGCACCCGTTTCGACATCAAAGCCCCGAAAGTCCTTTTCTTTCTCCCAGTAGAGTTTGGCGCGGTAGAGTCGCATGGCCAGCGGCACCCATTTCATCGTCCACTTAAAGAGCGCAGAGTACTTCGGGTTAGGACGCTCCGCGAGCCAGTGAGCTTGACGGCCGAACTGGGTAATTTTCTTTGCTGCCCCACGGCCGTCGCTCATCACGGGAACTGCTTGCGTTGCGCTGCACCCATTACCTAGAATCATAATAAGCTTACTGCTGTATTGCTCGAGCCGAACGACATACCGATGACGATAACCTCTTTGTTAGTCCAGTTGAAAGAGTGATCCCACTTAGCCGTGTGAAACATCTTTCCCTGGAATGTCGATGCGCCGGGGACATCGAACTCTTTGGGCACAGATAGTGCTCCAACGGCCGAAACGAGGATTTTGCAGCAGCACTCGAAAGTTTCGGATGTCTTGAGATCGCGCAAGGAGATGGACCACGTTCCCGAAGTGGTGTTCCATGTTGCAGCCTCGACAGCGGTTTCTAGCCGCACGTTGCTTTCGATATTGTACTGAGCTGCGATGTCCTTGAAATAGGAATGTATCTCAGCCTACAACGCGAACTTTCGTGGCCAATAGGGATTAAGAGCGAAAGAATACGAGTAAAAATGAGACGGCACCTGCGTACTGTCCAGTGCCTGTGTAATATTCGTGGTCGCGGGACAACTCACATCGCATCCACAACCGGGGTATGAATTCATGTGCCAAGTGCCACCAATGTGGCCCGACTTTTCGACGAGTTGGAAGTTTCTTGTGCCATATTGGCGGATCAGTTGAATGGCGAAGCCAATTCCCGACATGCCAGCACCGATGATTAGAACGTCATGATAGTGATCCATGACGAGAAGCTCGGGAATAGTCAATTACTTGGCGAATGGACTTTCGTAGTAATATCGTTGACTTAAGGACAAGCAAAGGTATTGGAAAATGCAGCAATCTTCAGAACTTATATTGCCGTGAGCCGCATGTATGGACTGCTTTTCCTCCACAAATCCGCCAACCTTGGCTTATGCTCGCTCTATATGTAGAGACATAATCATATCAGTCAACTGCTGTAATTACTGGCCCGGACAAATGGCAACCCAGCCAGCATATTTCGTACAGGGGGAGGGACTTGTTTGTCAGAGCTAGGCAGAAACGGAGCGATTTGTCATGTCTTGTGAGGCACGTTTGTGGGAGGCAAACCCGCAAGATGCTAGCGGAACGGGTTATTGAGCCGAGATGAACCGTTATGGCGTCTATACATGTATGTACGTACGAGAATGTTGAGGTAAGTGAGCCATGTAAGTGGTTGCGGCACCACTATGGGTTACGGAAAACGATGAGCAAGAAGGCCAAAAAAACGCAAACTCGTGGATATAAATGCAGTTGAAATGATTCGTTTGCTAGTTTCGTATCCACTGGACTTGGAAAAGATCTACATTTTCTAAATATAACGAGCAATGTCATGCACGGACTTTGGCATCATGGGAGGAAAGCAAGCCGATTGGCTACCGTTACTGGAAAGTCTGCCGAGAGTTTGGCACCGCCGGTAATGGCGACAATTGACTTTCACACCACAAACCTTACGTGCAGCAGATATCGCATTAATAGAGGAATGCTATTGTGACGGATGAAGATCTGTGCATTATTCCAAGGACTTGTCCTTGCTCGAGGTCATTGCCACAAAATCCCCAGTCTTTCAACTCTTCGTCTTTGAGCTTGGCTTTTATTGGCTACGACGTAATAAGACCAACTTTGTCTTGTATACCCGGACTTGGAACTGTGCAAGACAAATCACCCGCCACGGCCTATTTCCAACGCTTCGCTGGCTTCTTAGTCAACAGCGCCGACACATGGAATAAGCTTCATGAACAGGAATTCCCGCTTAAGGCGTTCGGCGACTACGACGTTGACATTTAGGTTGAATGCAGCGTTGTCTGTTCCAACGATCTTCACGCTCTCCGCGGTGACTGGGCCCACGTCCTTACCCACCAGCCGTAGGTCGCAGTATGTATGACATTCGATCCCTCAAGAGCGCCCTCAACGACGGATCAGGTTATGATGGAGATGTCAAAAGGTCTAGGAGACCAGTTCTCGTGTAATCGAACTTGTTATAGGCTCCCTCAAGCATGTCTTAGACCCGTGTGATATGATCTAAAGACTTTAGCTGTTCTCATATATGCTCAGATTGAGTCGTCCCTGAGGTGGCATATATTTCAAACCCCCTTGTTTTATGTTCAGCTACTTAGTAGGGCCTGCCCAAGTGGTTCCATCTTCAAGCAATCTCCGTACCTCCGCATCTCCAACGTCCCCACTGCCCACACAGAGTCCAGCTCCCGGAGCAAGATCGGGGCCTGGATCGTTGAACACAGCCACTTCCCGCGTACGTCCCGCACCCACCTCAATCACTGTTCCGCCGACCTTGTCTTCGCTTTCAATGCAGCTGAGCATGGCTTCTGCCACCTCCAGTGGAGTCACCCAAACATCCCTGTTTTCATCTATGTTAGCCAGTTTGTCCGGGTTCTCCGTCCAGAGAGGCGTGCGAACGAAGCCTGGAGCGACTGCATTGACGCGAACTCCGTACGTATCGAGCCCTCCAAGAGATCGCACGAATCCCGATATGGCAAACTTTGAGGCAGCGTAAAGAGGAGCTCTGAAAACGGGGACCTGGGCTGCCACAGATGCAATGTGAATGATGCGCTTGGGGTTGCTCGGGGTAGTCTTGGCCACGATGGGGAACTTGGAGTTCGGCATTGATTTTGGGTATAGCCAGTGCGAAATAGCCATCTGAGTGGCTCGAATCGGATGAGTTAAATTAATGTCCATTAGAGCATAGTGGCCGGACTCCATTGTGTCCTTGCTCTCTCTTGAACCTGGAGGTCTCCAGAAACTCGACCATGTCGGCTCATACACCCCTGCTCCGGGGCACACGATATGAAAGTCGCCAAACTCGGTTAGAGCAGTGTCGAACATGTGGGAGAGTGCTGGCCAGGAAGTGACATCTGTTTCGACGTATATCGCTCGCGGGGACTTATGGCGGGACGCGTATCGAGAGACGAGGTCTTGGGCTTCCGGTCGCAGCGCGAGGTCTGCGAAGATGACATTGCAATTTCGGGACAAGAGGAGTTCTGCGAAGGCAAGATTGATACCTGATGTTCATTTTAGCATTTCCTCGGCCTTGTGAGAGGGTGGCGGTCGTGGACTGACCGGATCCGGCGCCTGTGACGATGGCTGTTTTGCCGGATACCATGAATGGCGCCGCTAATGTTGTTCGTTCCGCCATGATTGTGTAGAAAGGGGTGATGACGTTGTTGTTGTCGTAGTTGTTTGACTTTATGTCCAGTAAATCGCACGTGGACCGCGGTAGGGCGCCATTCGGCTTATGGTGACGTCGTATAAATAGAAACGGTTACAATGATGGGAAGGCATTTGCTAAAGCTCCCCCATGGTGCACCGCCTCATGATTGGTTCGGCTCGACTGCCCTTCCGGAGCATTACAGCCTGTTCCCCGACTTGTGACCCCTTGCGACTAAAACAGGGTCGTTTGACCCCCCGCCGCCTGTCTCCCTCGGCTGACCTGCCAGTATACCTACATAATGCACAAAGCCCGCCCCTCGTGCAGCGCGCTGCTGTTCGTCGCTCCCCACGCTTGTGCAGTGTTCCAGGCCGAGCATGCGGTCCTACTCAGGATGGTAGGTGTGGCGAGGCTCCACGTCACCTGGCCAGCATGTCTAATATGCTGCGACAGCTTGACTTGCCGACAGCGGAAATTGAAATGCGACGAGTCGAAGCCCCTCTGTGATAACTGCAGAAGGAGCTCGCGCGAGTGTGTCTTTCTAGATAGATCTATTTTCCGAGGCTTCGAGAGCCAACCGTCATCGGGCTGCAAGGGACTGTTTGCGGACAGCCAGGTCTGGCTCGAGGTCCCTCCACGACGTAGGTTAGTTACAATCCAGCCAAGACGGTGTACCTACCTAATGCCTAACCATGACGAGTCACATTCATCCATGTTCACGACTCCTATGAGGTCGAGTCTCCTCCGCCTCTGTTGCACCAACAGTCGGAAACGGAAATTTCGCCCCCTGCGTCCGCTGGGGTTTTAGCATCTCGTAGGTCTTTGACCAGAACGAGAGACGTCTTATAGAGCATCAGCCCGGGACGACATCGATACCCATGCCTGTGGGGGAGGATGGCTCGGCATCGACTGGTAGTAGCCCGGAGTGTCAAGCTCGTGAGAACATCATGGTCCTCCGATTATTAAGTCATTTCAAGCACGGCCCAGGCCAATGGTCAGTTCTCTTTAGCTCCAAGGTAGTCGTTGTGTTACGTTTCGCCGCCTGACCATCATGTAGGATGGATGTCTTTGATACTGGAGCCTACTTCTCTCACAAAGCCCCTGTCTTGGCGACAACAAGGCCACTCTTAAAATCTGCCATATGTGCGCTAGCGGCGAAGCATCTGCGGCATATACAACGTTGTCGGGGTTCATGTCATGGCCGGCCATCCCCAGCCTGCCGAGTGCTGTACGACTCATCTCAATCTGATGACAAGGTCGACTGGCAGTACCAATCCGCGAAGCACTACCACAAAGCAATCAGCCAATTGAAGACCGCAGTTCACCTCGGCCACTTTGATACCGATAGCATATCTAGGGAAGAGTTGTTTGCAGCCATTGCAATACTGTGCACATGTGAACTCATGGATGCTCCGGGGACGGCCTGGCGAGCCCACCTCAGTGCGTTGCCGCTGTTTAGCCAGGTGCACGAGCCCGGCTCGTCGCCATGCTCTCCCGTTGTTATTCCACGAGCGGCAATCTCGGGTCCTATATTTTGGAGCCCAGCGAGACAGGGCCTCCTTTGTGCTTGTACGGGCCACCCTGTCGACTTACACCTGAATATCTGACTGACGTTCGTTGCCTACCGAGTTATTAGTGAAACCCAAACGCGGCTCTATCTGGACGACGTTCGCCTATGGCAAAACGCAGGTCTGGTAACGGACGAGAATGGCAGCCCAGTTTCTTTCAATCCTGCAAGTGTAGGGGGTGTCCGTACCACGGCCGATGTTGAGGAGGATACGAGGGGCAATGAGATTCACTGGCTCCTGGGCAAGATCGCTAACTATATCACGTCGGGGGATGCGGTGCACCCAGATGAGTATGTCTTGTCGCGTGAACAGCGACCTTTGATTGGTGTCACTCAAGAACTGCTTCTCGGAAGATGGACTCTTCTGACTCAAGAGCTCCAAAAGTGGCGGCACAGCCTCCCGGAGAGCTTCCTTCCGGCTGCTAGAACTAGTATGGCAGACCACTCCCCTGATGCCGGGTGCTTGGCAAGATTCGAGCAAATTTGGTACCAGGTTCCCGTCTGTGCAGCGACAATGCAGAGCTACCATATGGCCTGCATTCTTCTCCTTGTCAACGAGCCCCAAGAAGCCATCGCCATTCGCTCCACAGTTTCCGCGCGCTTACAATCTTACCGAAGAGGTGAACGCGAGGCGCTACGCCACGCACGAGAGCTTTGTGGAATCAGTCTGGCAAAGTCGTCAGATGCGAACCGTGTTCATTCCGTGCAGCCGCTTTTCGTAGCGGGTCAAGTCTTCGAGGACTCGCAGGACGTCAAGGTGGTTCTGGACCTACTTGAAGAGATTGAGAGGGATCTGGGCTGGGCTACTAGCCATTATGTATCCAAATTGGGAGAGTCGGTTGCGGGCAAGAACGTTGAGTATTTGTTTTTGTGAAGAAGTCAGTTGCCGTTGCCTTGTAAGCACCCCGGCTGATTCATAGGGGAGGAAGTCAAGGAACGCAGCATATTCAAATGAACATGCAGGCCTTGGCAGGAGCTCTGTCTTTGACCATTACGTCGACTTGTGATGAACAGGCAGCCGAGGTTGAATACCTGACACGTCGTTTTTGGAAAGTCACCCGAGCTCTAGACAGTAGGGGAAGCGGGGATGGCGTGCGACATGCCTTCGGCGGCCTACACCATCCCTCACGCAATGCAAAACGGACAAGCCAATGGTTCTTGACGTGTACGAAGGCGGGGACAAAATCATGTCTGTCTACACCATCCTTGCAATATTGACACTAAATTGCCATTCACTTTTGGCCTCTGCTCTCGTACTATATTAAAAGCACCGCTTTTGCACTCCCTATCGAGATCTCCAAAAGTAGTTTTTTTGTCTCAGCCATATCATCGATAAGCTTTTCATCAGGTTCACAGCGCTTGCTGGGCAAGGTCTGTATTGTGACCAGTTCATCATCCGGGCTTGGCCGAGCCATTTCTCTAGCATACGCGCGTGAGGGCGGCCTTCTCGTCTGCACAGATATCCACCACGCATGCTCGTGCAGAAGTCAAATTGGAATGCGAAACTAGCACTCACGAGCTTATCAGAAAAAGTGGCGGGCAGGCTTTGTCCGTCGAGGCTGATGTGAGCAAAGCTGAGCAGGTGGAGGCCATCGTGGAAGCGGCTGTAGCTGTATACGGGCGAATTGACGTGTAAGTGTCTGTTTGCACCACGAACCTTAAAAGAATGATGTTTGGTGCTCAAGTTCTGACATCACTGGAGTCTGGTCAACAACGCAGGCATTTCAGTCGAGGCAGGCCATGAACCACTCAGAGCTCATGAGACGCCCGAGGATTGGTTCGACCTTACTATGGCCGTCAACGTCAAATCATGCTTCTTGGCCAGCAAGTACGTTCTTGCCCAGATATTAAAGCAAGACAAGTCGTCTTCTGGGGACCGTGGATGGATTATCAACATGTCGTCCATCTATGCTTGATTGGGGGCTATCATAACGGTGCGCTCAATTATATTCCCCAGCAGCACTTGCCACAAGAAGAATAGCTCACGATCTTTGTTTAGTTGCGTATGCTACCTCCAAGGGGGCGGTTTCGGACCTGATGCGACAGGTTGCTTTGGATTATGCCCAGGATGGTATTCACTGCAACGCAATTTGCCCAGGCTGTATGTCACGTCACCCACCCTTGATTGCGGCTCTAGCTAACATGAAGTTAACCAGTCATTGATACAGCAATCTTTGTAAACCTACTCAAAACGAGGAACGCCGAAGGCATCCGGGCACTTCATCCGCTGCATGGTATTGGCACCCCTGAGAATATAGTTGGTGCGGCCATTTTCCTTGCCAGCCATGAGGCCGCATGGATTACCGGTGCTTGCTGCCAGCAGATGGAGGTTTCACGGCCCAGTGACGACTTGTTCGAGCTGAAGGTTGCAGACACAAACCCATAGTTTTGGGATCGGTCAGAGATTACTCATCATTAACTCGAAAGTATCCCTTAGTTTAACCTGAGTGTCCCTCAGTTTATTAGCCCAAGAGTATCCCTGTGTCGACGGGTGTGAGAGGCAATCCGAGTTGGTGGCGTGTAGTTACCTACTTGTTCCAAAAATCCTCTTAGCTTCGCGGACGAGTTCCCACTTCTCGTGGTGCATCATTAGAAACGAGTCCCAATATTGACCATCCCCGGATCACTCCATAATTTGCGCAGTGTCGAGAAACCGAGAGCTAGGCTCGGATATTGGGTTGGATCCCCAGTTTCTCTTCCAGAGCGTGGCTCTAGAGCACGATATTCCACTTCCCATGCAGAGACCGGATTAGGCTGAAGGCCAAATACTGCAGCTTCTCGAGCTTCGAGATGCATAACGGAACCCATAGCCGTCTCGATCGTGTCTCTAACGGCGCCCTGTTTACTTTCCAAGTAGCCTTCAATATTATCTGCGACTGTTCAAACGTAATACGCTCACTGAGGCCATTCTCCATGCCTGTGCGGGCAGTGGAAGCAAGAACCCTGCCGACGGTCATTGGGTCCTCATTGTTCCAGTCGTTGGCAGAGAAGATGATAATCAGCGCTCGGAAGAGCGACTGAAGGACATGCAGCTAGGGGTGTTTTATCTTGTCCCGGCCCCATCGCCTCCCATCGAGAAGACCAGCAGTGGCGAGCCTCTTTTCGTAGGCCTGACGGCGCGCCCCGAGCTGGGCACAGAGGGCGTTATTTTAATGAGACGATGTTGTTAATGTTGGATTGCGAAGTCGGAAAACCGGACGAGCAGAGTCCAGGGGTGCGATGAATTTGCAGATGAAGCGTTGGCGTTCAATCTCGCTTCGAAAGAGGCGGAATCATATACGATAAATATAATTATGAAGAACCATCTTGAGTACTCTATGGGGGTCTGGGAAGATGTATACCGGCACCGAGATGTTGCACGTGTCGAAGTCGTAGTCTTCTATCGGGGGTAGGAGATCGATGACCGAAGGACAATACACCTGCATGACGCCATACAGGTAAATGTGGTGCCTGTGAGCGCCATCCAAGTCAGTGCGGAAGAACCATACGATTTCGTGTTGTGTAAATTCGTCGAGGCTGACTGGCTCTCCACGCGTTGGGTGCTGGGCCTGGGGAGAAGGCATATTTGCGCGATTTGGGAAATGACGATGCGCATAATGATGGTGTTGTTTACGGCAAATGGGGCTGAGAATAGGAGACGACGTTTTTATAGAATACCGAAGCCACTTTGTTGCACAGGAAGAACTTATAAGCTGTGTACGGGACTAGGTTAGGCTAATGACCCTAACAAAGGACTGCTGCCTCATGTCCTTTTATGTGCAGTACAAGGTCTGCGCCGAAAGCTATCGCAAAAAATGAACAAGAAGATTTCTAACTTTATATTAACACTGTTATCGAGGGCCACGAAGCAGGTGACTCTGGGGTCAGCGCGGTCAGGGCACAAACGCAAGCCCCCCTTTCCCTTGCCCCTTTACAGCAGGACGTATAATGAGCACAACTTATCTATAAAGAATTTACTTGCCCCTATGTATATTATCTCTCTAGGGACTTACGTAGTATGCATTACTATAAAGTCTCGTAGTATCCTATTGGGAAGAGAAGAAGTTTTATTATTAAATATGCCTACCAATGAGCTCTATCACTCTTTGTTCCACTGTTGAGCTCCAACTTGAGAAACACAAAGTCCACGATAATATAACCGGTATAGAGGCGGGGAACAGATCAAAATTTTGGGAGCCATTCTATTATTTTCTACACTCTACTGCTATAAAACAGACAAAGAAAATATATATCATCTATACTTATCGGCTAAGCAGATTAACCAAATCCCCCAGCTTCGGCCTATCAAGAACGCTTTCCATATCAGGGTCGCCTATGCCATCTGCTTGCAGCTTTGTATATACGACTGCTGCGGAAACAAGATCTCCCCCCAATTCAAAGAAATCGCTATCATCGTCCAGATTCAAAGCGATCCCCTGCGGTAGCTCGAGCACCTCCTGCCACGCAGCTACTACCGCTTTCTTGATTTCACTCCGCCGATCAAGCCCTGGCCAACTTCCATTCACCGTGTTGTTGCCATTGGTATAGCGCTCTGACGGAGCCGGCCCTATGCTCAACGGAAGCGCTTCGTCTCCTCTGCTAGCCATCGTCTTCAATAGTGCCCCGACCTTGGCTTCGGGCCCGGCGCAAATCGCTTGAAGAGTCTGACATAGGAAATCCACCAACAACCCCCCCAACTCCTCTCCCACGGCGCGATCCGAGCAGATCAGTAACACTTCCGTCGTTCCATCACCCTGCGGCGTGGTCTTGATCGCCACGTCCGCCTCGTCCGCTTGAGGACAGAAGAATCCGACCTCGTAGTCAACGCCGCGGACCGCCACATGACTCGCTTCCTCGATGTTCTGGTGTTGCACGATACTGCTGAAGCGCGTGTGCGGAGCCCATGGTGCACACTGACGGACAATGGTCCGAGTGCCGACAACAGCCTCGTAGAGCAGGCCGGCGGCGTGTTGGGCCTGTACGGCCTGCAGCAGCTGCGAGACGCTCAACTCTGGATCAGTAATCGCAACACGCACTGGCACAATGTTGATGCAGGCGCCGACGACGGCAGAGATGCCCAAGTCGAGGTCGAGGGTACGACCGGAGACAACGTGGCCGAATGTGACATCGCATGTAGAGGTGAGGGAGGCAAGGACCAGAGACCAGGCTGCTTTGAGGATGGTAGCAAAGGTGGTGCCGCAATTCGCCAGCGAGGCCGTGGGGATAGTGCGGCGAAGGTAGGTGTTGTAGACGTTTTGGTGCGAAGGCTTGGTGTGCGCGACGAGTCTCGTCATGCTGGACCCCTTGAGAAGGGAGCCCCAGTACTGGAGCGCCTCGTCCTGGTCTTGTGAGGAGATGGCTCGCATAAACGTCGACATGGGCTTTACAGGCGTGGGGTTAGGGCGACCCTCGAGCGCGGCGGCCAACGAGTCCCAGAGTTTCGGCAAGCTGATGCCATCGTACTGTGCATGTGAGATGCGTAGCACGATTCTATGGCGATTACCGGAAGCTTGGATGATGATAAACTTGAGCAGAGGATCCGTCAGCTTCGTGGGTAGGCTCATGTCCGATCTGCAAATCTGATCGGTGAAGTTGGCAATGTCGGTGCTAGTCAGGTGCTCCTCAACCTCGTAGCGGAGCTGCTTGAGCACAACCTGAACGATGTCGGCACGGTGCAGAGCGAAAACGGTGCGAAGAATCTCGTGCTCCGCCACAAACGCTCTCAATGCCTCGTGAGTGGCCGCCATGTCGAGGTGTCCCGTGCCGTCTAGCCACAGGTAGTTTCGAAGTCCGCGCGTCTTCATCAAAGCGTGGGCAACAGCATTTAGCTGAAAGTCGGTTGCGGGGAGAACATCTGCAATATTAGCCTCGGACGTCTTAATTTGAGAGGCCACTGCCCTGACAAGCTTGATTGGGTGTGTGCTGGTGATTAGAGACAATGGCTGATATCTTTGCGTGTCATTGGGCCTGACTGGTAATCGGCTCTCGAGCGCCTTGGCCATGTCGGACAGCACGGGGCTGTAGAAAAAGTCCCGGACATGGAGAGGGATCTGGTGCTCGCCAGCGGCAGCGACGAGCTTCATGGCAAGGATGGAATCGCCGCCAACGCGGAAGAACTGGTCTTGAGTGCCGATAGTCGGAGGGTCCACGCTCAGAGCCTGTGCCCACAGGTCACGCAGGGCAAACTCCATGTCCGTTGCAGGCACTCGTTTTGTTGAGGACTCCAGCGTGAACTGGAGCATCCGTTTGTGACCAAGATTGGTTACCAGATCTCGCAGTCGACGTCTATCCACTTTCCCGTTTGCCGTCAGTGGAACTTGGGCCATTGGGACGAACATGTTCGGTTGCATGTGGAATGGTAAGACCTCGGCAATCGAGGCTTGCAATTTCATGAGGTCCTCCTTGAGTTGGTCATCCAGGGGTAGTACCTCATCGGAGCCGCTACTCTTTGCCGTCACATGGAGGAACGCAACCACGGCCTGTCTGCTGTCGAGGCTCACCGCATCGACGGTGACATGGGTCAGGCTGGGCATTTGGATGCGGATCGCGTGTTCGATTTCTCCAAGCTCGACTCGCTGGCCGCGAACTTTGACTTGGGTGTCTTTGCGGCCCACAAAGTGAATAGTTCCATCCTCATTGTAGCGGACCAAGTCGCCGGTGCGATAGAAACGGCGAGGCCGGCCCGGTGTACTTCCGTCTGCCCAGGCTGGATTATAGATGAATGTTTGAGCCGTCTTGTGCTTGTCGTGAAGATAGCCACGAGCCACGGTGGGACCTTCAAGCAGCAGCTCGCCTGTGCAGCCGATGGGCACCAAGCGGTTATGGTCGTGAGCGTCAGCGACCCAGTACAGGGCGCCGATGGCTTCGCCGAGGTCGGCAGGGTCGCTTGTCGCAGTGGCGGGTGGCGCTCCGGAGCAGTACACGGAGCACTCGGCGGGCCCGTAACAGACAATCAGGTCCAAAGAACGATGCCACTTGGCTATTGTGTCTTTGGTACTTGCCTCGCCGCCGAGAACCAGCTTCCGAAGACTCGGTATCCCATGCGCCGGCAAGAGCGAGGCCACAGTCGGGGTGAGGAACGCCCAGTTGCACCGAAATCGGTTGATGGAACCGGCCAGGTCGTTCAGCCGGTCGTGCTCAGAGGGAACGCAGATGCAACCCCCTCTCTGGAGAGTAGTAAAGATGTCGGCACAACTGACGTCGAACGTGTACGCCGCAAACTGGAGCAGGCGTGTTGAGGGACCTATGTCCCACGCAGTGCCGTGGGCTTGAGAGCTTGAGCACAGGTTGCGGTGCTCAACCACAATGCCCTTGGGGCGACCGGTGGATCCGCTGGTGAAGAGGACGTAGGCAGTAGACGACGGATCAACCACTGGCAATGCAGTCCAGGATGGCTTGGTAAGACGGCGGTAGAACATCTTGTCGATGGCTACCAATCTTACGCCCTTGACGTCGCTGAACTTACTGTAGAGCTGAGACGCGACAAGTAGAACCTTGGCGCCGGTATCTTGGAGGATGAGCTCCTGGCGACTCATCGGATATGAAGGATCCAGATTGACGACGGCGCCACCTGCTTTCATGATGGACAACTGTGTCACGATAGCCCAGCGAGACTTTTCAAAGCAGACCGGAACCAGGATTTCGGGGCCGACACCTTGTTGCTCGACGAGGTGTCGGGCACAATTGGTGGACAGCTGATCCAGTTCGGCGTATGTCAACTTGCCATCCCATGCATCTACAGCAAGGGCATCGGGTCTGCGGAGAACTTGCTGCGCGAAGACTTCTGGTACCGTTGTCTCCAAGGCCTCTGGGTACGTCGAATTCCAGGCCAGGATTTGACTGAAGTCGTCCTTGGTGAGCATGGATATGTCTCGCATCTTGGTCGCTCCGGTTGCCTCGTTGAAACCGTGCAGGACGTGCTCGAAGTGTCTGAGTATCCGCTCGGTCTGGCTGCGAGAGATGACCGCTTCGTCGAAGCGTGCATTTAGGCGCACTTCGGTTTCGCCGAGGCTGCATTCCATGATCAAGGGGTATGTGTCGAAGCTATTGAGAGGCTTCGACACTTGCTCGGCACCAAGCAGCTCGGTGTGGTCAACGTGAAACTGCTTCATCGGCTGCACGACCAAGATGTTCTGAAATTTGACGGCTTGCGATGTGTCCTGGTTGATGTTTGCGATGTTCTGCAGACCAAAGTGCTCAAAGCGCATCATCTCTGTCGCTTGTTGCTGGACCGCCTTGAGAAAGTCAACCACGGTGCCCTTGGCCGGTACGCTGACTCGGACGGGCACGGTAGTGATCGTAGGGCCCACGATGGTGTCGATGCCCTGGACAGGGCAATTGCGTCCCGAGAGGGTCATCCCAAATAGGACATCGTCTGCGTCTGAGTGTTGAGCGAGGACATAGGCCCAAGCGCTTCTCAAAACTGTCGCCATCGGAACCTCTGAGCCCGGCTGGCGGCTGATCGGGACGCTGTGATGGACTTCCTGATCGACCCGTGGTGGATGGGACGATGATGGTGGCTCGGGGAATGTGACAGCCTTTCCTGCTGAAAGCTGGGATTCCCAGAAGCCTCGAGCCTCGTCTGTGCTCAAGGTCGAGACATGTTGGACGAAGCGGTTGAAGCCTGGCGTCGCCGGGGCGGTGCCGGAGGCGTAATATGAAGTAACCTGTTCGAGAATCAAAGGTACTGTCCAGCCGTCGTACATGGAGTGATGTGCGGTCCAGATGAAGTAGCCGTCGTCGGTCATGGCATAGCGGGAGAGTGGTTTGCCAAAGGCCATCTCGTCCTTCTCGTCGTCTTCCATGTACTGCCGCAGAGTAGCAGCTTCTCTCCACTTGAAACAATCTTTGAGCACGACCTGAACCGCGCGCCCGGCTTTGGTCTGAATGATGGTCGTTCGCAAGACGGGGTTGTTGTCAATCGTCTTCTCCCAAGCGGCCTTGAAGCGTGCCATGTCGATCGAGTTGGGAAGCTTGAAGGCCTTGTGCGCCGTATATGCCCCAGGATACAGCATCGAGAGCGCCATGAGACTTTCCTGGAGAGGCGTGCATGGGTAGGCATCGGCGACTTGGTTCTCGGACACGTTGCACTTGGCAGCGAATGACGGGCGCGCGTCTTTGACGGAAAGGGTGGATTTCAGAAGCTCAAAGGGCTTCACGTCGACCATGGTGTTGGCGGTTGATGCATCTTTGGCTGCTACGACGGCCATGTCCGAGAGCGTCGCATGGCGAAAAATGTCCGAGACGGTGAGAGAAATGCCTGACGTGAGTTTAGCTGCGAGCTTCATGGCGGCTATGGAGTCGCCGCCCATGCGGAAGAAATTGTCGTGCCGCCCAATGCGCGAGACGGGCAACTTGAGCACCTCGGACCATAGTAGGGCGAGTCTTGTTTCAGTCGCAGTCACCAACGGCTTCCTCGATTCTTGAACGGGCGAGAACGTGCCGAGGTCCTCTTCCGACATGCTAGCAACCGCGTCACGAAGCGCCTTGCGGTCGAGTTTGCCGGCTGCTGTGGTAGGCATCTTTCCCACGGGGATATATAGCGACGGCACCTCGTAGGGGGGAAGCAGCGTCCCAAGGATCCCTTGAAGTCGAGCGACGTCGCCACGTAAAGCATCGGTCAGAGGCAGCAGCATCTGGCTCTGTTCCGGTTGATTGGCATGGCGGAAAAAAGTAGCAACAGTTGCCCTCTCCTTTTCAGCCAGCGGAAACACCACTTCGACGCTGACTTGAGACGCCTGGGGGAAGCTGGATTTGACATGATACTCGATCTCGGACAACTCGATTCTCTGGCCTCTCAGCTTGACTTGTTGGTCCTTTCGGCCGAGGTAGGTTATCGTGCCATCGGAATTGTAGCGAGCCAAGTCGCCGGTATTGTATACCCTCTGGGGCCAGTCCTGGAAGCCTTTGAGAAAGGCTGGATTGTCGATGAAGACACTATTTGTCCTGGCCTTGTCATGCAGGTAGCCTCGAGCAAGGGACGGACCCGATAAATGGAGCATGCCCACGGCACCGATAGGGGCAAGCTGAGTGGCGTCTTGAAGACTCACGATCCAGGGCTGAGATCCAACGCCTCTGCCTAGGACATCATGACCGTCTCGCGGATCCTCAAACGTCTTCATCAGGGCGAAGACGCAAGTCTCGGTGGGCCCATAGCCATTCATGAGCCTGACCTTGCCCGTCCAGGTCGCGATATTGTCCTGCCCAAGTGCCTCGCCACCAAGGACCAAAGTCTTCAGGGTAGGAACCTGGTCTGGCGCGAGGATGCGCACAAGCGACGGCGTCATGAAGGCCGTGTTGACCCGCTTCCGGACCATGAAGCCGGCAATGTCACTCATCCTCTCCTCGTCGGATGGGACGCAAACGCACCCTCCGTGGGCCAGCGTTGTGAATATCTCGAATATGCACGCGTCAAAGGTATAGGTGGCGAACTGGTACATGCGCGTCGCCGGACTGCATCCTATCTCGGCGCCATGATGAAGAGTGCTGCTGCTGACGGCAAGGTGTGTGAGCACGACGCCCTTGGGCAGACCGGTCGATCCGGACGTGAACAGAACATAGGCCACATTCGCTGGTGAGACCGGAGGCTTGGCCGGTGTGATTGATGAGCTTGACCGTTCCGATGGCCGTGAAGACAGGGTTAGGACATTGTCGACCAAGGTCTGTATCCGTTGAGCTGTTGTCTCTGATGCAAGGACAAGACAACTGGCCGTCTGTGAGATGATTGCTCTGAGCCTATCGTCGGGATGCGCGGGGTCCAGGGGCACGAATCCCGCCCCGGCCTTCATGATGCCGAGCATGGCCACGATGGCCCAAGCACTCTTTTCGAAAGAAATGGGCACCAGTGAATCGACTTGGATGCCCAAGGCGACCAATTCATGTGCAAGCTGCGTGGCCTCGGTGTCCAACTCGCCGTACGTCATTGAACCCTCGGACGAGTCAATGGCAACAGCATCAGGGCACTTATTGGCATTGTCGGCAAAGATTTCATGTACACACTTGTTGATTGGGGCCCAGGGCTCGGCGTTCCAGAGCGCGATCTGCTTTGCGTCTCGCGTGCCGTAGAGGTTGAGATGTCCGACCTGGGCATGGGGTGTTTCCACAATCGAAGCCAAGACGTTCGACAGTGCGCTTGCAACGTTTGAGGCCTGACGGTCGCAGAGCTGGTCCGTAACATAGCTCATGTGCACGTGAATACCATCTTGGCTGTCAGAAATGCTCACTGACGCGCTGTACTCTGTGGGATCAACACCATCCAAGTGACGAAGACGAAGGTCGCCGATGCTCAAGTCGCCGTGAGAGCGCCTCTGAAAACTAAGGACGGTGTTGAACAGCGTTTGGCCAGCCAGGCCTAGCTCGTGCTGTATCTGTGCGAGGCCAACATGTTGATACGGGAGCGACTTGAGGTACTGTTCCTGAAACATGACCAAGCTGTCGTCTACCTTGTGCCGGCTGATGTGGCCCAAGTCGACGGAGCAAACGAGCATGTTAATAAAAGCTCCAATAGCGCCTTCAATGCCTGGGACAGGAACCTCTCGGCCAGACGCCAGGTAGCCAAAGCACACATGATCGTCGCCAACGAAAGCCCCCAGGACCTTTGCCCAAGCCAGCCGGAAGATGCTGGCCAGCGTGACATTGTTCTCTTGACAAAAGCTGCGCATTCTGGCAGCGCTTGGGACTTCAATCTCCACTTCATGGAACAGGCGCTCTGGCGCCAGCTCTCCGTCAGTAAGAGTTGGTAGGTGGCATGGTCTGACATTGGCAAGATAGCTTTTCCAGTGGTCTATGGCATCGTCCCTGGGCCGAGAGTGAATGTAAGCAATGTAATCGCTGTACACGGGGCTGGGAAGGGCCGCAGATTTGTCCCGATACGCATCAATCCATTCCGAGACTAGGATGGACGTCGAGGTTCCGTCGACGAGCGCATGGCTGATTTCGAGTTTGCAAACCACCCGCCCGGACAGTGTGTGGAGCAGAGTCATGCAGTGGGGAGGCTGAGCCAAGGCGTAGTCCAAAGCCTTGGCTTTCTGGAGATGAGAAACGGCTTGTTCAGGCTGATTCTCCCGTACAACCATCTCTGCCGTGTGCTTCTTGAGCACCAGTTGATCATATGGCCGGTCAGAGAGGTTCTGGACGAACACCGTCCTCAGTGTGGCATGGCGATCGACGACCGTCTGCCACGCTTTTGCCAGTTTCGGAACATCAATGGCCTGTCCATGGGTCGAAGAAACTTCAACCACCATCTCCACGTTGTAGGCACCTTGGATGCGGTTCTGGCTGAGCAAAATGCCCTCCTGCATCGGCGAACAGGGCAACATGTCTTCCACATCGTCGACGGCTGCAACGGCAACCAAGACGTCGTTCTGAAACCTCTCAAGTATCTCATTGGTCGTGGAAAGAAGCGGGAAATCGCCAGGAGTCAGCATCGGATCCGCTATCTTCAATTCATGCCCCATGTCAACCAATGTCCGCGCGTAGGAAGTCGCCCACCGCTCCATGAGAACCGCGTGCTTCATATTACGGTTGTAGGTGAGGGTGAAGTGTGCCGCGCCTTCAAGGACGTACGCGTTGATCTCCATCAGGGCAAAACGGCTGACCTGGGGGCCCACGTCACCCTCGTTGAACGGCTGGGGATGGAAGAGACTGTCGGATTGAGCCTGGCCCTGGTAGACTCCGTGATAGTTGAACAAGATCTCGACCGGCCAATGCCCTTTAAAGGCCGTCTTCCCCTCATCATTCGACAGCGCCGAGTTGAAGTAAGCCCACCCACTGCGCGGCAGACATCTTCTCTGATCCTTCAGCCGACGAACAGTATCAAGCATGCTCATTCCTGCTCTAGGCGAGACTTGGAGCGGAAACATGGTCGTGAACCAGCCGACAGTCTCGGTAATGTCCATTTGTGAGTCCCACGGCTCTCGTCCGTGGCCTTCGTTGAAGATTGCTGGCGGAGGACGCGAGAATGTGGCGGCGAAGGAGAAGAAGGCCGCGGCCAGGAAGACATCCAGGGCCTCAGTCTTCATTGATCGGTGACATCCACGCAGCAACAAGTCGGTGTCTTTTTGGTTGATTGCGAAGCTGAGCTCAGCCGTGTCGCCTCGCAAGTTGGGTTTGTTCTCCATGCCCCAGTAGCCGTAGTCGGCGTCAGGAACCTGGTGCGGGAGCGAAGTTTGAGGGCGGAGATGGCGACTGCCGTAATCGGCTTGGGCCTTTACCCAGGAATGAAATGGAAATGGCTTGGTACCAGGCAGTTGGTTTCCCAAAGTCAAAATGTCTTCCATTTGCCTGATAATGGTCCTCCATGACACCAGGTCAACCACGAGATGATGAGCAACCACAAACAGGAGTTGATGTGATGCATCCGAGACGTTGAAAAGCTCTACCCCAAACACTGGCCCGTTGCGGATATCCATCTGCTCCTGGGCCTTCTTCGCAATGAAAAGAGCATCCTCGCGCGATTTGACGTCATGAGTCCCAATGCGATAGCTTCCGGCGATCTGAGAGAGGACCATCTGCGACCATACGCCATCCCTGCTCTGCAGGAAGCGGGCACGAAGCATTGGATGATGTTCGACGACCTGCTGAACCGCCCTGGCTATCGCCGCAGGACTTTGCCTTGTCTTGACCCCAAGTAGAAAACTCTGGTTAAACTGGTTCACCTGGGCATCGAGCGAGCCTTTGGTCAGCTCTGAGAAGTACATAGATTGGATTGGTGAGAGTGGAAAGGGGGCATCCAAGAGTTCTTCTTGTCGAGGCTCGCGCGACGCCACAGTCTTGACCGTCAGCGCGAGCGAAGAAATAGTCTTGCTCCGCATAATGTCCTTGACCGCCAGCTTGATGCCCTGCTTTCGGCATTGCACCACGAGATGCATGGCCAGAATTGAATCGCCACCCAGGTTCAAAAAGGACTTGTTGCGGCGGACTTGATCGAGTGGGACATTGAGCACGGCGGAGATGATTTGCTGGAGACGCTTCTCGTCCGGCACGACAGTCGCCTCGGCGGGTTGCTCCTCACCGATGTCGAGAGCATCGGAGTAGTCGTCGTTGGAAAGGTCCTGGACCCAGCGACTTACTCTCACGCGGTCCATCTTCCTGGACGCGGTCAAGGGGAAAGCTTCAAGTAGGAGCCACACGCTGGGTACCATGTATCCCGGGACAAGACTTCGGAGCTGCTCTCTGACCTGTGCGACTTGCGCTGCAGCCTTGATCTTGGAGGGCTTGTCAGTGATAGTGCAAGGCTCCTGCAAGGCCATCGTCTTCTCTGAGAATTCCGAAGGTGCAACAACCGCGACTAGCTGGCGCCTGCAGGGGCCACTCTTTGGCATTAGGACAACGGCGTAGCGTACGAGATGATGCGACACAATGTGTCTTTCAATCTCACTCGTCTCGATACGCTGACCATTTAGCTTGACCTGGCCATCGGCTCGGCCAACGTAGATCAAGGTCCCATCGTCGTGGTATCTGACAAGGTCGCCAGACCGATACATGCGACATGTCGTCGCAGTAGAGCCACGCCAACGAGGGGGAGCGATGAATGCCTGGGCCGTCTTTTCTGCATCCAGATAACCGCGTGCGAGAATTGGCCCTTCGATCAGGAGCTCGCCAATCGCCCCGACCGGGGCCAACTTGCCGACGTCTGCGGTATCGGCAACCCAAAGGAGGCATCCGTCGCCACCATAGCCCCTACTGATTGTTGCAGGCGATCTTCCACGGCCAAGAATGGCCATTGAGGTCCAAATGGTACACTCGGCAGGACCATACGAGTTGATCAACTGCACGTCGTCTTTCCACGTCTTCACAATGTCGTCGGGGACCCGCTCTCCACACAGAGCCAGTGTCGTCAACTTAGGCACGTCTGCTGGCGTCATCGAGCTCGCCACCGATGGCGTGAGAAACGTCCAGTTGACTTCAAGGCGTTTCATTGCCCCGGCCAGATCATTGAGCCGCTCGTGCTCCGACGGAATGCACACGCTGCCTCCACAAGTCAGGGGGCCAAAGATTTCCGAGTTGGATGTGTCGAAGACGTATGCTGCAAACTGGCAGACACGGGATTGGGGTCCCATTCCCATTTCCGGGTTGTGGCTCATGACAGAAGTAAAGGAACTGTGCGTCAGGCAGATGGCTTTGGGCCTCCCCGTCGATCCCGAGGTAAAGCTGATAAAGGCCGCATTGTCGGGCGTACATATCTCCGCTGGCGGCTGTTCTCGGACAGGCAGCTTGTCCAGCAAGGCCTGATCAACAACCACGACGAGCTGGACAGCCTTACTCAACTTGTTGGCGTACTGGGCGGCACTGGTGAGAACTAGTTTGGCCTGCGTTTGCTCAATGATGTTTGCTAGATGCTTGGCAGGGCTGGAGGGATCCATGGACGTATACGCTCCGCCAGCACGAAGTATAGCCAGCATGGCAACAACAGTCCATTTGGACTTGTCAAAGCAAAGGGGAACTATCACCTCCGAGGTCACTCCCAGGTGCCTCAAATGGTGAGCGAGGCAACGAGAAGCCTCGTCGAGCTCGCCATATGTCAGGACACCATCCCAAGAGGCGACTGCTGTGGCGCCAGGCCGGTCAAGCGCATGGCGAGCAAAGTTGTGGTGGATGAGCTGATGCACCTTCTGGGGGGTAATGCCGTTCTTATTCCAGGCAAAGATCTTGCGTCTGTCGGAATCACAGAGGAAATCCAGCTCGGCTAGTGTCGCTGCCGGCTTATCAAGCATCTGATTCAGGATCTGAGACAATGTCGATGCCACCTGACTTCCTTGTTCGGCGGAAAGAAACGACGACCAGAAGCAGATGGAAGCTTCAATGGCAGAGTCGCTCGCAGTGATGCTTACGCTAAGGTCGTATTCGGTCGGGTCCCTTCCTTGGAGGTAGTTGATGCCGATGTCACTCTCCGGCCCGGTGTCCTCTGATAACGGTCGCTGCAAGGAGAGAATTGTGTTGAAGAGGCGGCCACTGGTCAGATTGAGGCTGTGCTGGATCTCCGCCAGTGGTTGGTGCTGATGGGGTAACGCGTCCAGGTAGTCTCTTTGTGTCTTGCGGATTGCATCGAGCACACAGATGTTGTTGGATGCATCCACGCGGCAGACGAGCATGTTGATATACGGCCCTACAGCCTCCTCGATGCCCGTCAAAGAGATGTCACGACCTGAAGCCATGAAGCCCAACAGAACGTCGGTTGAGCCGCTAAACGATCGCAAAACGAGCCCCCATGCAGTCTGCAGGACATTGGCAAGCGTGACCCCGGTTGATCTCGAGAAGGTATGGAGTTTGCCAATAGTCTCGGGAGGGAGGGGAACCTCGACGGTTTCTAGAGTTCTGACTGGGACGTCTCGGTCGTGCAATTTAGGGAACGTGCAAGACTGTGCTCCATCGAGATAGCCCTTCCAGTAGTCCAGGGATTCCTGTCGTGACTGTGTTTGTAACAGTGAGATGTAGTCACGGTACAGCGGGCCAGGAGCGAGATTATCTTGAAGATATGCCGCGGCCAGGTCTTTGAGGATGATGGCCATCGAGGCGCCGTCTATCAAGGTGTGACTGATTTCGAGATTAAAGAAGAGCTTGTCGTTGGTGGCGCACGTGGTGAGCCTGTGAGGAGGCCGCCGGTCTTCGTAGTCGATAGGATCGGTCCATATAATATTATTTAGGGCGGCCAGGTCATCGACTCGCGCCACCCTGGCCGGGGCCTTTTTAAGGACCATCTGTACGAAGAGGCCCTCGATAGAGCCACATTCGATGAAAACCGTCCGTAGAAGGGCATGCCTATCGACCACGCGCTGCCAAGCAGCCTGCAGGCGGTCTGCCGTCACCTCCACGGCATGCTTGGCGGCTGTGACTTGACAAATCACGTAGGGCTTGTAGTTTCCGCTGGTTTGTGCTTGAGCAATTAGTAGCCCCTGCTGCATTGGACTCACAGGATAGCCGTCTTCGACATCCTCAAGCCCCGAGAGTCCCATTATCTTTGCTTCTTGGTCAAGCAAGCTAAGGTCCGCTTTGGACAGCATGGAGAAGGCACCTTCTTCATTCTGCGTTTTGGGAATTGCGCAGTCCTGTACATACTGCTTGGCACCACTGGCAAGCTGGCGAATTGACTTGCTGAGAAGAACGTCCCTGACACTGGTTGTTAACGCATTTGTCCGGCACCGCACCGACACCTGCATCGCTGTAATTGAGTCTCCGCCCAGGCCGACGAAACTCTGGTCCATGGAAACGCTGTCTTGTGCAATTCCCAGGACAGTGCTAATGACGGCGCGCAGGGTCTCCTCGGCGGGCGTCGAAGGCAGCACCACTGGACTGGCAGCGTCCCAAGCCCCTGTTTGCTCCGGAACTGTCTCCAGCCCTTGTACAAACCGCAGCAGTCTCGATCGATCCGTCTTTCCATTGACAGATAGTGGAATCACTTGGACCACCAGCCACGTCGACGGCATCATGTATCCCGGAACGCGCTCCGATAGGTGTGCCTTGGCTCGCAAGATGTCGGCCGGAATCCGTGCAGGGTCCACAAGCTCGACCTCGTTGTTTACGTCGGCAGCTGTCGGTTCGCGGAGGGACACAATGGCCACCAACCGTTGGCTAACAGGGCCGGAATGGGGATAGAGGACCACTGCATTTGCGACGCGGCCATGGCTCTGAATGTGGTGTTCAATGTCTCCCAGCTCAACTCGCTGGCCGTGTACCTTGATCTGGAAGTCTCGCCGTCCAATGAAGTGGAGCGAGCCGTCCAAATTGTATCGAGCCAAGTCGCCAGTGCGGTATAGCTTTCGGCCGGTACTGGCAGAGGCCATCCAAGGGGGATCTGCAATAAAGGCCGCCTCCGTCTTGTCCTTGTCCTTGAGATAGCCGCGGGCAACAATGGGGCCCTCGAGCAGCAGCTCTCCGACACACCCGATAGGGCACAGCCTGTCTGGGCTGCCAACCTCCGCGATCCACGCGCGCGCACCTAGACCGTAGCCAATGTTTGCCGCCGACGTTCCCGCCGGCACAGGGGAGAGGCCAGTCGACCACACGGAGCATTCTGCTGGTCCGTATATGTTGACAAGATGGACCTTGCCGGCCCACATGGCGATGTTTTCGGCTTTTACGGCCTCTCCGCCCAGAGCCAGGACTTCGAGCCCTGGCGTATCCGACGGTTGAAGCAGACTGACGACCGAGGGCGTGAGATAGACGACATTGATGGCCATTCGGTTAATGACTCCAGGCAAATCATCCATGCGCTCTTCCTCGTTCGGGATGCACACTGTCGCTCCAAGCATAAGCCCGGACATTGTTTCCCCGATGCTCACGTCAAAAGTGTAGGACGCAAATTGCAGAATTCGCTGGCCGGGTCCGTACTTCATACTCGGGCCATGGGCGTGCGCGCTACTGACCAAAGCACGGTGTTCGAGTACAATGCCCTTTGGAATGCCCGTACTACCGCTGGTGAAGACAACAAAAGCCGGGTTGTCGGGTTTGGCCGGTGTCCACGAAAGTGGAAGCGACTGATCCGTGGCAAGCTGGTCGAGTGAAGCTTGGTCCACAACGACCCTTTCGCCCACCAGGCCTTCAAACAGTCCCTCGTGGAGTCGCGATGTCACCGCTATCCGGGCATCGCACCGGCCTAGTAGTTCTTCTCGCCGCTTCCAGGGGTGGGCAGCGTCTATGGCCACGCATGCACCGCCGGCCTTCAAAACGGCCAGCTGCGCGACTGGTACCCAGACAGACTTCTCGAAGCTGAGCGGAACGAGGACTTCGGGACCGACGCCACGTACACTGAGATGAGACGCCAGCAACGTGCTAGCAGCGTCGAGTTGGCCGTACGTCAAGGAGCCGTCCCAGGCGTCAATGGCAACAGCGTCGCCCCTCGCGGCAACTTGTTTTTCAAACTCGTCGTGAATACACGTGTAAAAGGCTTTCCAGTCAGCTCCGTTCCACGACAGTATCTGGTTCATGTCATGGTGACTGAGGAGCGGCGCGTCGGCAAACGGCTTTTCGCACCCCTGAATGATGGTGCCAATTGCAGACTTAAAAGTCTCGAGAATATGATTGGCCATGGTAGGGCTGATTCTGGAAGTGTAGTGGCGGAGACTGAGATGGACTACTCCGCGAGCTATTGCGGCATTGATTGAGACGTCGTACTCGGTAGGGTCAACCTCGTCGACTACGCTAAAGGAGATGCTGTCACAACTCGGGTCGCCGTGAATCACGTCCCCCAAAGCGCTCTGGAGCGACATGATTGTATTGAAAAGCGGTTCTCGCAGTCCAAGTTTATGCTGAATTTCGGCCAGAGAGCAATGCTGATGGGGCAAGCTGTTGAGAAACGAGTCTTGGACTGAATTGACAAGCTGGATAAGCGTCTTGGATCCATCGAGCTTGAGCCGGCAGACCAGCATATTGATGTATGCACCCACAGCATCCTCGATGTCGGCAACTGGCGCGTCACGTCCCGAAGACAAGTAGCCGAAGCAAACATCTTCAAGCCCAGTGTAGGCTCTCAGCGTCATGGCCCAGGCACACTGCAAGAGGCTGGCAGGGGTAATGCTGTGGTGACGGCAGAACTTCTGGAGTTCCATCCCAGGTTCGAGTATGGCGCTCAACTCGTTGAGCCTATTCGCGTCTGCAGTGCCGCCTTCGAGGCCGGCCAACTGGCAAGGGGCGAGGTCCCGAAGGTAGGTTTGCCAGTACTCGAGGCTTCTGGCCTTCTGCAGCTGCTGCACGTAGCCGATGTAGTGAGAGAACTTCATCTGCTGGACCTGATCGAGGAGACCGGCATACGCTGTGCCCAGGTCGCGGAATAGGAGCTGGACGGAAACGCCGTCGATGAGGGCGTGGTCGACAGCCGCCATGCAGCGAACGGCGCCGGGTGTCTCGTAGATGATAAAATTGACCCGGGGCTGAGTGCCAGTCGCTACAATCCTGCGGCTCCGCACGTCTTTGGACACGTCTGCCTCGTCCCGACACGAAACGGTTGCGACGTATGGCTCCACGCGCTTCAGTACTACTTGATCGCACGGAGCGTCCTCCAAGATGGTGGGGCTGAAGATGGTCCTGAGGCACGCGTGGCGATTGCTGACGGCGATCCAAGCATGCTTTAGTCGCTCAACGTCGACGGCGCCTCCCCCGGGAACAGAGACTGCGCAAACGACACGTAGTTCATAACTGGCAGATGCTCGCTGCTGGCTGAGTAGGATACCTCTTTGCATGGGTCCCAGTGGGTAGACATCTTCGATCTCATCTTGTTCCAGGGACAACTGTGGCAGCACTTCGGATTTGAATCTTTCCATGTCGTATGAGATGGGGTAAGTCATGGTCTGTCTGACGACGCAATTCTTGGCCCTGTCTGCAAGCTCCGAGAGGGACTTGGCCTCGAGCATGTCCTTGACCGACACGTCAATGTCCGCTGCTCTCAACTTGGCCAGTAGTCGCATGCCCAAGATGGAATCTCCGCCATTGTTGACAAAGGAGCGGTTGAGATGGACGCGGGAAAGGGGCACGTCCAGGACCTCACTGCATAGCTGCTGTATTTGGTGCTCTGTCCGAGTGGATGCCATCACTGCCGACTCTGCTCCGGTGATGGGATTGTACATTGTCTCGTCCATTTCTGCGATCCACTTGGCGACGGCGACTCTGTTCAACTTACCTGATGCTGTTAACGGAATGGATCTCACCAAGATGAAAACAGACGGGAGCATGTAGGCGGGGAGATGTTGAGAGGCATCCCGGGTCACGCGATCGAGCGAGACAGAGCAGAGTGACTTGGTCGTGACATCAAGAAGCTCAAGACCTCGGTCAGTAGTTTCCCGATACGATTCTTTCAAGGCTATGACGGCAGTTAGCTGGTTCTTGCAGGGACCTTGGCGCGGAAGGAACGCGGCCGCCTGTTGCACAAGTTCGTGGCTGGCAATTTGATGCTCAACATCGCCCAGCTCGATCCGTAGGCCACGTAACTTGACCTGGGAGTCCTTTCTGCCGATGAAATGGATGGTTCCGTCGCTGTTGTAGCGTGCAAGATCGCCAGTCTTGTACATGCGCCGTGACTTCCCGAAACGGTTCTTGGGCAGCCAGGGAACGTCATCGACAAAGGCGGCGGTCGTCTTGGCTGCATCTTGGAAATAGCCTCGAGCCACAATAGGCCCATGGACCAGGAGCTCACCTGGAGCTCCGGGCGGGACCAGCCGTCGGTGGTCCTGAGGATCGACGAGCCAACACAGAGCACTTAACGGATACCCAATGTTGGCGGGATCCGTCGTCGTGTTGAGCTTGGGGTTGGCTGTTGCGGCGATGGAGCATTCCGTGGGCCCGTATCCATTGGCAAGTTGCAGATGCGGTGCCCACGTCTCGATATTTGCCTTTGCTAATGGCTCGCCACCGAGTACGAGGAACCTCAGACTGGGAACCTCTGCAGGCGTCATAAGCCTGACCAATGAGGGCGTCAAGAAGGCCCAAGTAACGTCAAACTCTTGTATGCAGTATGCAGGTCCTTTGACTCGCGCTGCGTCTCCCGGAATGCACACACACGCCCCCGTGATGAGAGACGTCACTATTTCGAGCATGCTAACATCAAACGTGAACGATGCCAGCTGCAGAACTCGGTCTGTGGGCAGCATGCCACTGGCTTTGCGCTGCGCATAGCAGCCAGTCAGGAACTGTCGGTGCTCAACGCAGCAGCCTTTGGGCTTGCCCGTTGATCCCGAGGTGAAGATGATGTAGAGCATGCTCGAGGGGGTCACGGCCGACGATACTGGCTCCCTTGGGCGCGGCAGCGAATCAAGCAAGGCTTGGTTGACCACCAGGACCTCAGCCGCCGTCCAGTGCCACATGTCGGCATATTGCGGTGCCGTCAACAGCATTGGGGCCTTTACTTGGCTTTGAATCTCCTGCAGCCTTGCGGTGGGATGAGAAGAATCGAGAAAAAGCACTGCCGCTCCCGCTCGAACCACGGCCATCATGGCAACAACGGCCCAAACAGACTTGGGAAAGCAGAGGAGCACGACCGTTTCGGGACCTATGCCGCGTGACTGGAGATCACTGGCCAGCACTTCGGTCATGACAGCAAGTTCGGCGTATGTAAAAGCGGCGTCGGAGGCATGAACGGCCATGTCGTTTGGTCGCGAGCTAGCTTGTTCCTGGAACAGTTCGCCCACGCACCGGTCGACCGATTCTGGGACCGAGGCATTCCATGAAAAGAGCCTGACAAGACTTTGCGGGTGCACAAGGTTAAGGTCGGAGCAAGACGTGGCAGGACTGCTGATCAGGACCGAGAGTGTGTGTTGGAAAGCCAGGGCAATGTCCACGGCTTGGGCTTCATCAAGGATTTCCCCCGAGTACATGAGCCTGGCGCAAAGTTGCTTCGGTGTGACCTCGAAAGCAATCTGAACATCTATCCCTCTGTCCGGAGGGGTCAAGCATGAGGCAATGCTCAGGGCGGTATTGCAGAAGGGTCGATCATCCGACTTCCGGAACGTTGGTACCGCAGAAATGCGGGAGACTCTGAACGAGTCACTTCGAAAGAGGTCGCGCTGAAGCATCTGGGATATGGAGTTGAGACTAGCCTCATCCTGGACGGATACTGAGCACAGTCGAGATGCAGGGAGCTGTGCTGCATCCAACGAACTGAGGCCAAACGAGACAGATACATTACCAGTATACGTCTTCAGTACAACGGCCCATGCTGTCGCGAGGGCGAGCTCGACGCCGGTCTGCATGCCCTCCCCCAGACGGGCAAAAAGTGTCTCTCCTGAATGGCTCAGGTCGATGGGCACTTTAAAATTGCCTGGCTTTGACGAATTGAACTGAGCCAGAGTGGGAAAGGTACACGGCTCGGCTTCTGCCCGCCACTGTTCCCAGTAGTTTGCGACATCTGCTTCAATGTCTACGGGTGATGGTGAAATCATTGTCGTAGCCCCCCGTCGTTGATGAATTATTTCAAGCCGTCTTGAAATCAAAAAACATGTAGCCAAAGGAAGATTTGTACAGGCATCCGTGCTGGGTACACGGCAATCTGTAAAAGTAAAGACGATGCTGTCGACTGTGACTATCACGTCCGGACGTCGTGCAACTACGTGAGCACGCGTGACGGTGACTGGCTTCTTACATGGAGGCAGGCTCACGCTGACCTTCATTGAGTGCACTGAGCCGACCCACCAGTCAGGGTCCGTAGTAAGCAAGGTCGGTCTACCGTCTAAGAAATGCCGGGTTCAGCGGCAACCGGAAGGATCACTTGAAGCTCACGTTAGCCCACCCATCTGGATATACGCACGCCCACCCACATGTGGCACCGAGCCGATGGTAACATCACAGCTGCTCCACTCTAATCTTAGGCACAGGGCCTGGACTTCTTCGGTGTTAATTCGGCGGACCCCGAACAGCTTGGTAGCATATCGAGCAATATCATAGAGTCCGTGTGATAGCAGTGGAGAAAGAGTACAGGCTTAGCGGATTACGGAGGAGGAAAGAGGGTCTATATCGCAATCTAAATATAAAAGATATGTATATAGATACCATGAAACAAGGTGCTAGCTCTCTAAATAGCCATTAAGCATCATAAAATAAAAGATAAATATTTAAAGAGAGCTTATATTTATGTAGACAACTTACGACTCAGTATAAGAGCCAAATTGAGTAATAAATGAGGATTTTGTTTTTGTTGAAAAACGTATGGCTTTAGTTGATAGCCTTATGAGTAACTACAAATACAACTAAAATATAGCTAACTTTTATTTCTATGGTCTTCTTTCTACTGCGAAGTAGCGAGCTAATAGTTACAACGTTTATATTAATGTCTACGAGAAATCCTCTGCTCGCCCCCTTTGCTCGGTCCCTGAACTGGCAGTCAAACGCGTGACCTGACGAGCTCTACGCATCGCGAGGCTTGAAGTGAAGAAATGGTCCGCTGTCGATTTCTTAGTGTGTGATGCTCGTTATGTCGAAATGTGACGCTTGATAGACTTGGACTTACTCCTTGGACCCTGTGATGTGATCGGCCAGTGGAAACTCTCCGGGCAGGCCCCAGCCCTTCAATGTCTTGTTCTCATCGGCAATAAAAAAGTCGAGCGTGAACATTGCATATGCAATGGTCAAGTTGAGCTCTATCAGGGCCATTCCTCTGCCGACGCAGCTGCGCGTACCAACAGAAAAGGGGCAAAAGGCCGTTCGAGCAACTTCGGGGCTTATCCCCATAGCACCGGCTTCGCCGGGCAGCCAGCGCTCGGGTCGGTACTCGAAGGGCGCCGGGAAGTACCGGGGATTGTGATGAATGGCATAGATTGGCACACCAGCCTGCATGCCCGCGGGTAGCGTCTGGCCGTCGACAGTGGCGCCGCCGGCCTGTACTTCGCGATACAATGATGATCCTGCCGGCGGAGACATACGCAGGGCTTCGTCAATGCACGCTCGAAGATATGTGAGCTTGCTCAACTTTGGTCCAGTCTGAATCTCGTCTGCAGTAGCAAAGGCAGAGCGAACATCATCCCGGAGTCGTTTGTAGGCGTGAGGCGTGCTGGCAAGGTAGAAGAAGACGGCGGCTAACGCCGTCGAAGACGTGTCGGCTCCTGCGACACTCAGCGTGGTGCTCTCGGCCAGGATCTCCTTGGATGTCAGTCCATCGCCGCTGACGGGGTCACGCGCCGACGTGAGGGCCGAAACAACTGTGCGCGCCTTGACGTCGAATTCTGCCTTCATGACACGCTTGACAAGGCCACCGACAAAGTAAAGAAATTGGTTGCGCGCCTCTATGGCCTTGGGGAACAGCCACCGATCGACCCGGCCAATCTGGCGGAGGAAGGGGCTCTGCAACAAGACGCTGACGCGGACGTTGGACTGCTCAATGGCGTTTGGTATGCGTCGATTGGTCGGTGACCCGAGCAGATCGTAGCGGATGCCGAAGACAACGTCGCCCATGATGTCAAACGTCAGCCAGTTGAACCAGTTGGACATGTTGCAAGGCGGTGTCCAGCCATGCTCTCGGCCCTGGGTCGATCGCTGTGGCTGCTGGACTGGGCCCTCTGCCTGAGCGGTCACCAATGCGAAGCACTTCTTGATGTGCGCCATCAGCGTTGGCTCATGAGACCGAAGGGCGGCATCCGACAAGCCCTGCGAGACGATGCGACGCCGGCGAGCATGCTCTTGCGTGTTTATCATGGTCAACGTGTTCGCCGCGCCATGGCGGAGGACGCGGTAGTTTGGGCTCTTTTGGAAATTCACGGTCCCCGAGTATATGTCCTTGAGTGCACCAGCTGTGTTGATGTTGAGCTTGTCTGGCGCGTACCGAACGTATGGTCCTGCACTTGGTGTCAGCCATGCTGTGCATACTTGGCCCTTTGAAGATGCAGACCATAGCGTTCGTGTTGCCTCCACATATCGACGTGAATATCACCCTTCCAGGCATGATAGGCCGCGTAAAAGTCCGTCACTCTGGCCAAGAATGGCCCAGGGTATTTGGAGAGCGGGTGAAAGTACAGACGCCGGATGCATAGAGCCACGACCTGTGAGCAGCGTCAACATGTCTCTACCTCTGGGCCGGAAGTTGGGGGCCGCCTACTAGAATGACACCCAGCATCAGCGATATAGATGCCAGCCGGAGAATGGCAGACATTGCCAGGACCATCGTCTTCATCATCTTGGACGTAGAAGCAACGGGAGTAGGGCAGACTTGCAGTCAAGGTTAGGCTTGGATATTCTCGACGGCGCAAATCAATGCCTTTTGAGGTGCCTTGGTTGGAGAGAGGCTGCAGGTGGTTGGCCGTCCACTTCCGGGCCATGCTCCGAGGCGGACCACATGCATAACTATTAACGGCCGTCCCGAGTAGTCGGCTGACGGGATGCATGTCGCGTGGTGAGCCTCAACCTGGGTGGGGGGCTGGGGGCCAACTGCAGCTGTTCCCCAAATATGCAAAGGGCTTTTGCTCGTTGCAACCCCCCTGGATGCATTCCCAGGGATGCCCTTTGCCTTCGGGGAGTTCTACATCCGCCCGGCACGGCGGCACAGGCCCTGCAGGGGGCAGAGGCGAGGACCCTGCTGCGAGGATCTTCCTGCCCCTAGTTTATTTGAATCTGTCGTTACAGCATCCAACGTGTCCCATACCTTCCATCTCCCAGAGAAAGCGACTGCAAGAGAGTTTGAACCATGAGGCTGCACCAGGCCACTTCCGACGCCGACGTGCCATCTCGGAGAGACGACCAAGTCGCCCGCACACTTCTCATAGAGCTTCTGGCTCATCAGTTTTGTTTCCCCGTGCAATGGATCGACACCCAACACTTGATACTGGGCTCCAGGCCAACAGAGCGCATCGTCGAGATGGGGCCCGGCAACACTCTTGTCAACATGGCCAAGCGAACAATAGCACGCGAGTACGCGCCGCGAGATACTGCCCAAAACGTCTCGCGACAGTTGCTGAGCTTCCAGCACAACCTTGACAAGATATGCTACGACCAAAAGCTGGAATCGCCCGAGATTGAGCCCACGACTGTGGCAGCGACTCCTGCGCCTGCAGACCCTGTGGCCGCTGCCCCCCTTCAGTCCTCGGCCGCTCCGCTGTTTGCTGCTGCTCCAGTTGAAATCCAAGACAAGCCGGCCAGTGCCATCGAGGTTGCCTCGACCATCATCTGTGTTGGCTTGAAGAAGCCGCTAGATGGAATCGACCTGGCCAAGTCGATCAAGGCGCTTTCTGGAGGCCGCTCGACGGTGCAAAACGAGATCATCGGAGACCTTGCGGCTGAATTCGGTGCAATACCAGAGGCCGCAGAGGACATGCCCATTGACCAGCTCTGCTCCATCTTACAAGAGACGTTTCTTGGAAAGCTGGGCGCAAAGTCGTTATCCTTGATCGACAAAATGATGTCGCAAAAGTCCCCTGGAACATTTCAGGATGCTGGCATCCGAAAACACCTGAGGCAGCGATGGGGCTTCGGGCCTGGCCGCCAAGACACCATCTTGCTCTGGGCGGTGACCTCGCAACCACAGTCTAGGCTCCAGAATGAAGACGACACCAAGGCCTTTGTCAACGGCATTGTACACAGGTATACCAACAAGACAGGTCTTGTTCTGCCTGATGTATCAGGCTCGACGGCCCCCGCTGCGGCACAAGTAACCGTCAGCGCCGAAGCCCTTGAGTTTCTGGAAGATAGGCACAAGACCGTCTTGGAGGAGCAGCTCGGGCTCTATGCAAAGCTGCTCGGACTCGATCTCCACGCTCCCGAGGCTGCGCATGCGGCTCTTGGCCAGCGCATATCAGAGCTGCAAGGCCGGTTGGACGAGTGGAACGCCGAACACGGGGAAGCCTACGCATCTGGCTTGCAGGCCATCTTCACGCCGCTCAAGGCTCGCGTCTACGACTCATGGTGGAACTGGGCAATGCAAGATCTCCTGGAACTCGTCTCGATGGCGGCTTCTGCTCATACGGGCGACCCGGACCCGGCCTTTGACCGCTTGAGACGTAATGTGCTGCAAAAAACCCATCCAAGGCTACTATCGACAATGCGGCATTGCGCTGCCACGACCCTGAATAACAGTGTCGCCAAAGTGCTACGCGAGCTACTACCGGAATGCGAGGCGTCCATGGACAAGAAACCAGTGGTTTACCGGGGCATCCAGTCTATGGCCCCCGTGACCATCGTCGAAAGGTCTGGCAAGGTCGTGTATAGCGAGAGGCCGAGATCAACGCCTCGAGGCGCGCTTGACAATGATGACCAACTGCTCAGACTCGGCCGCAAAAGCATCCATGGTTGGGACTACAGTCATGGGCTTTCGTCCGTATTGCACCGTGTCCTGGCCGGTGCCAGAACGACAGGGATCTCCTTGTGCGAATGCAATGTGCTCGTAACAGGGGCGGGGGCAGGCTCGATTGGCTGCGAACTCGTCTCCAAACTGCTCGCGGCTGGTGCCCACGTCGTCGTCACCAGCAGTTCCTACTCACCCAAAGTCACCCGCTTCTACCAGAGCCTGTTTGCTGAGCACGGTAGCAAGGGCTCCAAGCTCGTGCTGGTTCCTTTCAACCAAGGAAGCGTCCGTGATATCGAGGCTTTGTTGCAGTACATATACGACCAAGACGGTCTAGGTATGGATCTCGACTACGTGGTTCCTTTCGCCGCCATCTCGGAGAACGGGCGAGCCTTGGACAACATCGACTCACGCAGTGAGCTTGCTCACCGCATCATGCTCACAAACACCATACGCTTGATGGGGAAAATAAAGCAGCAGAAACAAGCCCGCGGAATTACTATGCGACCAGCCCAGGTGATTCTTCCCCTGTCGCCCAATCACGGAACTTTCGGCAGCGACGGTCTCTACGCAGAGTCAAAGCTCGGCCTTGAAGCACTCTTTGAAAAGTTTCACTCAGAAGACTGGGCCGAGTACCTGCTCGTGTGTGGTGCGCTCATAGGCTGGACGCGAGGAACTGCGTTGATGTGTGATAACGACATGGTGTCCGAGGGCATTGAAGAAATGGGCGTGCGGACGTACACTCAGGATGAGATGGCGCTCCATGTCATGGCATTGATGGACCCAGCCATCGTCACCTTGTGTACTGATGAGCCGCTGCTTGCTGACTTGAGCGGTGGCATGGCTCGTGTTGCCGATTTGAAACATGTCACCATGGGAATACGAGACTCCATCAACCAACTGAGCGAGGAGAGGCGCGCAACGACACAAGAGGCCGAGTTCGTCGGCTGTCGGATGAACCTTGAAGCCCAGCTTGAACCTCAAGCCGATCTGGAGCTCAAATTTCCAGGTCTGCCTGACTGGAATACCGACATCATGCCGCTCGCTGGACAACTACAAGGCATGGTTGATCTTGATCGCGTCGTCGTCGTCACGGGCTTTGGAGAAGTTGGGCCGTGGGGCAACTCGCGAATCCGATGGGACATGGAGTTGAACGGGTCCCTGTCGTTAGAGTCGTGTATCGAGCTGGCGTGGACCATGGGCTTGATCAAGTCACACTCGGGCACCATCGACGGACAAGCGTATTCCGGTTGGATTGACAAAGAGACGGGCAAGCCCATCCCCGACCGGGCGATTCGGGACAAGTACGAGAGTCATATGCTCAAACATTCCGGAATTCGCTATGCGGAGCCCAAGCAAAACTCGCCGTCTTGGAAGGGTCTGGAAGCACTCCATGAAGTCGAGATTTCGAGAGACCACGACCCCGTCGAGGTCAGCAACGAAACCGCAATCCAACTCAAGGCAGCTCATGGCGACAATCTGCATATTGAGGCGACACAAGATACTGGCCGGTCCAGGATCGTGCTCAAAAAGGGGGCAAAAATCATGATACCCAAGCTCCTCAACACCCAACACACAGTCGCTGGACAGGTCCCTTTGGGCTGGAACCCGAGTACTTACGGGATCCCCGAAGATATCATCGCTCAGGTCGACCCGGTGACACTGTATGCATTAGTCGCTGCTGCCGAAGCCTTTCTGACTGCAGGAATCTCGGATCCGTATGAGCTTTACGACTATTTACACATGAGTGACGTGGCGAATTGCGTCGGCTCGGGCTTTGGAGGCATATCTAGCATGCGCAACATGTTCAAGGAGCGATTTCGAGACCGACCGGCGGCAAGTGACACGCTTGCCGAGTCTTTCATCAGCTCCGGCAGTGCCTGGATCAACATGTTGCTCCTGTCAGCTGCCGGCGCCAACAAGACACCTGTTGGGGCGTGTGCCACTGCCCTCGAGTCTTTGGACACGGCCTTTGACTTGATCCAGGCGGGTAAAGCCAAGGTCTGCTTGGTGGGCGGCTTCGACGACATGCTCAAGGAGATTTCGAACGAGTTTGCCAACCTCAGGGCGACAGTCGACGCAGACGAGGATGCCGCAAGAGGCCGAGAACCGGCAGAGATGAGTCGGCCCGCAACCTCAACACGCGACGGCTTCGTCGAGTCAGAAGGTGCAGGAGTTCAAATTGTTACATCGGCGAGCGTTGCCCTCCAGATGGGCCTGCCTATTCATTGCGTCGTTGCATTGACGCGCACAGCCATGGATAAAGCCGGTCGATCCATTCCTGCCCCTGGCCGGGGACTCATAGGCGCAGCCGCCCAGAAGCAGGCCAAGTATGACTCGCCGCTGATGAGCATGGCGTACCGTAGGCGGGCACTGAGACTAAGAATGCAGCAAGCCGCCGAGATGCGCGAGCTGCACCTGTCATACATGGATGACGACATTGCTCAGCTGAAGAGGCAGGGTTACGTTTTCGACGACGGCGAGTATCGCCAACAGCGCCTGGCCAGTATCGAGAACGACGCCAAGCGAGACCACAAGGAGTCTCTCAATTTATATGGCAATCAGTTTTGGTACCACGACAGCCGCATTTCACCGATTCGTGGGGCCCTTGCCGTCTGGGGGCTGACGGTAGATGACATCGACGTCGTTTCCTTTCATGGCACATCGACGAAAGCAAATGAGAGAAACGAAGCAGCCGTAATCAACGAGCAATTCAAACATCTTGGTCGCAAGAAGGGCAATGTCGTGCCCGTCGTGTGTCAAAAGTCGCTTACCGGCCACCCCAAGGGAGCTGCTGGAGCTTGGATGCTAGACGGCTGCATGCAGCTTATGCACGATGAACGGATTCCGGGCAATCGCAACGCCGATAACATCGAGGCCGCGTTGCAAGAATACGATTACCTCGTGTTTCCCAACAAGCCCATCAACAAGACGGAGATCAGGGCCTTTATGACGCAATCATTTGGCTTTGGCCAGAAAGGCGCCCTGGCTATCGGGGTGAATCCCAAGTATCTCTACGCGACAATGCAGCAGCATGAGTTTGCGGCATATAGGCAGAAACTCGGGTTGCGCCAAAGAAGGGCGACCCGGGACTTCCAGAAGCGTCTATTCAACAATAGTGTGTTTCAAGCAAAGGAGAAGACTCCCTACGCAGCAGGCGAGGCCGTCCGGACTCTTCTGGATCCAGAGGCAAGGTTTGTATCCTAGTTTATTCATTCTAGAGGACAGGTGTGTCTTGGAGACTCTCGCGAAGGGTTGGCATGGTCACATTAGATAGTAAACACGAATAAGCGGGCCTTGCATCTCTCCAGACCGTGTCATCAGCCAATTCCTGGCTCTTACCAGTTCCGTCTTTGCTTAATCTCGGGCCGATAAATATCGACACATTAGGACCATGACTGTTACACCATCCCACCAGCACGGATCGGCCAACTTTCGCAGATAGACGGAGGCCAAATGAGGGTTTACATCCGTGACTGCAACTGACATGTACAGTAGCCAGGCAGGACAGTATATCACTACAGCGACCCCTACAGTGTCCGCATCGTGATTGGGCGAGCATCGGAAGGATCTGTCCGGCTACTGCAGAAACCGCAATCGTGTGCGTTCGGCCACCTCCATGCGTAAGCGGCATGACCTGACCAGTTGACCACCATCTACAGATGGTCGCTAAATAGCGCACATGTATAGACTTGCATGTGAATCTCCATCTCCATCTTACACACTAGGCAAGGGTCACTGAAGGATGAAGGAGTCGGCGTCGCAACGCTGCGCTATATACGGAGTATATCGACCAACTATTATTGGTCCCCGGATATCTCGTATCGTGCGGTGTTTCGAAAGCTTCTACGCAAAACCTACCCTATACTAGCCTATTTTCTCAAAATAGAAATATTAAGAACTTATTACCAACGTCTTCCGGTCCTATCTTACGTCAAGTACTTTTTCTTCATATAAGACCTAAGCTGGATATAGAAACCGCGTGCTGAGATAAGAGCAGAGCTCATTGCATACACACATGCTCCCATTTACACAGAAACCCTGCTGATAACACGATGGGTTGTATGGATTAGGAATGCTCACGCTTACATGTGCCCACCCTACCCCCGCCCCGCCCCTGGTCCCCGGCCCCCGGCGCGGGGCCGAAGTGGTGGGGAAGGCCTCAAGTTCCGACATTCCAAAGTTCCTCCCCGGACGTCGATTGGCTGAAGGCGTCCATACTCCCTTTGGCCTGTAAGCTTCTAGAAGCTAGGCCAGCCTTGTTAGTACATCCACCATCATATCCGTTGTGGGCGTCTATTCCACCCTGATCTTGCCCCTGCCTTGGACCTACGGTTCCAGGTTGTGTATATCAGCCAGTATTGGCTTTCCGTGCAGCTTGTGTATGCCTTTGTTGACCAACCGAAAAGTCTGCTGATTATACCATTGTATCGGGGTCCCGCTCTTTCCAAACCACTTTACTGGGACATTGACACACAGCTGGCTCCCAGACCAGCCTTGATGACCGTCAACATGTACGCAGGAGCGTCCAGGCCGTCAACAAAATCGGAAACGGCTTCGTTGGCAGAGCAAACGGCAAAGGCCTACGCCGTCTTTGGCGGCCAGGGCAACACGACGGATTATTTCGGAGAGCTCCGGACTCTATTCAGGACGTATACACGCTTTGTTGAGCCTCTTTTCATCACGGCGGAACAGGCTTTGCACAATCTGCTGGCCGACACCTCTGCTACCCGGCGGAGACAATTCCACCAAGGCCTGGCGATTCTAACATGGCTTCGCCGGCCCGAAACGACGCCAGAACTAAGTTATCTCCTCTCGGCGCCAGTCAGCTTTCCCTTGATCGGCCTCATCCAGTTTTCAAACTATGCAGTCGTCTGTCGCTGTCGGGAGAAGTCGCCCGGAGAGGCCGCACATCAACTGCTCGGCATGGCCGGACACAGTCAAGGAATCGTCGTTGCCGCAGCCCTGGCGACGGTGACGACGTGGAAAAGCTTCGATACTGCTCTTGTCAAAGCATTGACCGTGTTGTTCCATGTCGGATCTGCTGCGCAGGAGGCAACTCCGCACGTCAGCGTTCCACCAGTCATTTCAAAAGAAGCAATGTGCAACGGCGAGGGCTACCCTTCATCAATGCTGAATGTCGTCGGCTGCCGTCTTGACATGCTCAAGGAATACATGAACGAGGTGAACAAGAACCTACAAATGCATCAACGCGTCTTCATAGGCCTCATCAACGGCCAGACCAACTATGTCGTCTCGGGGCCAGTGCTCTCGCTTTGCGCTCTCGCGTCGATGCTACGTCGGGTCAAGGCGGCTTCTGACGCAGACCAATCCAATATTGCCTTCTCGTCGCGCAAGCCCGAGTTTTCGCAGCGATTCCTGCCGGTCGAGGCACCTTTCCATACGGCGCATCTTAAAGATGCGGCGACCCGGGCCCTCGGAGAGCTTTGCACACTACATCTCGCTGCATCCGAGCTCATGTTGCCCGTCTATCACAGTCGCCACGGAGGAGACCTCAGGAGCAGCGGTGCGAGAGACGTCGTCCCTGCCTTGGTGCGAATGATTCTTTGCGAGTTGGACGATTGGACGCTGTCAACCGCCTTTGGTGACGCCACTCATGTTCTTGATTTTGGCCCAGGCGGTCTTTCTGGAGTAGGTCCGTTACTGTACCGCAACAAAGAAGGGTCCGGAGTCAGAGTCATCTTGGCAGGCCTGGAAGAAGGCGGCTCCGTCGAGTTCGGCTACCGAGCAGAAGCTTTCGCCAGCAAGGCAACCTTTGACGAGACCTGGGCCCAAAAGTACTCGCCGAGCCTCGTCCAATCGACAATGGGCACTATCAAGATGGATAACCGCATGGCTCAACTTTTGGGTTTTCCGCCTGTAATGGTGGCAGGCATGACTCCGACTACTGCAGCGTGGGAATTCGTGAGCGTCATTATGAACTCGGGTTACCACGTTGAACTGGCCGCCGGCGGTCTCCACAGCGTCGAGCAGCTGACAAGCGCAATCACGAGTCTTGTCCAGGCGACGCCGGTTGGCAGAGGAGTATGCGTCAACGTCATCTATGCCAATCCCAGGCAAGTTCGATGGCAGATACCGCTGTTGCAGAGACTACGTTCTCAGGGTGTGCCTATCGACGGACTCACGTTTGGCGCAGGAGTTCCGTCGATTGACGTTGCCAAAGAGTACATGGAGCTCGGATTCCGCTACCTATCGTTCAAACCAGGCTCGGTAAATGCCATCAACCAAGTCATCGCCATTGCGCAACTGGATCAGAGCTACCCCATATTGATGCAATGGACTGGCGGTCGCGGTGGGGGTCACCATTCCTACGAAGACTTCCACGAACCCATACTGAAGCTTTATGGACGCATCAGGCGATGCCCCAACATTGTATTGTTGGCCGGAAGTGGATTCGGCGGAGCAAAGGATAGCTATCCATACCTATCAGGCACGTGGTCAGCGCCGTTTGGCCGTCCTCGAATGCCATTCGATGGCATCCTTCTTGGAAGCCGCGTCATGGTCGCCAAAGAGGCCAAGACGAGTCGAGGCTGCAAAGAAGCCATTGTGACCGCGCTTGGTGTCCAAGACGAATCCTCCTGGGAGCAGAGCTACACTCGTCCCGTAGGGGGGATTGTCACTGTCAAGAGCGAGATGGGCGAACCAATTCATAAAGTCGCAACCCGAGGTGTACTACTGTGGAAGGAAATGGACGACAAGATCTTCAGTCTGGTCGACAAGTCCAAGAGACGCGAAAAGCTCCGAGAATTGAAGCCATACATTATCCAGAGACTGAATGACGATTTCCAAAAAGTCTGGTTCGGGCGCGATGACCTTGGAAACGTGGTAGATCTCGACGACATGACCTATGCCGAAGTACTCCGACGGCTCGTCCAACTGCTCTACGTCCCCAAGGAATCACGGTGGATCGACTCGAGCTACATTCAACTGGCGGCAGACTTTGTAAGGCGCATGTACAGCCGCCTGCTTCGGACCATTCCGCCACTCGAAGCCAACTTTGGCTTACACAACCCCTTACTGGCGGTGCCAGAAATTCTCTCCCGCTGTCCCAAGGCGGAAAAACAAGTCATCAGCTACAGCGACGGGCGATACTTTCTGCTGCTGTGTAAACGCCAGGGCCAGAAGCCGCCCACCTTTTTGCCAGATATGGACGATGACTTTGAATATTGGTTCAAAAAGGACTCCCTCTGGCAATCCGAAGACTTGGCTGCGGTTGTGGGTGAGGATGCCGGCCGGACGTGCATCCTGCAGGGCCCCGTAGCAGCAAAGTACTCGACACGAGTCGATGAGCCAGTTGGCGAAATCCTCGACTCGATTAACCGCGCTCATGTCGCGGCTGTTCTCAAAGACCGCTATGGCGACGATGCTAGCCAAGTCCCACCGGAACTGTCGAGCTCGACCGGTCCGTGGAATGCTTCCTTGACCCCTTCTCATTGCCTTGTCCACAAACAAGGCAAAAGGGCGCACTTTCACATCGCCAGCTCCATCGAGAGTGGCCACTGTCCCGATACTGACCAATGGCTGAGAGCGCTTGCTGGACGTCCTGGTACCTGGCTCTACGCCTTGCTTACCGCAAAGCACGTCTCGCAAGGATTCAGGCTCGTCGCCAATCCCGTTCGCAGAGCGCTTTCGCCTGCCTTGGGCATGCACGTCGAGGTCACGGAGGCCAACGACCCTGAAGATTTGGCCATGGCTGTTTTCCACCCGGAGACGGAGAGTACAGCGTCTTGTCTCTCAAGGTACTCCATGCTAATACGCAAGAAGAGAGACATCCTTGTGACGTTCTATTGCAATGAGACTGCCGAACAAGTCACCCTGCCGCTGACATTCAAATTCACCTACCATCCGGATATGCCACTGCATCCAATCCATGAGATCATGGAGGGCCGTAAAGATAGACTACGCACTTTCTACTACCGGTTATGGTTTGGCCCAGAGAGGGATCCTCGCCCTTGCTCTCCGCAGCGGATCCGCAACGACGAACGACGCCCTTTGCGTCCATGTGATGGCAGCGTCACGAGTCTGGAGCCCAAGCCGTCAATCCCCTCTGTTGCTGGTGACGCGCTTGAATCCCACCGCAAAGATTCCACCTCATGTCCGGATTTCCATTTGAATACAGCCAGCCCCGGAGACTGGAAATTCAGAGGACGCGGGCTCACAATCTCTTCGTCTGCAATAGAAGCCTTTCGGAACGGCATCGAACCGGCACACAACGCAATGTCGTCATGGGCAGACAGGAACACAGCCCCGCTTGACTTTGCGATAGTGGTGGCATGGGAAGCCATGATGAAAGCCATCTTACCGAGCGCCATCGACGGAGACTTGCTGAACCTAGTCCACCTATCAAACAAGTTCAGAGTCCTCAATGATGGCGCTCCGTTGTGCGACGGAGACGATACCGACACGACGGCACATGTTGTGGCGATCCGTAATGAAGCACCCGGACGCGTGGTCGAGGTTGGTGCTATTGTCGAAAGGCGAGGCACTCCGGTAGTGGAATTAGTCTCCGAGTTTCTCTTCCGAGGCAGCTACACTGACTTTGGCGTATGCTTTGAAAAAAAGACTGAGCCCAAAATGTGCATTTCTCTGGACAGCCCGGCCAAGATTGCCGTCCTGGCGAGCAAAGAGTGGATCCGGTTTGTTGAGCCCAAGATGGACCTCCTTGGCCTCACCATCATCTTCGAGCTCAAGAGCCTCAACCGTCTCGGACCAGACTCGGGCTATCGCAGCGTTCAGACGATTGGTCAGGTCTACAGCGAGCATGCAGTCACGAAGTCGCGCCACGTGGTGGCGACTGTGAACTGCCAGTGCGGCAAGACGGCCAACAACCCGGTCATGGACTATCTGAAGCGCCACGCGTCTCCTGTCGACGTGCTTCATGGCTTGAATCACCCGCAGCCGCTTGGCGAACGGGGCTGGCTCCGACTAACTATGCCGGCAACCAATGACGCTTACGCTCGCGCATCTCGAGACTTGAATCCCATCCATACGTCACGACCGTTGGCCAAATACGCCGACCTGCCAGGCACAATCACCCACGGCATGTTTACGAGTGCCGCCGTCCGGCAACTGGTAGAGAAGGCCGCCGGGGCCAGCGAAAAGGTCCGTATGCGGTCCTACAGAGCCTCGTTCGTTGACATGGTCCTTCCGGGTGATGTCCTGGAAGTCAGCGTCAGCCACGTAGCCATGAAGAACGGTCTGCGCGTGCTGTCGTTTGAGGCTGTCAACGCGAGCACGGGGGACAAGGTACTCGTCGGCGAGGCAGAAGTCGACCAGCTGCTTTCGGCATACGTCTTCACGGGGCAAGGGAGTCAAACGCCGGGCATGGGCATGGATCTTTGCGCGACTTGTCACGTTGCCCGAGGGGTCTGGGATGCCGCCGACAAGTTCTACTCGGAAACGTACGGTAAGTCGCTCGTCATTCATCGGTCTGCTATCGAGGTATATGCTAACGAGCGCCCAGGGTTCCGCATCAGCGACATTGTCAAGCACAACCCGAAGCAGCTGACCATCTACTTTGGTGGCAGACGTGGCCGCAAGGTCCGGCAGAACTACATGGACATGACGGTTGAGTGCCATGGCCAGTCACAGCCATTGTTCAAGTCGATAACGCCGACAACGGCCAAACACACATTCCAGCATAGCGCGGGCTTGCTCTTTAGCACCGAGTTTGCACAGCCGGCCCTCAGCGTCTTGGGGCATGCGCAGTTCCTCCACCTCAAGGCCAAGGGCCTCGTCGACCCAAGTGCCCTCTTTGCCGGCCACTCGCTGGGCGAATACACGGCCCTGAGCACCATCGGGTCCATAATGCCGTTTGAAAAAGTTCTTTCTGTCGTCTTCTACCGTGGCCTGACAATGCAGTCCGCCGTGGCCCGCGACGCCCATGGCCGCTCCAACTTTTCGCTCATGGCGGTTGATCCGGGTCGTGTTAGTCGAAGCATGGCCACCGAGTCCCTGCAGGCCCTCGTTGCCGCCGTCGCCGCTACTACCGGCGGTTTGCTCGAGGTGGTCAACTACAATGTCGCCGGGCAGCAGTACGTCGTGGCCGGGACGCTCGCTTCGCTCGACTGCTTAACACACGTCGCCAATCACATGGCCAGTCACCCAGCCGACTTTGAGGCAAACTATGCTGCCAACATCCAGAATCTCGTTGCCGCCTGCGCAGCACAGGCGACCAAGAAGCCGTTGCCTATACGGCTCGAGCGCGGCATCGCCACCATCCCGCTCGAGGGCATCGACGTGCCCTTTCACAGCAGTTTCCTGCTTTCCATGATGCCGGCGTTCCGGCGCGTGCTGCAGCGATACATTACACCAGAGGCAATTGATGCCCGGCGGCTCGTAGACAAGTATGTGAGCAATGTGACGGGCAAGACGTTTGATATTTCGTATGGAGCGGTGCAGGAGGCGTATGAGCGGACGGGCAGCGAGGTGTTGAGGGATTTGTTGAAGGAATTGGAAGAGAGCCATGGTTGAGCAGAAGGTTCAGCATGATTCGAGCGTGCTTATGATTTATTGCATACATGTAGAAGCCATCTTGAAACACTCTTGACCGCCCTCGGCGCAACTTGTTCTTCAACGGCCATCGCGCTTCAAGCATTTTATGCAGTATTTGTGCCATCCGGGAACGTTATCTCATATCGCCAGCCATGCTTGTCCTCCACCTGGCCCCTGATGACCGCCGTGATGGCGGCCGCCAGCTCCACCGCCGTCGGACCGGGCTCGCCAGCCGGGCAGTAGTCGAACTTGTCGCCCGTGCTTTCCCTCACAATGGCTGCAATCGGAAGCACACTCGCTGCAGCCGCTGTTAGTACGGATAGAAAAGAGAACGGGGCACAACTGACCTGCAGTCCCTACGGCCAAGACCTCACTGAACTGCCCCAGCTCGGCATATTTGACTGCCCTCCGCTCGACCTTGTACCCGATGCCCCTCGCCAGAAGCAGCAGACTGTCGCTCGTCACGCTATCTATGATCTGAGCGCTGTCCGGCACCACAAGGGTGCCCTTGTCGCCCTCGCTCCCGCCCTTTAAGACGCCAACAAAGCCGCTTGTGCTAAACTCCTCGACCTCGCTCTGCGTTGCACTGTCCAGATGCAGTGTAATGTAGAAGCCCTTGGCGCGCGCCTCCTGGCTATGCCTGATGACGGGCGCGTAATTGCCGCCGACTTTGGCGTGGCCTGTACCCCGCGTAGCTGCGCGGTCAAAGACATCGAGCACCAGGCATGGCACCGGCCGCACGCCGTGGTATGTCGTCGCAGGCTGCACGTAGACGGCCAAGGTACAAGTCGTCGACGGCTCGAGCGCCAACTGCGGTCCCGAGGCGAAGAGGACGGGCCGCAAGTAGAGAATAGCAGAAGACGAGGCCGGGCCGACAAACTCGGCGTTGGCGCGGACGGCCAGGGCGATGCTACCGAGGAAAATGTCTTCGGGCACCGCGGGTAGCGACACGGCTGCGGCCGATTGCACCAGGCGGCGGTGGTGCAAGGTTGGGCGGAAGACGGTGATGGTGTCGTCGGCGGTGCGGGTGGCCTTGAGGCCCTCGTAGGCCTGCATGCCGTAGTTGAGGGCCGGAGAGAGGCCATGGACACGTATATAAGCGTCTTTGACGAGCACAGGCGCCGTCCATTGGTTGTCGTGGGAAGACCAAGTGGTTTCGACATGGCCGTTTACAATGTCGGCGACAGTCAGGTCAAGACTGGCCCAGTCTATGTCGGGGAGCGGTGCAGGTGGAGGCATCGTGACTGGACTCGTAGGCTGCTGCTCTAACCTTGAATCGTTTGATGCTGAATGACTTGGAATTGAACGGACTTCTATATATAGCTTGGTAAATGTTCGATATACCAACGTTTTGCTTCCCCATGCTCAAAATCCTTCCAGATTATATTGTAGGAGAAGCCGTAAGCTTACCCCTCCAGCGTCACTACGTCGAAAAGCAGGGCGGTGGCATGCCTAAGCCGGGGTTCGGCGTCAGATACTCCCCAAGTCCCTATAGGTCAAAAGTTCCCTTCCTCTAGCACGCCATGCTTCGCAGAGGTTGAAAGCCCGGCCATTCACCCACTTTCGGCAGCCTGTCTAACATAGGTTGGTCCCCCGTGCTGACTTAGTAGGGCATCTATTACAGGGTACTCCGGATGTTTAAAAGTATAAACGTCCTGGCCCTAAATAAAGTATGTTGGCTTGGCGCAGGATGCTATATGTGTCGGATTATCTTTGATATGATTTACGCTTTATGTAACGGATCGGCCCAACGGGGGATGCAGGGGTAGCCGCCCTGCCGCCGTTAGCACGGGAACGCCGTGCAACCCTTTCACTATGGCAAAATGATACAAGGTTGAACTAATTAGTCGTTCGTTAGTTCAATCGGCTTCGTATATAAAGGAGGCGACAGGTTGGCCGGAGCCAGCCTGTTACAATTTAAACTGGCTAGTTTAAATAGCAAGCTTACGTAAGACTACTACTCTAGATTCCGCCTTGATTGGCTTTTCTAAGAGCCCTTCACGGTTTAAAATAGTCGTGTCGTGTTGCTTAGGTCAACTTCGTTATCTTGTGCTTCATGCCACACTGCCTCTGCAGTAAGGAGGCCAGGAGCATGACCACCGCTTTTACCCTCCTGCGCCAAGACTCCTATAAGTAGAAACTAAGTAAATGACTACTTTAACAGCAGTTTAATCAATTTTATCATGTAAGCTTCTCTATAAATAAATAACGCAACGGTTATTAGAAGCTAAAGCGGTTTATGACTCTAACTGTAGGAATGTATCTATCTAGTGGTGTGACCAACCATGGTTGGCACGTGACCCGTACGGTCACGTGTGCGGCTGAGGGCAGCGTGCCCCCTTTCTCCACGCTGGCCTCTGCCTCCTTAGATAGAGAATCAAGACGAATACAACATCAGGTTAACCCTAGTACCGTCTCATTGCAGCAGCTGCCGCAGGTGCCTACCCACACTGATCAGTGACCGGCCCACGCCCGTCACAGACAGCTAAGTAGAAGAGACAAATTCCTCAACCTTCGAAGGTGCTATAGTCCGCGTCACTTTACTGTGGCCCTGAGTAGCGCTCAGAAGAAGGTTATTTGTGCTAAGAACAAGGAATCTCCCGCTGGTTTGCCCAGCCGCGCGAGAGTCCTTCCAACTGTTGATTACGATCGCCCGCTAGTTTGCCTAGCCGTGAGCACCGGAATCGACAGGCGACCACATCGCAAACAACTAGTAAGAACGTTCGACCCTTGACGTTAAGTAGCAAGATCCCCGTCAGTTCAGTCTGGCCGCGAACGACCTACTTAGTACGCGACGCTCGACCTCCTATTAGCGACAACTCGTATACGAAGAGACCAATACGAACCCCACATCGTCTCATTCATTTGATCACGATAGCCCTGACCGCCCGAGCTATGTCCCCAGAAGCCCAGCTCGAAGAAATATGCGACCAGATGCAGGCACTAGACATCCAAGCATCCGCATTCCGACAAATTAATATCGACCTTTGGGACAACGATATCACACACGACGAAAAGGACAAGATCGCAGTAACGACATATGTGGCAAAGTTCATATTCATCGTTCAATCTGGCAGTGATCAAGGATACGACCTCCTTGGTTACTTCCAACAGCATTTTGAAGAATGGACCGAAGACACATGGGACCGCGCCCGAATGAATACAAGAGAGCCCTCAGGAAACTACTAAGGAAAAGAGGTATCTACACAGGTTCACAAAGGGGAAATTCGCAACACAATTTCTCATATTACAAACTATCGAGAACCCACAAACCTGGCCAGAGCAGGAGTTTACGGAGATGGTGTTTGATGAGAGGACTGCTGCCTTCAGGAGGCAGACAGCATTACTAGGATCAAATGCTTCCACTAATCCCCATCCGTCTCAACCTCCTTCACCATCAGTTACGCCCTTAGCAGCACCTCATCAAGGTCTTAACGAACCACAACCTATTAAGACCCTAACGAGCCCTCCTAACGCACCTACTCCTGCTCCGACTATCCAAGATAAACCTGCTCGACCTCTCTTACTATTCATCCGACTTCCTACCGCTTCCAGAACCCCGATCTCGTCCAACCCGTCACCAACCCCATCCCCGAACACTTATCCGGCCCTGCAACCTTTGGAGAATACATGAAACTCCCCCCGGATAACATCCCGAACGCTATCGTCGATAGCGACATCCAGCAGAAGTTTATGAAGACCTGGAACAAAGATCGGAACTACACAGGAGAGCCGTACGATCTCCTTGATGATAAGCTCCGCCTCTTCTTAAGCAACTGCTCTCATATCCAAGTGAAACCGTCACAATTTCACGCACTCTTTCCCCGGATCCTTGATGGAAGAGCCCAAAGATTCTATCTTGATAAGATCACATGGGCTACGACGTTCCGACAAGCGTATGATATCTTCAAACAACACTTTGACACGGAAGTCAACCATGTCCACTACCATACTGACTGACAACAATAACCTTTAACTCCATCCGTGCCCAAGATGCTTCGAAGACCCCACGAAGTGCTTCAAACCTCTTTGATAAGCTTCAGCTCTGCCAACGAGCCCTTGGCAGGAGTACGGAGGAGACCTTCTACTGCGTACAACGCTTATGAAAGCATGCCGTGGAGTACCCGAACTCCAATACGCTCTTTTCAAACCCGCCGATAACGTCGAGCACCTTCTTGCAGATCTTCGTGCATCCGTTGAAACCCATCTTGCCCTCATAACAACTTCTCAATTTCCCTTGACTTTGCTGGATCATTCGATCATAACGATCCACGCCATCAGTACTACCTCGACCGTCGATACAATAACAACCGCTCTCGAGGCAGATACGGATATTCAGGTCAACGACCCAGCCGCGGATACGGACAAAGCTACAACCGTGGAAACTACCGGCCTCAAAGCCGTAGTAACTACAATCCTAGCTACAATAACCGCAACTGGACAAAGAAGTGTTTTGTTTGTGGACAAGAAGGCTGTTGGTCAACTAAACACTCTACGGATGACCGACAAAGGCCAAGGACCAACATATCACTCAATGCCACTTCATAGGTGTACAACTCACGGACATCGGAGGCTATATTCTAGACTACGAAGGTCATGAGATGAGCAGCTTTGATGACACTGAAGATACATGGGAAGAACATGACAATAGCACCAACGATCACCGGAACAATGGCAAGCAAGCCAAATGCTCTGTCAACAGGCATTCAATCATTTGATCACAGGAGAAGACGTCTATCAGACGGATCAAACCGTTGTTCCAGCCTCGCAATTTATTATTGAAGATCGCTATTCAGGGATAGATTCCAAGGTATCATGATCGACACAGGTGCAGCAACATTCTCCACAGCAGGATATTCTCAGTACATCGCCCTACAACGAGAAGATCCTTCTGTAGCTCTCGACAGCTCTACATCCGGCCAGGCCTCCATCAAATTTGGCAACGGCGACACGATTAACTCCCTTGGCACAGTTGCCCTAAAAACACCCCTCGGAAGGATCACGTTCCACATCCTTCAAACCCCAACTCCCTTTTTGCTCTGCCTTGCTGATATGGATCGACTTGGTATCTATTTCAATAACATCACAGATACCATCAATTGTAGTAATCATTGTACTAATCGCCCTACCAGCATCCCAGTCATCCGCAAATGGGGACATCCCTGGTTCTTCCTTACGAAAGATGAAGAGTCTATCTCGTTTCTTACGGAAACAGAGATTCGTACACTTCACCGACGCTTTGGACACCCAGCAGTCCCTAGGCTCCATCACCTCTTGAAGCAAGCCGGGCACAGTGACGTCTCGATAGACACATTAGAGACTATCTCTAAGTTCTGTCACCACTGTCAAATGCACTCACAAGCCCCACGCCGCTTCAAGTTCACCCTAACGATGATCAAGAATTCAACTACGAAATCATCGTTGATGTGATGCACCTAGGAACACCACAACGCCCTGTTCTACACGTTGTGGACTCAGCTACTGCTTTCAAGGAGCCAGATTTTTACCGTCAATGTCAGCTAAAGATACATGGGAGACCCTCCGGACCCTCTGGATCGACACGTATCTTGGACCTCCTGATACCCTCCGTCACGATGCAGGAACTAACTTTGCTTCTCTCGAATTCCGGAACGAAGCAAAGATTATGGGGATCAAATGCTCTCAAGTACCTGTTGAGACGCATTGGTCCATTGGAAAGCTATCACGCATCCCTCCGACGCGCCTTTAACATCCTCCATGCTGAGATTGGCCACACCACTTCCGCCGAAACAGTCCTTCAAATGGCTGTTAAAGCAATCAATGATACGGCAGGACCTGACGGTCTTGTGCCTACGTTGCTTGTTTTCGGCGCATACCCTCGCGTATCTACAGACTCGCCCCCTTCCGCTTCCACCCTCAAAAGATCGGAAGCTATGCAGAAAGCGATGAAAATGCTCCGCCAACTCTCGGCAGAAAGACGAGTTAAGGATGCCCTCCATGCACGCAACGGCCCGAGCACGACAGAAGTGCTATCCTCCCGCTGCAAAGTGAAGTTCGCGTTTGGAGAGAGAAAGACGGTTGGCAAGGACCCTTCAAGATTGCATCGATTGATAGCCATAACATCACCATTGACACAGTCAACGGCCCCCAAGTCTTTCGATCGACCCTTGTACAACCGTATCTGCGTGATGATACCACTCTTTCCGACCCTACACACGACACAGACCCTCAGGCATTCGTTCAGATCTTAATGAACAACCGGCTCAAGACCCCGTTAAGACCCTAACGGACCTGCCTGCCTGACCCGAACCCCGCCCCCGCAAGAGGACGCCCACCAGGATCAAAGAACAAGCCAAAGATTTGATCATGATCATGGCCCAAGCCGTAGACCAGAGCTTCTTGACCCAAAAGGAGGAAGATGCACAGCTCTTTCCTCAAGCTACGGTCTGATGGCATAATCACCTCTCCTGGTGACCCTTCGAAGAATCCGATAACAAAGAGATTACTGACCTCGTTGGCCGCGGTGTATTCCAATTTGAACGATACGATCAAATGAGTCATGGAAACTATAGAATCTTTCGATCTGGTTCGTGAAGTCAAAGGAATCAACACTAAGCCCTACGAAAAGTCTCGACTTGTTATTCAAGGACATAACGACTTTGAGAAGACCACCCTCCTGACGCAATCTCCGACAATTCAACGCGTTAGCCAGAGACTCATCCTCGCTATTGCCCCGGACTTCTTCAAAACTACGGCATAACCCTCTCCTCCGTGATATCACTCAGGCATACCCGCAATCCCAGACCAAGCTTTCCGGACCATTCTTACGTATTTGCCCACGGAACTACAAGGCAAATACCCTAACGGAACAATTATTCGTGTTATTAAGCCCTGTACGGTATCGCAGAAGCCGGAGTCCATTGGTTCCGCACATATCAGCAGCATCACCTCGAAAAGCTGGATATGTCTACCTCCACCTATGACTCCTGCCTACTGATTTCGAATACTGGCCCTGACACGCTCGGTATTGTTGAATGCAAACTGATGACACCCTCATCCTTGGAACGAACAACTTTTCTACCCGTGAAGAAGAAGAGCTACAAAGGCAGAATTTCGTTCCAAGCCCAAGACTGACATCACATACGGAACAACGGTTGACTTTAATGGTGCAAGACTGACGTTGCTGAATAATAACCCCTTAAGAAAGGATCCTTTACTTCAACAGAAGGGACAAGCAGCAAAATGACCACCATTGACCCTAAAGCAATTGATCGTCACCAGCGCTACGTTGAGGAACGAGCGCGAGCCTCATACATTGCTTCAATTGCTCAACCGGAAGCTTTCGATGTTTCAGTCGCCGCCCAAGTACAGACCCCTGAGGATAAAGATTACGCAATTTTGAACAAGCGACTGCAATGGCAAATGGATCACCAACTACGTGGCCTCACGTACAAACCAATTGATCTAGCTACTGCAAAGCTGATGGTTTTCACCGATGGTTCTTTCGCAAACAACAAGGACTTATCCTCCCAACTAGGATTCGTCATTACCCTCGTTAACGAGACAAACCACAAAGAAAAACAGTTCGAGATTAGTGGTAACATCGTACACTGGAGTTCAACAAAGTGCAAACGTGTTACCCGTAGCGTCCTAGCATCAGAGATCTACGGTATGGCCAACGGATTCGACATAGGCATCTCCCTTGCGATGACTATGAAGATAATTACGGAACGACTCAACCTTCCTCCTATCCTCTCATCGTCTGTACGGATTCGTACTCTCTACGAATGCCTAGTCAAGCTCGGTACGACGAAGGAAAAACGATTGATGATTGATATCATGGCCCTTCGCCAGTCATACGAGAAGAGAGAGATAACAGATATTCGTTGGATCAACGGCGCAGACAACCCAGCAGATGCAATGACGAAAGCATCACCAAACCGAGCCCTGGAACGCTTCATCGATACCAATAGTCTGACAATTCGAGTCGAAGGATACGTACAACGTTCCTAACCGCTCCTTATACCTATGATCAAATGATTGCTCCTATCAGGAAGACCCTTCACTTCTTCCCAGATATCTACAGCTAAGAACAAGACGTCGGACCCACTTTTTGGCAATAATGACACACGCCCTCACGGCACATTCCTTCACGGCCTTAACGCTACTATCCTTTAGACCTGTTCAAGGTGTTGCTGTGCTTCTCACAGCAAAGAAGAGTTGCCTGTGTAGGAATGTATCTATCTAGTGGTGTGACCAACCATGGTTGGCACGTGACCCGTACGGTCACGTGTGCGGCTGAGGGCAGCGTGCCCCCTTTCTCCACGCTGGCCTCTGCCTCCTTAGATAGAGAATCAAGACGAATACAACATCAGGTTAACCCTAGTACCGTCTCATTGCAGCAGCTGCCGCAGGTGCCTACCCACACTAACTATAATATAATAATTTTACTTGACAAGCTCGTATTTATGTAGCATATCATAACTGCAACAAAACACTGGGTCACATTAACGCCGATTGCGGAGGAAGCCAGTCCGGGTATAAAAATACAGCCTTTCCAATCTACTAGCCTTTCGGTGTACATAAGTTAAGGAACTCCGTTTATATGTGAATACTGAGACTAACGAGTCAAGATCTGGGTTGCTATACCATCCATGCTGCGGAATCGACGCCCTACTCTACTTGTCCATCTCTCCCTTGATCTGCACTCAGCTCACCAAGTTACACGTGCCACAATCAGGCGAGTATTCTATAGTTACTCCTACCCATGTGCCGATTTGGAGATCCGGCTCCTTGATCGGCAACCCATATACTCAGGTCTAAGAGCCCACGAAGTTGCGGGGCCGTCTCACAGCATGGGACGTAGGTTCCGGACTAACGTCGCGAGAGGACTCGTATGGTGTGAGCAGCTGAGAGTGACCGACTCGCGGAACCTGACCCTCGTAGATGGTGCCAGTCTCTCCTGACCACTCTTTGGCTGACAGTGACGCATCTGTGGACCTTAGTGCGCGCAGCTCGCTCGAGTCACCCTCCAGCGGCTCCCGCAGACGCTGGTGTGGTCCCATGCCGTCCTTGCTCTTGCGGTGGCAGCAGCAGCACAAATGTCGCGATAACCATGACGGGGGCATCTTTGCATCCGGCCCCTGCATGTAGCGCCCGGGATGGATGGCGTTCCAGACGAAAATAGCCAGCCACATGGGAGCGCCGTCCAATGCGTAGAAGTAGCTCTCTGTGTTGGGCAGAGGGTTGTCGTAGCCCGCGCCGCCCGAAAACTCAATGAGACGGAAGATGATGCGCACCGAGATGGAGAGGAGACAGCCGTAAAGGGCGTAGATGAGGGGCCTCCATGCGCTCTTGTCACGCGGAACCATGCCGTTGCGCTCCGCTCGGATCTGGTCCACGTGGAACTTGACAATGAGGCCGACGAAGAGGACGATGAATCCTTCTTGCATGCCGATGCCGCCCATGTAGATATCAATGCCCTTTTTCTGAGACTCAGGACTGCTGCCCGGTCCGGCCATGCCGCCTCCGATGAGCTGGATGACGAAAGAGACGATGTCGAGAGAGACAAAGACGATGGCGAGAATGCTCGGCGACAGCACCCAGACCTTTTTTGTCGGCGAGAAGAAGTTGACGACTCGCGCAAAGACCATGTAGGCAAACGCGTTGACCCCTGGGTTTGGGGGTTAGTAGGCGGGTCAACTGCGTGAGCAAGGCGAGGTGTCAACGTACAGAGGGGCGACAGCAGCACGAGAAGCTGTGCCATGGTTGCCATGGCATTGCTCTGCTGGTCTTTGGAGCCGGCAGCGCGAAAGGCATAGGAGCCGCATTCCCATAGCGAAGCCATGATGATGACCCAAGCAAAGCCTGTGCTATATTGAAGAGCCTGGCCGAGGTGGGCGACCAGGAGGACGCCGAATAGGACGGCAAAGGCCACGGCGGCGGCAAAGGAAGGGAAGTAGTTCCAGAGTGCGCCGCATGAGCCTGGCGGCAGGTAGCCGTCCTTGCCCGGCGCAATGGTCGGGGTACATGTTGCGGTGGGCAAGTCGAGCGAGAGGGGCGGAATAGACACGGGAGGGATGCTGACGGGGGGAATGCTGACGGGGGGGATGCTCACGTCTGGAGCGGCCGCGCGAAGCTCCAGCGTAGGCGTTGGCTCCAGTCCCGCAATCAAGCTCGTCTGTCGTGGAGCGGCCGTCTCGACGGGAGACGAGACGACGAGGCCACCGGTGAGCAGCGCCGCCAGGATCCAAGGTTGCCGCATCGTAATGTCGGCCAGAGGTTGAGTGCAAGAGTATGTGTGTAGCAAGTCAAAGCAGCGGAGCGGGCATCAAGGGACATTTAGACATGTGGGTACGAGACAGTTGTCTGCCATGACAGCCCCCCGTGGGCTGTGCATCACAACGACGGCATACGTACACGGAGTAGGGCTGCAGGCAGAACAGGCGCAGTCTCAGGGGCTTGCGTCACGGCGGCTGCACAACGGCGGCTGCGTGTTATCAGGAGCAACCGCCAACAATCCGAGCCCGGCAACCCGGCAAGGAGAGGGCACTAGTGATAAGTCCCCGTTGGCATCCATGGCATGTTTTGCTTAGAACCCTTGCAACCGGCATGCCATGTCGTCTTGATCTGAGCCAATCACCCTACGTGGGTCAGATCGTCTTACGCCCCATCTGCGGCCCCCCCCCGCATCATCTGTTCCATGGACCGGGGGGCGTGTGTAACCAAGGGTCCCAAATTATGGTGTACTGCAGCTTTATGTAGGGCCTTTTGTAGACTGGACACAGTTGACGCGTGGATAGCCAGGGCGAATGGTGTGGCTATGTAGTTTACCGACGACTCCACTTGGGCAACATGTAGTCCATCCTGCCGATGTGACCAGGATCTGTCTATATTCCTACGTGAGCCATGCATGTCCGGTCACTAAGCTCGGGGGGAAGACACAGCGTAATTACTGGATCGAGGCCATATTTCCACCCCGGATGAGTGATGGCGAGGCAAGGCCGCTGAGAGGACGAGTTGGGCATATAGACCGTCGAGTAAGCCAACCATTGCCCAATAGGCGTTGCCTATATTCATATTCAACATGCCAAAGTTGAAAATTACCCCCACGTCCCTTGCAAGACTATGAGTTCCCACCCCCTTGTGGGTAGCAATTCTATGCCTCCATGGGGAAGTTGTTCCCGTCGTCCAAGCGGAACCTCGCTCTATTCTGTCGGCTTTCAACTTCAAAACCCAAAGCCCCTGCTTGGCTCCGTGTCTTGGTGGTAGCTCTTCTCAAGTGACCGTCGGTACAATGCCGTGTTTCATCGACGTGCAAGACAAATTTGGGCCCGCCGTCGCTGCAACCTGTTACCATGGGTTCGACTTTACTCTGCTCTTTGAGGACATCTTCTTGTGCATCGTGCCCGCCGCCGTGCTTGCCATTCTCGCCCTAATACGACTGAGACGTTTGTTCCGCCGCCGATCAGTGTTTCGGCCAAGCCTCTTGTACTATTCCAAGCTTGTCAGTACCTATTCAGTGACCTTTCTCGACGGATTACTGATTAACGGCCCAAGGCCGTACTCGTAGCGTTGCTCACCGTCCAGCTGTTGCTGCTGGTCCTTCTTTGCGTGCCCGGACTCGTCCCCAAGACGCGCGCTTCTATTCTGGCTGCTGCGCTGGTCCTGTGCGTTGGCTTCTTGTGCCTGGCCTTGTCCCACCTGGAGCATCTGAAGAGTGTCCGTCCATCGGCGCTGCTGTCACTGTACTTTGGTCTGACCCTCCTCCTGGACCTCGTCCGCGCGCGAACACTATGGGCCATTCAAGGTAACCGGCCTTTCTTCATTGCCTTCTCGGCTGGCTTGGGCTTCAAACTGGCCTCGTTGGTCGCTGTGTCGCTCGAGAACAGATCCGGCCGCGGGCCCCGTGAGACGGCGGGCAATGTCTTTACTCGCGGCTTGTTCTGGTGGCTGAATCCTCTCCTCTGGCGGGGATTCTGGCACGTCCTCGACGTCGAGAGTCTGCCGGCCATCGATCCCGAGCTGGGCACGCCGGAGCTGCACCGTCAGCTATGGGCTCGCTGGCAGTGCTGGCCTCACAAGACGGCCCGAGCCCTGCTTCAACTGCTCTTGTCGGCGCACAAGAACAGCGTGTTACAAGGCGTGCTGCCGCGCCTGGCGCTCTCAGGCTTTACGTTTGCGCAACCATTCCTGGTCACTCGCGTCATCAACTTCGCCACGGCGCCCGACGGTCCAGACAGGAGGCTTGACGTCCAGGTCGGCAACGGCCTCATTGTGGCTACGGCACTCATTTACGTGGGCCTGGCCGTCTCCAATGCCAACTCTCAGCACAAGACGTACCGCGTCATTGCTCGCCTTCGGGCAAGCCTCGTCTCTCTCATCTACTCCAAGACCCTTGGCGTGTCCATTCCCACGGCCCAAGAATCGTCGGCTATAACATTGATGAGCGCCGACGTCGAGCGTTCGGGCTCTGGGCTAAGGTTCATGCATGAGGCATGGGCCAGTCCCGTTGAACTCGGTCTTGGCATCTATCTGCTTCAGCGCCAGTTAGGCCCGGCATCCGCCGCACCCGGAGTTCTCTTCCTACTTTGCAGTGCCGCTGGCCTCAGGGTGGCCGCCAGCATGGGTCGACGCCAGCGCCTATGGCTCGAAGCCATTGAGCACAGGATTAAAGTCACTTCGGATGCGCTGTCCTCCATCAAGGAGGTCCGGATGGGTGGACTCCAAGCACGAGTGCAAGATCAACTGGAAGACTTGCGCAACCGCGAGATCAAGGCTTCACGGCCCTTCAAGAATGCTCTGGCTCTGATAGTCTGCTTGTCCTACACAACGGCCGCCATGGGTCCCGTCTTGTCCTTCGGGATCTTCTCCCTGCTAGCCAAGAAGAACAACACGGAGCCTCTCACGGCCGACCGGGGATTTACTTCTCTCGCCGTCTTTTCGCTGCTGCGCGCACCGATGGCCATGATTCTCGACGCCATCGCCGGCCTTGTTGCATCTTTGGGTGCCATTCAACGCATCGGCGAGTATCTGGCAACGGACAGTCATATCCGCCCAAAACTCCAGCATCGGCCTCCGTCGGTTCCTAACCTAGACAAGGGCGGCGATGGACATGGCCTTTGCCTTCCACTAATGGCGTTGCCGAGCCAGACCACGCTCACCTTGCCATGTCCAGACCCTATTGTCACGGCGACACGGTATAGCGCCGGATGGGACCGAAACCGAGGATTCATACTTCAAGACATCACCTTGTCGGTCCAGCGCGGCTCCCTAACCTTTGTCGTCGGGCCAGTGGGCTGTGGCAAGTCGACGCTGCTCCTTTCCATGCTGGGGGAGACACCCATCAGCCACGGAGAGCTGCACACGTCGTTTGTCCGCGCAGCGTACGCCGGCCAGTCGCCGTGGCTCATCAGCGACACGATACAGAACAACATTGTCGGCACTGGCGGGCTGGACAAAGACTGGTACCGTCAAGTCGTCGACGCCTGCGCACTGCGAGACGACATCTCCCGCATGGCGCGGGGTGACGAAGAAATGGTCGACGGCGGCGGCTCCAACTTGAGCGGAGGGCAACAGGCCCGACTGGGTGTTGCTCGCGCCGTCTACTCGCGACAGCCCGTCGTCCTGCTTGACGACGTCATGAGCGGCCTCGATGCGCGTACCGAGAACACCCTCTTTAGCAATCTCCTGGGACCCCAAGGCCTGTTGCGTGCCAGCGGCCAGACCACCATTGTCGCAACCAACGCCGTCCATCGCCTGTCGGCGGCAGACCACATCATTGTCCTCTCCGCCCAAGGAAAGATTGTCGAACAAGGCTCCTACGAACAGCTTCACTCGGTATCCAAGCATGGCCAAGTGGACAATTCCGAGCGTGACGAACCGGGACAGGCTCTCTCCAGGCCCCCTGACATGGCAACGAGGCGTGTCGCCTCATTGCAGCCGCCAGCTCAGCCAGTGACGGGCTCCCAACGACGGATCGGCGATGTCACCGTCTACAAGTACTATGTTGGCGCCGTGGGGTTCTGGAACTTTGCTCTCTTCCTCTTCTGCGGAGCAGTCTTTGTCTTTTCCCTGATTTTCCCGCAGTACCTGATGAGGTGGTGGGCGCAAGAGAACGAGCGTCAAGCCAACGGCAAGCTGGGCTTCTATCTGGGCACCTACTTGGGCCTCGCGTGGCTCGCCGTCTTGGGTCTTGGGGCAGGATGCTTGCAGCTCGTGGGCAATATGATGCCGCGAGCGTCGGCTTGCTTCCACACGGCGCTCTTGCGCACCACACTCAACGCACCCCTGTCCCTGTTTGCCGGGAGCGCCATGGGCGACCTCGTCAACCGCTTCAGTCAGGACTTGCAGCTCATCGACATGGAGCTGCCGCTGGCTCTGTTCAACACGTCGATTGAGATGCTGTCCAGCGTCGCAAACTTGCTTGTCATTGCCATTGCGGCAAAGTATCTTGGTGCCGCGTTGCCGGCGGTGCTTGCCGTCTTCTTTGTGGTGCAAAAGTTCTACCTACGGACGGCGCGGCAGCTGCGACTCCTCGATATCGAGGCCAAGGCTCCTCTCGTCTCGCATTTTCTCGAAACGGCTGCAGGTCTTGCCGCCATTCGATGCTACGGGGCCGAGGCAGACTATCAACGGCGATGCATGGACAAGCTGGACTACTCTCAAAAGCCCAGTTACTTGCTGTACTGTGTCCAGCGCTGGCTCAACCTTGTTCTGGATCTCATCGTTGCGGGCATCGCCGTTGTCTTCATTACCATCGCCATCAAGGCCAAGGGCCATATCGACCCCGGCCTTGTTGGCACCGCGCTCGTCGGCATCATCAACTTTAGCGTCAGCATCAAAGCTCTGCTTGAGAACTGGACCAATCTCGAAATGTGCCTTGGCGCCGTCTCCCGCGTCCGGTCCTTTGCTCTCGATACCAAGTCGGAGCACAAGGCGGGTGAGGACCAAAGACCGCCGTCCGACTGGCCTGCTCAAGGTCACATCGCCTACAAGGGAGTTACAGCTGCGTGGGAAGGCAAGGACCAGCCAGCTCTTAGGGAGATCTCCTTGATTGTCGAACCCGGGCAAAAACTGGCCGTATGCGGCCGCACCGGCGGCGGCAAGTCGTCGTTGGTTTCGGCTCTCTTTCGGTTGCTCGAGCCGCAAGCCGGAACCATCACGGTCGATGGCGTCGACCTCACCAGCGTGCCTCGCCAAGAGATCCGAGAACGCTTCATCTGCGTTTCCCAGACACCCTTTCTACTAACCGGCACGGTTCGCGACAACGTCGACCCCTTTTGCGTCGCCAGCGACAAGGATGTTCTCAAGGCGCTCGACCAAGTCCAGATGCTAGACGTGGTTCAGAACCTAGGTGGACTGGACGCCGTCATCGACAGCGGCACAATGTCTATAGGCCAGAAACAGCTCCTCTGCCTCGCGCGCGCCACGCTCCGCCCAGGCTCGATCCTCATTCTTGACGAAGCCACCGCCTCATTGGACTGGGACACAGATGCCATCGTCAAGCAGGTCATCCGCTCCGTCTTTCACTGCCACACTGTCATCGCCATCGCCCACCGTGTGTGGAGCATCGCCGACTACGACCGCGTCGCCGTCATCGTAGACGGCCGCGTCGCCGAATATGGCCCGCCGGCGGATATCCTCGGAGACCTGGACTCGGCTTTTGCTCAGCTCTGGCGCATCGGCGCCGGCAGTGAAACGAAACTCGAGGATGCCGTTGCTCAACAAGGCAGCGGGGGACCAGGGGAAGCGGCGTGCAAGACGTGATGGGGTGAGTGCAGGCAAAGAGGCAGAGAATTGGAACCATGCGGTCTGAGCCCATATTTACACCATCTCCCGTGAACACACATGGCTTAATCTCGTGCGTACCTGTTTGCATGGATCGAGCCCTGCGATGAACACCAGGTCCATCACCACGCTACCTTGAAGTAGGTCAAAGATCCAAGGGCGCACTGGATCTGCGCCCAATACCGCGTCAGGTTCCGAACCAAACGAAATCCGACGATATATCGTCCATCCAACCCTACATGTGCCATAACTCTGGAATCCTAGTCATGTTGTAGAACATTTAAGTAAATATTTAGATTATAAGGATTGAAAAGAAATTGTCTTATTATTGTAAAAAAACCCCTTTACGAATCATTAACGCTTTCATATCGGTCATCCACATCCGGACTCACACGACCTACCGGGATGAGCCATTGAATCAAAGGTAAAACTCTGTAGCAAACAAGAAGTTAATTCATAGCCATGTTGCATGGTGCGTAGTCCAGTACTCCTACTCGAGCACAAACACTATTTTGCACCGCCCATACCTCGTATAGACACGTAATATATATATAAAATTATGGACGTATTGAAGAATTCCAAAACCACACCGCACACAGTTTCAAAGCGCTAGCGACATTACCAGAGTCGGCTTGATTTACTATTAGCTCGAACGGCGGGCTGGCGATTGCGGCCGTAAGATGGTAGAGAGGACAAGCTTTGGCAAGTCTTGCTGCGAGGAAGAAGCATCACGGCCAACGACTAAGAGAATGTTGACGATATTATAATGAATCTATTTGCACACACGTATGTCTACCTATATTTGCACACACGTACATCTATTTACCACCCCGTGCCCCGCCGGCCCGCGCCACCTAAATGCAGTGTGCCCTTATAGGTAGTATGCGTCCGACCCATGGGGGCTGTCTTCGCACTGCCCATTCCCCCCGTCGCGGCAACCCCTCCCATAATCTTCCCGCTCTAACGTACAGAAAAACCTCCCGCTGTTCTGCCAAAGGCGTTCGCAGTCCGCCAACAAGAGGCAAATCCACCATGGACTCACGCCTTTCGGAGTCAGATGACTCGCCCGCCCCTGCTGCGAGTGACGCTGCCAATGGCATATACACGAGCGAGCAAGCGCCTCTTCTTCACGTCACGGATCCGGGGACCGCCGCCGACAGGTCGTTGCGGCGCAGGGTCATCGGCATGTGCGCTGTTTTCCTGTTCGTCATCGAGGCGAGCCAAGTCATGATGGAGCCGCCGACGCAAGAGATTATGGAAAGCATCATATGCCGTAACCACTATCCAGACCACCGGGTGCGCAACGACGAGCGCTGCAAGAATACGGATGTTCAGAAAACGCTTGCCATGGTCCGCTCTTGGTGCATGTCAGCCGAGATGATTATCCGTAAGTCAATAGAGCAACACAGCTCCGTTCGTCGACTGACTCTGCCAGCGCTCGTCGTCCAAGTTCCCTACGGCATCATTGCCGACAAGTTTGGCCGTCGGACTGTCCTGTTTCTGTCTCTGGTCGGCTGTGTCCTCCAGACAGCTTGGACTATGGTTGTGTGCAAGTACCAGCTTCTCGTCCTACGACTTGAACCCCTAGCCCGGCCTTGTTACTAATGAGCTTTCATCGTCCCAGTGTTTCTACCCAACTTCTTCTCCATCTGGGCCTTGCTATACGGCAACATGGCCTACGCTATCGGCGGAGGAGGCCAGATGGCCAGCGCCATGATTTGGACCATTCTTAGCGACATTACTCCAGTCGCCGAGCGCACGGCGGTTTTCTACCGCATCTATGCATTGTTTCTCCTCCTGGGCGTCATCGCCAATCCCATGGCTGCGCTGGTCCTCGCCATCGATCCCTGGTTCGCCATGTGGCTAGGCTTCGGCATCCTCATCATCGGCGCTTTAACGGCTCTCCTAATCCCAGAAACCCTGAGACTGCGCCAAAGGGTCGACAGTGAGCGGCAAGAACAGGACAGCCTGAGCCAAGATACTGATTGTCTAGCTCCTGTAAAGGCCGGCCGAGCCAGACAGGCTTGGTCTGCGCTTCGAAGCAACGCAGGCCATATCTGGCGCTTCGTCTGCGGCTCCAGGAGAGTAACGATTCTCATATGCGCGTACGGCTTACACTTTGCGGGAAGAATCAACGTCTACCTGAATCTCCTGCAATATATGACGAGACGGTTTAGCTGGGAATGGTCTACGGTAAGACTCCACGTCCCTCAACCTCGCGGGGAAGCTTATTAACGCCAAGTAGGCAGCCTATGTCTCCACCGTCAACAACGTCACCTCTGTTGTTGTACTCCTGGTGGTGATACCTGCGGCGTCCAGCATCCTGGTTAAGCATTGCGGCTACGATGCCCAACTACGGGACCTCGTGCTGAGTCGCGCGTCGATTATACTGGTCGTCGTCGGCGGTTACATGCAGGCGCTTGCCGCCGTGCCGTGGCTGTTCGTCTTATCACTCATCATTACCAGTCTCGGCGGGGGCTTCACGCCGCTATGTCGCGCCTTGCTCAGCGCCATTGTCGAGCCGCACATGGTTGCCACGCTCAACACCACCCTCTCGACTATGGAGACGCTTGTGAGCCTGGTTGGCGCCCCTGCTCTGGGCTGGCTACTGAGTCATGGTTTTGAGCTCGGTGGCCCTTGGCTTGGACTGCCATACTTGGTTACTGCCGGTTGTTCCACCTTGGTTCTAGCGACAGTCTTTGCATTTGGAAACCCCGACGAGTCTGCGAAGGTCCCAGAAGAACGGAATAGTCCTTGATCTTTCCTTATCATGGCACACTAAACCTAGAAAATTCTCTACTGGCTAAACAAGTGCAAATTACTACTCCATTCGGCCCCGCTGCTTTAGACGGGTTCATGACGTTTGAGCGTTCTGCACGCCTTCAAATATCGCGATTGGAAAGACAGTGCATCCATCCACATGCAATCACGGACCTCACTATACGCTCGGGGAACATGTGGGGCTCTACCGCTGGCCCTTGTCTTCGTGCCAGCAAGATCAGAGCTGCCTTCGTCAGACGGCGGTCTGAGAGACGCTCGGGATTGAGGAAGCATCTCGGAGATGGGCAGGTATGGAGGAGTGTCAAGAGCTGCATCCGGCAACAGTCCGAAACAGCGGCAACGGGTCTAATTCCAGACAGGAGGGTAGTGCCGTTATGCGGGCGAAGACGTTTGATACGAGGTGCAGAATCTAGGCATCCGCCAGGATGCAGGGTCGCAGTCGGAATGCTACATGGCTCTGCCTTAATACCTAAGAGGAAGGTCGGTCATTTAACCAAAGATGGAATCTACAGGGATTAATGCTATCCGCACACCAGCAAGCTGCAATGCAAACCCCTTTTGCTCTTCCCACCAAACCAACGCTCTCTCAGCCGCGCCATGCTCCGCCGCCTAATCTAATATATATATACTGCATATTTATTTAGGTACCTACCCGGGGAGTGTTCCACGGAGAAATTTTCCTCCTCATAATCACCAGTCTTTTTCCAACAGTCATGGATTTGCTTTCTCGTCTTTGTGCTGCCGGCTTAGCCGTGTGCCTGGCCGTGGCCGTTTTCGGGCCCTGGATCAAGTGCTTTCCCGGCATGTACCATGTAAGTCATCTCAACATTCTCGGCTGCGTAACTTTACCAGGAGACAGGTTAATGTGCATGGCTTTAGAACCTGACTGACTCTGAAAACTAGTGTCGAATTCTATACGCTGTCTTAATCCGTAAAGCTTTCCGCAAGCCTATAGATTACCGGTCGCTCTTTAGACCAGAGGTTTCCAGGTCGCGGAACTGTCTATTTGAAGTGGACTTGATGGTGCATAAAACCAATTCCACTTACTTTTCCGACCTAGATGAGAGCCGAATCCGCTTGCTAGCCCGCATCTTCCCTGATTGCTTCTCTTTTAGCGGCGGAAATTTGAGCGTTTTGATGGGTGGCACTTCTTGTATATTTTTCAAGGCAATTGCACCATTTCAAAGCTACGAAGTCCACTCACAGATCCTCCGGTGGGACGACAAATGGCTATACATTGCCAGCTGGTTCCTGATGCCCGGGGGAAGTCGTCGACTTACTCGCGTGGATCGGGAGCATTACGAGGCTGTTGACACGACCGGGCGGTCCATGGTTTTTGCAGAAGCCATCACCAAGTATTGCTTCAAATCGGGCCGCCTTACCGTGGCTCCAGAGGAGGTTTTGCGGCAATCGATTTTGAATTATGATGCGGAGAACCCAGAAAAGCAAAAGGATGCCGAAGCAATAGACCGCGCCGCTTCAGAGGAGGGGAGAGATGGATAGCACCAACAGGACCGCCGTGAAGCGGCCGCTGGCCTAGAAGTGGAAATGGATGCGCTCTGCAATAACACAAAAACCTCTTTCTTGGGCACCCACATACTTCTGTTGCTTCTGTCTTTCCCGCGTTGCAATAGAGAACGATGTAGGCAGCATCTTATGTCGCGATATGCGGCCCAAGGAGGTACAGATCACGTCGACGTTTCACACGTTATTAACAGCGTGGTCGGATGCCGTCACCGAGTTAGTCCTGCATGTCTTGCCGTGATATACATCAATACTATGTACTATCTTGGAAACGGTACGCGCTTTCCCTATATTAAACTCGTTTTAGCTAACACTCTATCTACGTATACTTTCAGCGCACTAAATGTGCCCTTGCCTGTTACCATACTTCGACGACGCAGGCGGCAAGTTTATAAATCGGAGTTTCCGATTCTATCTTCTGCCTTTTAACATGCTAAATTTCATTAGCATCGTTAACTCCGTCATGCTATTCAGTGATGGCAGGGCTAATAACATCGCTAACTTTAGCAAGGTCAGCGCCATGAAGAATGGGGACCACTGTCATAAGCTACGCAGTTGTCGAAAGGACTTGGGAGAATTTAAAGCCTATAGCGGCATGTAGATAACATTGTGTAAGGAGAGCAAGCACGACGAAACAGACTGAAAAACGGGCGCCAGTGATTTAATTGTTGATCTCTAAGAGCGTATTCAGCACTAAAGAGACAGTGTTCTTTCCACATAATAGCATCCTCTGTCTATCAGCCTCTGTTCGGGACGTGTGAATAGGTATCCCCCCGCTATCCCCCTCCCAGCCCTCATGGCTAGGCTTCGGGATTTACTCAGCGCACGTGTGGGAACAGGCTAATAATTCCCATATTAGTGTCGTTCCATCTCGGACCCATCTGCGATTGCTGCACGGACAGGACAAGCGTCCGAGCCCATGGACAGAATATCCGGTGGCAATCTAGACTCGGGGTTCTCCCCATACCAATCAACCAACGTACACTCTTCCTTCTCACGCATTTTCCTCTCCACGAACCCTTCTATCGCCGAGACTTGTTTCAGGGGTAGCAGCTTTAGCCTCTCCATGGGACCGCCCACATTATCCCCAAAGAAGCGTTGGTCGAGGGTCCTCCAAAAGATACCGTCAAATGCCCAGGACTTACGTGCTGCATATGCGAGCCAGAAGTCACCAGTCTCCCAGCTGCGGCGCATATGGGTAGATAGCACCTGTGTCTGGTCGAGGCGGCCTTGGTCTATGAAGTCGCGCTCCTTGGCCTCAATGGCCCGGAGGAAGGTCTTAAGTCGCGGCTCGTACTTAGCGGCCCAGTCGTCTAGCCCTGCTGGCCACTCTTCAGGCATAACGAGGAGAAGCCACCAGGGTGGGGAGTAGGAGAATTCAGCCGGGGCGGCATAGGTAAACTCCCAGTCGACGACACCGACGATACGATGGTCGGCGTCCACGAGAATATTGGCCGGCCGAAAGTCGTCGCACCATAGCTTGAAAGGGCCGCTATCTGTGTCGGGCGAGCCAACGCCATGTTTGGAAGAAGCTACTCCGCGGAAGAGTTGTCTCGAAATCAACTTAGCAGTCGTCCGACGGGAGTTAGGGCCCTTTAACCTCACCTGGCTATATATTTCCTGCGGCAGTCTTCAGATGATTTGACGGCCTGATTGCGCTGGAACGAAAGGTGTTGTAGGTGCATGTCGGCCAAGGCAGAGTAATACTCAGATGAGGTGGAAAAGGTCTTAGAAGTAGACGGCAACTCGAAATAAGGCACTCCTCCTATTTCTCCCAGCTGGGCCATATTGAACGATAAAGGCCGGCAGGTAATAGCCGGTTCGTCGCCGCCGCCGCCGTCTTCGTCATCGCCGTTCCTCATCCTAAGGCATCCAATTTGAGAAAAGTTGCATTTAGACAGTTGGAGCATAATATCGGCAATTTGACTATACATATGCTCGAGTTTCGCCTCGTCTATGCCCGGGTCTAAGACTGGCTTCTCTCCAGGGGCGTATTCCGGTGCCCTAAGCACGTCTATTATATCGCCGGAATTTTCGATATACTCCATAATTAGGAAAGGACCAAGCTTTCCGGGGCTCTCGTCTGCCTTGCCGAAGTGAAGGATAAAAGGCACAGGTATAGTCGTATGATGAGCGATATAACGCATCGCAGCTACCTCGGCAAGGAGCTTCTCCTCAGCCATCTGAAAGTATCCCGGTAGGGGGAAGCGTATGATGACGGAGCTATCATCTGAGTACTGGATACGATAATGGAAGTTGAATCCTCCCATCCTAGGAGGGAAAAACTTCATCGGGCTTCCACCCCCTCGATGTTTGGTGACAAACCTTGCAATTTCGTAGTATAGATCTTCATTAAACAGTGTCTCTCTCATGGCCTCGAAGATGGCTTCGCCATGGTCCCAGGCCTCATCATCGTAAAGCTCATACGAAACAACCATATTGGAGAGGCTTGCGTGGACGGCTCCGATACTCAGAGAGAATGATGGACGTGGAGAATGAAGCCTCCATGCAACGGGTGGGTGGGGACGGAACGTTATTTGGTCGCCTATGTTAACCGGCACATAGGTTTGGCTAACCCGCACACAAAAATCGTAGGTAGTGTGGCTGGTCAAGGCGCAGCGCCGATACCGCATAACTATTTCCCCGCCTTGACTGCGTGCCCCTCTGCCCGCCTACGTGCAAAGTAAAGCTATTCGCAACTATGGGCACTAAGGCAGGCGTAGCCTGCTTACCTAATTTCTACATATTCGGGCTCTAGGCTTGAAGATACGTTATTAAGCCCTGCCCGCCGTCCTTAAAGGAGCTCGTCGGCATATAAATCTCGCTGCGCCTCTTCTTCGTCTTAGACGGCCTCTTCTACCTTATCCCACTATATATCTTCCTCCTCCTACGAGGGCATCGCGACGATAATTTCCTCTTATATATGCTATGCCCTCGTAGACTCGTCGGGCTTAAGGGCTCCGGCAAGCTCATCGTTAGAGGCTAGCGTGCAGCGTATAGCTTGTCGATACGCTCGTGGCATACGTATCGCCTCGTTATTAAAGGTATCGCAATCCCTTTCTCGTTACTATAGCCGCAATCCTCTTAGCTGGTCTAATTAAATAGAGACTCTATCACGGTGGCTGCTTAGGGCGAAAATCGCGATGCGAGCGAATAGCTTTACTTTAACGAAGTTATTAACGATATAAATTTTACTCTACGTAAGGACGCGCAGTTAAGGCGGGGGATATGCGCACCTAGTTATGCGGTATCGGCGCTGCGCCTTAACTAGCCACACTACCTACTGTTTTTGTATGCCGGTTAGCTAAACCTATGTGCCGGCTAACACAGGCGTAGTAAAACTTTTATACTAAGGCAAGACTAGAAACCCTTAAAAATCTTAAATGACTACTTTTAAGTTACTATAGTCTGCTTTATTTAAGCAATCTAATAGTAGAATAACTAATACTTTAAGGTTTATTACTCTTCTTATTATCATATACTATATAAAGTTCTGTTATATCTATATTACCGACGACTTTATCGAAGAATATAAGATGCTCCTTACTATATATAACGCCTCTACGGCGTGCTATCTACGGGCCGACTTAATAGTCCGCTTCGATGTTATCTCTTAGCTATGATGTTGTGGGCGGACAGCCACTATGATACAGTCGAAATAGATACGGAGGACTAACTTTGTGTTTCCCTCTAACTTCCTTTTGTGTTTGACTTAGTACTATACGCTTCTCAATCCAATACTCGTTAGGCGTCTTGCTTTTGCTCTGAACTTGACAGCGTGTGCCCGTCTTCGATCTCAATCTAGTCGACCCTATCACGGGATGTGCCCGCTTAAGGCTGCGCATTTACCCACGGCGATAAACTCGAGGCATGGTCTCCAAGGTGTTTAATGCAAAGAATTCGTGACACGTCTCAAACCACTCGCAAGAGAAGCGCGAGAAGAATGGCAAAGTCAAATGACGCCGATGAGGCACTTGTGAGGGAACGATCATGTGACTTTCATACTTTATGAAAGGTCCCGCTTTTATTCATGTAAATAGCGAAAGTCAGAGTCTTCCTTAGGAACCTCTTTCTCTCTTGTAGACAATCACTTTACCCAAGTCGCACTCGACCTTGTTCGTGCACTTGTACCGTCACATATTGTCTACCGACTACCCTTCCTCAATAGACCACTGTCCGCGACGTGACTATTGATTTCGATACCTCTAACCTCACCAAAACACCCTGCAACCAAATTTCCACCTAAACCACCACCACCGCACCAAATTCACCAATCAACGAATCAGCAAACCAACAAACCAACAAATCACAATCGCAAAGTCAACTAAAACGTAACGAAACTGTCGAACGCCACCTGCACTATAGCCATCACCGTCAACAACCCAATGGCTACCGCTACCCCACACCCGTCGATCGAGTGCCCCCCTGCCCCCTCCTCAACGCCAGCAATACCGATGAAACGTTCCGAAATGCCTTTGTTGCTAACCCAGCCGGTCTCATGAAAGAAGTCTTCCTCGTATGCAATGCCGCATACAGTATGCAAGCGGTAATCGATTCACTACGTGCCTCGACCACGACGACAAATAGGGCAATGGAGGACCTCCAAACCCGCCTAGAAAACACGCTCATTTCTAAAAGTGATGGAGACGCAATGATCGCCCGTCTTATGGCAGAAAATGAAGCGTACATAAAGATCATTCAGTCAAAGGGCTTCACACCGCACACAGAACACCCTGATCCTGAGGCCTTCACCGGAGGACCCCACGCTTCTGCCGAATTTCCTCCAGCACCTCGAGTTGAAGCTCGAAATGAATAAAGATTGGTGGAACTCGGAACCTCAACGTATGGGATATGTCGTCTCATGCCTTAAAGGCAAAGCACATGACCAAGTCCGCTACAACATTAAAGATGGGGTGGTTCTCTTCGACGATGTCAATGCCATAAAAACACCCTTCAGTCAGCCTTCGGGGATATTGACGCTAAAGCTACCGCCCAACTCAAAATCTTTGACATGAAACAAGGCCATAGATCCCTTACGACATTCCTCCCGAATGGTATGCCGTCGCCAAGCTCACCGACTGGGATAGTGGGGCGCTCATTGCTCACCTCCGACGTGCCCTCCACGACAACGTTATCTGGAGACTTTCTCTCACTAAGGGCAAAGATACTCCTACCGAAATTAGTCAATTTATGGACCTTGTCCGTATCTGCGATAACGAATGCCGTCAAGTCAATGCCAATTACTTCAAGAAAAACACCGACAACTCAGCAAGTCACAATGCAACCTTACAACCCTCCACTACGCCACAATCGACGACCTCTAACGGCGGGGGTTCAATGGGTTTTAGCGTCATCACCTGGGGGCAAAGATGTCGCCCCTGGTCGTAGACCCCCAACGGAAGCAGAGAGCGGCACGCAGAGCCTATTGCACAGCGCATGGACTCTGCCATTGGTGCAGCTCAGGCAAACATCGTTCCTCAATTGCGACACCGCACCATGGAGGACGGAAAAGTGTAGTCTCCGACGGAAGTCGCCGCAGGAGACGCAAGAAAAGGGCGATCTACTGCTCTCTCTCTGGACACTAACCAAGCTCATTTGCTACTGCCTTGTAACCTAATCGAAGACAATTCCACTCTGATTAAAACCGAAGCAATGCTTGACTCAGGTGCCACTGGAAAGGGTTTGTAGACGAATCCTTCGCGCACGCCAACAAACTCACGCTTTATGAACTACGAAACCGTCGCCGGCTGAACGTAGTCGATGGAAGACCCTCCTCGGCTGGCGATATCACTCATGTGGTGAAACTCAACATGGAAATCAAGGGACACAGGAGAAGATGCTATTTTACGTAACGAAGCTTGGGAAGTACAATGTCATACTCGGAAAACCCTGGCTGACAGATCACAACAATCGTCAATTGGAGCACGAATGTGGTCACTTTCAACTCTGATCACTGCCGCAAATACTGCATGGAGAAAGGACAATACCAACTGCCTGTTTCTGGAGCTCCTCTTTGTCAATTTCTGCAACCACGACTATACTGGCACGCCCATCAATCCCCCGAAGAGTCGGCGCAGCCGCATTCCATATGCTGACCAAAAACCGCGACGTCGACGTATTCTCACTATCACTGTATGAGATCGACAAAAGGCTGGCTGAACTTGGAGTCATCACAGAAGCCTCCACCTTCGTAGAACCTAAAGCACGCCGAAGGGTCCGATTCGACTCTGCACTCACAGACATGGACAAGATGAACCGAGAACTCCAGCTACAGGACGGAATCACCTCCCTTGACCCCAAGGACCAACAAACACAGGAACTCCGAGCTTCCCGGAAAACGGCAGCCGATATGTACCTTTCAGGGCATCACTCGAAGACATTCACAAAGCCCTCGAACCCAAGACTTTGATCGATCCTGCAACAAAAGTACCCCAACACTACCATGAATTTTGAAAGCATTCGACCAATCAGAAGCGGATAAACTCCCCACACCGAGACTGCGACCACGAAATTGAACTTCAACCTGGAACGACTCCACCACATGGACCTCTGTACGGGATGTCACAAGACGAACTTCTCGTCCTCCGGAAATTCCTTCAGGAAAACCTTGATAAGGGTTTCATACGCGCTAGCACCTCACCGGCAGCCTCGCCAGTGTTATTTGCAAAGAAACCAGGAGGGGGCCTTCGTTTTTGCGTGGACTACCGAGCTCTTAACGCGATAACCATCAAGAACCGTTACCCCCTACCGTTGATCCAGGAGACCCTTTCCCAGCTAAGCCAAGCCA